TCACTTTTTCCTGTCACAGTTGTCGAAGCATACTCCCCACTTAAAACAGCAATAACCGAACCTAACTTCATATCCTTTCTTAATTCCTTAGGACATCATTTCCTTATAGGTGCAGACCTTAATTCCAAACATCAGCAATGGGGAGCCAGAACCATGAACTCCCGCGGGCGAACATTGCTGTCTGCACTTATTTCCCACAATAGCAACATCCTTTCCCCTGATACTCCTACATACTGGCCAACCGATCCTAACCGTAACCCTGATCTCCTTGACTTCTTCATTCACAAAGGTCTAGGGCCGTTAAATTATTCAGTTTTACGGCTTGATGACCTTTCCTCAGACCACAGTCAGCTAAACCTAACTCTTTCCGCATCTCCTATCCCCAAATTATCTCCTCCCTCATTCATCAGAGGCCCAGTCAACTGGAACCTTTTCCGCCAAACAATAGCAGATGCAATAGACCTCAGAGTATCCCTAAAAACCCCTTAAGACCTAGATAATGCAGTGAGTTCCTACACCACCTTGATCCAACAAGCAGTTTGGACTGCATCCTTACCACTTCCCTCCAAAACATACCGTAAAACGAATCCTTTGCCCCAAGACCTTACTGACCTAATTAAATCCAAACGCCAATCTAGGACCCTCTGGCAAAGAACCAGGCATCCTGATGATCGAAAAATATACAATCATTATTCCAAACAGGTAAAAAAAGAACTAGCTTCCTTTAGATCCCAATCATACAACTCCTACCTCTCTTCCCTATCTACCGATGACAATTCCCTCTGGAAATTGACCAGAAAAATCCTTAAATACCATTCTGTTTCCCATCCCCTTCGATGCAATGATGGAACCTGGGCTTCGTCAGATGAGACTAGAGCTGAAGAATTTGCCAAACACCTATCCAAAACATTCACTCCCCACCCCGAACTCCATTCCACCCTCACTGCTGAAATTAAAGAATTCCTCTCTTCTCCTATTCCTCTCTCCTTGCCTCCTATAGCTGTCAATCCCTCTGAGGTCAAATTCCTTATAAGCAACCTAAAATCTCGAAAATCCTCTGGACACGATCTCTTTACTTCCCAGATCCTAAGACAACTTCCCAAAAAAGCAATTATATTCCTCACATACCTATATAACTGTATCCTCCGCACAACACACTCCTCTGACATGGAAACACTCCATAATCATCCTCTTCCCAAAACCAGGTAAACCTGTAAATAATACTTCATCCTATAGACCAATAAGCTTGCTCCCAATCCTCTCCAAAATCTTTGAAAAATCCTTCTCAAACGCATCCTACCCATACTCGAAACCCACAATATCCCATCCCATCAGTTTGGATTCCGCTCAAGACATTCCACTGTTCAACAAGGCCTTCGCGTTGTTGACCATATATCCTCTGCGCTTGAAAACAAGCAATATTGCACCGGTGCCTTCCTGGACGTAGCGCAAGCTTTCGACCGGGTGTGGCATGATGACTTGCTTTTCAAGCTCAAAACTCACCTACCCCAATCCTTGTACCTAGTCCTCAAATCCTACCTCTCAAATCGTTCCTTTCAAGTCCGCTGCGGCACTGAATTCTCCAACTATTATCCAATTGAGGCTGGTGTTCCACAAGGCAGTGTCTCGGGCCCAGTCCTCTTCATCCTCTTCACCGCTGACATTCCAACCAATCCCGATACCCTTCTAGCAACTTTCGCGGACGATACCGCCATCCTGTCATCCCACCTAGATCCTGAAACTGCATCCTTAAATCTACAAAGACACATCTCCCTAATTGAGCAATGGTGCAACAATTGGCACATTAAGATCAATGAATCCAAATGCAAGCATGTCACCTTTACCCTCCGACGCGATCCTGTCCACCTATCCTTTTCAACTCTGTACCTCTCCCAGTCTCAGACACAGTTCGGTATCTTGGATTCCTTTTAGACAAAAGACTAACTTGGAACCCACATACTAGACTTAAAAGACAAGAACTTAACCGATGATTTGGCCAGCTATACAGACTACTTAACAGAAAATCCAATCTATCAATAGAAAACAAACTATTAATATACAAGACCATACTCAAACCCATCTGGACCTATGGACTTGAACTGTGGGGGACAACTAAATTTTCGAACATCAAACGCATCCAATCCTTTCAGTCTAAAGTCCTCCGTATGATAGTCAATGCTCCTTATTACGTTACAAACAAAACCCTACATCATGACCTTAACATCCCTTATATCCTTGATGTTATTCCATCCCGATTCTCAAATTTTCACATGAACCTAATCCACCATCCTAACCCTTTAGCACAATCCTTATCTAGCTCCAGTCATCCCTACAACCCTCCTCGAAGGTTGAAACGGCAGTGGCCTCGAGATCTCTTGTAAAGACGTCACTGGAGTTCTGGCAATGGCCAGCTTCTCCACTCAAGTCATGAGTGTTTGTGGTTTTAGTGCCCTCTCTCAGTCTCCGCCGGACTGGTAATGGCGGCGACGCGGTTGAGAGAGAAGCGCTGGGATCTCTTAGAGTCTCGCTTTGTCCTTCACACGTGGGAGAAAGGGCTGGACTCGGAGATCTCTTACCTAATTGTAAATATTGTATTTAAGTATGAATGTTTTTCTATTTATTTCTATTACTTATAATTTATTTAATTTCTTTACGAATTTCTGTATTTTATTTAATTTTAACTCTTAGTTACATTTCCTAGTTTATTATAGTTTTTGCCTTTGTTATACAGATTTTTATATTTTTTATTTTTTTATTTATTTACTTATTTATTATTATTATTTTTTTTTTATGTATTGTATATATGGTATGAATGTGCCTGTCTCAGCCTTAATACTCAGTGCCCTTAAGTGTGGCAAAATGTATTATTACTCAATAAACAAATAGATAAAAAAAAAAAAAAAGTTTATTTTCATAAATTGGGTTGGCAAAATAAGTCCTTTCGGTTTTTCAGGATGAAATAAAACTCAATGAATTATAGACATAAAATTTATTTTGAAAAGAAGGATGATTGGGGTGATCAGTCAAAATAAAAATTAGCAAAAATAAAAATAATATTTATTTCTACATTTGCCGACGTTTTGGCCCGAAGTTCACACCTATTTCTATATACCTGTAGAGATATCTCTTTAAGCATTTGGTTTGATCAGCCCTAATGAAGGTCTGAACTTCGGAGCGAAACATATTATTATTTATTTTCGTTATTTTTTATTTTGACTGATCACACCGACCATCCTTCTCTTCAATTTTTCACTACAGTCAACCATCAACCCACAATTAAAATTTATTTAAACTACAATATATAAACCATTACTTAATATGACTTTTTTCCATCTTTCCACTAACTGCATAATGCCATGTTCATAGAATGTCTGGAGTTCATTGTTAAAAAACTGATCCAAGTGGTGATTTTGATGTCCTCTTCCTTTTAAAATTTCTTTCCATTCATAAAGAAATTCTGCTGATAACAGAATAAGTGGTAATCACTTGGAGCTAGGTCTGGATGGTGGGGCAAAAGGTTCCATCCAAGGCTCAATAATTTATTGCGAATGACCAATGAGGAGTGGGGCCTAGCATTGTCTTGGTGGGACACAACACCCGATCAGGACGTTCTCCAAATTCGATGTTACTATATCCGTTGGAAAGCTGTGGGCGCAGTGGTCGAACGGGCTAACGTGTATGTGCAGCACCACTGTTGCCAAGCAACCTGATATATGACAATTGATAAAAAAAATAGTCACAAGTTCGCGTCCCGATGCAATGGGAGTCTTTTAAAACCCCGCCCACATCCCCTGACACGGGAAAACCTGTTGTAGTTTGTTTATGAAGGTCCTGTTAATGTCATTTTGTGTAGTTTGTGTGACACTAAATTCCTACTAAATTTCTTGTAGACAACTAAAGTAGTTTTGAAGTTATAACATTTTTTGTGATTTTCGAAAAAAATCATGTGAGAAATTCAAATATTAAGCCTAGAAATATAGCCGAGCTTGTGCAAATGGTTTTCTACACTTGTTTGCGTGTGATACATTTAGGGAAATAGCAATCTCTAACACTGATTGGGTGGGATTGATCAACAATGACCATCAAACCAGACCGTTGAGCATCATTGATGTCAAAATTTCCTGAATGAAATTCGGCAAACCCATTTTGACAGGTGTGTTCAGTTAAGGCATCATACCCATAAACACTGCAAATTTTTCTATGAGCTTCTGCAGCATGCTTACCTTTTTAAAAATAATACAACAAAATATGCTGATAATGAATGACACTTTCTTTCATATTAACAGTGCAATAGTAAACACAATACTATTATCAGCAAGAGTTAACAGATATAATTGTTGACATATTACAAACGGGATAAACAATCCACCTTAGGGATTAATTCATCAGATAAGAAGTATATCATAAACCGAAAGGACTTCTATGCCAACCCAATATATACATGCATGCATGCATGCACACACACACGAGCATTTAGTGGGAGCATGTTGAGGTTTCCCTAAGTACATATTCTGCTAATGTCTTCCTCGAGTTTTCAGATGACACCAGAGGAATTGGTCAGATTGAAGGAGAGGTACATTTGGACATCATCGGCATACAGCTGGTATTAACAGAGCAGGATAGAGAACGAGAGGTCATTGATATAGATGAAAAAGAAGGTGGGACATAAGCAGTAGTCTTGTGGGACACCTCTGAACAGGGTAGAGGCTCTGATGTAGGATTATTAGGAGCTACTACATACTGGGAGCGACCTGTAAGGAAGGATTAGAACTAATTAAGGGCACTAGAAGAAAAGAAGACATCTATAAGTTTGGGTAGGAGAATGTTGAGGTCTACTGTGTCCAAGACTTTGGAGAAGTCAAGGATAATAAGAACGGTTTCTGCTGATATATGGCTCTGTAGAGGTCTTAGGAAATTTTATATAAATAAAAAAGAAGGAAGTTTTATCAAATTGTATATACTACTTTAACACCTTAAGATTACTACTGTGATAAGTTTACCATGTTTTAAAACAATCTTTGTAAGTGGATTTCTGACTACTTCTTCTTCTTTCTTTGGCACATGTAATGGATGCCTGCACCAATATTTATACCTGAAAAAATAAGTTTCAATTTTGTAATTAATACATTTTACAAGGATAATTAGAGAATAATGGTTGAATATTTTTAATAATAGACAGAGTTGTTAAAAATCTACAGGAAAATACATTTCCCAGATTGCTAACATTCATATTTTTAAAAATCATTCATAATTTTTATTATTTAGGGTAATCGAGCTGTAATAATATAAAAAATACCAATGTTCAAGGGCTGATTGGTTTCTACACATAATAAAAACCATTGATTGGAAATTTCCTATTTTCTGACAAAAAAAATGCTGACAACATTATTTATAAGTTTCTGTACAGTAGAAACATTCAAAGTCTTCTCTTAGTTGTAAGTCTTTAGAGAAAATTTACACAGACTACATGATGTTTATAGAAAGAAAGAAAGAAAGAAAAATAAATTTTATTCTGGGACATTTAGTCCCCTTAGAATAATTATAATGTACAAAAAGATGAAAAATTGCCTGGCACTATAAAAAATAAACAATAAGAACAATTTTAGCTAACATAAAATAATAACCTAACCTTATAATTTAAATAAATTAAGTACGAGCAAACATATTGATGAACATATTCTGATTAACAATATGGATATGTAAGTAACAACAACTTAACAGTCGAATGAGAGTGACAGATCTTTAATATGAAATTTTATCCTTATATATATTCGGAATATTGATTACTAAGGAAGTGAACGTATAAAAATTGTTAAAATGAAGTTAAGGAAGAGGAATCGCGTATAGAGATAGGTAGAGAATTCCAAAAAAAGGTAGCACACATGATAAACGATTTATTAAAGGAAAGGGTTCTATGTGAGGGAACAAATAGGTTTATGGACTGGGATCTCGTGTTAAACAATTGAACAGAGGAACAAGGAGTAAACAAATCAAGAAGATGGCTTTCTTGTTGTAAAGGTTCGGAAAAGAAATACACCTAGAAAATATTGCCACTGGAAATCTGAATAGAACCACTTCAACTCAGCATACCAACTGGAGACGTGGGAGCGCCTGGGGACTTCAAAGATGAATTGAATGAAACAATTCGTTAATCTTTTCAATCTGATCTCAATCCCACCAGACAGTCCACCGTATACAAGGCAGCCATAATCAAAGTGAAGATACTAGGAGTTGGCGGATTTTTAGGGGCATAGAATCATGGAATCTCAGGAACTGTTTTAGGATAGCAATGGATTTTCGGATAATTTGGGAGACATGATTGTTCTAGGACAGTAATTGATCGAAAATTACTCCGAGATTTCTGACAGAGGTATGGAAATGAATAGGTAGTCCATTGAGATAGAGTAGGGGATAGTATGGAATGAAATTAATAAGATACTTGGAGCCAATGAGAATGGCTTTGGTCTTCTCAATGTTCAACTTTAAATCATTACTTGCAGTGGGCGGGGTGGCCGAATGGGCTAACGAGTGTGCCGCCGCCGTTGACATATGAGACATCGATGAAAAATAGTTCCAAGTTCGCATCCCGGTGCCGGGGGAGTCTTTTAAATCCCCGCCCACACTTCCAGGGCTGGAAGAACCCTGCATAGTAAATTCTGTAAATTCTTAAGCAATGGAAAACACTAAAAATAATTGATACTTCACTGTTCCAGAATCAACAAATTCTGTCACAAACAAAGACAAATCATTAGTTGGCTTCTCATCAACTATATATATACTATTAACTGGATATTAGATCAAATTATTTCTTTATAAGTTCTTAAATAATATTGTTTAGCATAATATTGTGCTTTTGCTGATAACGTATATAGAACTTTGAAAGTATATAATGAATGTACCAAAATGTTGGTCTTGCAACCATTAATGGTTCTATCCTAATGTAGCTATAAGAAGATTAACATTCTAGTGCATATATTCATTGTTGGGCTGCTGGACTAACTAATTTAATAAATACTAATAAAATTATATAGTTTTCCATAAATTATCACTGTAGCTGTTCTGTAATTGTTATATATAAAAAAGAGGGTCGTGAGAGACACTCACAAAACAAGATATTGTACCTTCCATCACTTACTTAATTCTTGAGCAGATAAGATTCCCTTCCTGCCCCAAGGATATAACATACTTTCCCTGATAATCCACAACGGCCTGTTGTACCCCTTCATCCCATCGATGATGATTTCTTAAAGTTGCTAAAGGCTTGTTATCATTATTTAATAGATCAGACGAGTCATGAAAAAATATATGACCATCGAAACCATAGGTAATGTAATGTTGCCCACTAGTATGAATTTCAAATGTACCAACTTGATGATCAACCAGGATTCTTCTAAGTAAACGCCAATTTCCTCCTTCCTTAAAAGAAAATGAAACAGAAACAAATCTCAGTTGCTTTCAATATTTAAAATCTTTTGATATTTAACTTATACATTGTAACATATTTTATTAGGGCCTTTATAAAATTGTAATTGTTAACAGAATTCATGTTCATGTTTTGTTCTTTTATTATTTTTGAACTTTGTGAAAACATACATTTATATGTAACATATTTATAAATTCAATTTATTCCTATGTGTTTCATTAAATCTTATTAATTTTAGTTGATTTAAAAAATTGTAAAACAATATTATCATATAACTAACTATAAAAAAAAAACCTATGATGTATTAGAGCAGACAGAGTGGGAGATGTTTCTCCCACACAATTCTTGAGATAGAATTGTAAATAACTTGTGGTAGGGTGTATTGGAGGACAGGTGTGGTGCCCTCTAGGCTTTGTTCTAATGAACTATGTCGTTCATTAATACAATTCACTGATTGTTCTAATAATGATTAATAGTTTTTGTAGCGCAACCTGTTAGTTGCCTAGAGAACTACGTGTTTCATTTTGAACATATTTATTATTTCTTTTTTTTAATTATTCCTTTTGTAAACAACTAATGTTTGTAATATTTTTAATACAAGTATTTATGACCTATAATTAGATAAAAATGAAAGGAGTTTGGACTAATAGATTTCAGGGACTAATTAAAATAATTGTTACTAGTGTTGCCTGTCAATAACCTGAAAACAGGTCTGAGGACTGGTTATTAGTTTAAATAAGAGCCTGGGCCCTAGGGCAGGCGCTGGGAGGTGGACAGTGCTATGAACGTCATCACCACAACCATCCAGGATTCAGCCAATCGTAATATCCCCAGGTTCGCCCCACAGCCCAACTCCATCAGAAGACCACCACGGCACATTCTTGCACTGATAAGCCAACGGAACAACATCAGAAACATCTTCTAGCGCACCCGCGATTATAGTCTGAAGCCGGCCATCAATGCGATGATCCGGCAGATAGCTAGCCTCAAGCGTGACTGGAAAACTTCTCTCTGGCATGATCAGCTACGGAGGACACACGATGATCACCGCCAGTTCTGGAGACTCATCAGGACTTTCAGCAAGAAGAGAAGTGTGCATCTGACAGAAGGTGACGCGCTGCTAACACCTGGGGAACAGGCTGAACTACTGGTGAAAAGCTATGCAGCGGGTGATGCTGAGCGGACGAGAAGTGCCCCTCCTGTACAGGATGGACCATATCCCAGTCTCACCGAGAAGCCCGTTTTCTCCAGTATTAACCAGCTTGAGTCGGTACTACGGCGCACTAAGGGAAACAAGGCGTCAGGACAGGACGAGATACCGTATGTGCTACTGAAGATGCTCCCAAGGAAGGGTAAAGCCTTCCTCCTGAACATCTTCAACTCATGCCTGCGAATCTCGTACTTTCCCACAGCCTGGAAACAAGCAATCGTAGAACCCCTACTAAAGCCGGGGAAGAAAGGAGAAGCGGCTGAGCACTATCGCCCAATCAGCCTCCTCTCGCACATCAGCAAGGTCTTCGAGCGCTTGATTCACCACCATCTCATAAAACACTGTAGGGAGAAGAACATTATACCACCAGAGCAGACAGGTTTCCAACGAGGTGTCGCCTGCGAACACCACCTGACGAAACTTCAGGCACACACCATAGAGCAGATGAATCACAACAGAGCTACGGCACTCATCTCACTGGACTGCAGCCAGGCCTTTGACTGCGTGTCTCACGCGCTGTTACTCCGACAGCTGGAATAGTACAAGTTCCCAGCCCCTCTATGCCGAGTGATCAGAAGCTATCTTAGCGGAAGATCTATCGTCGTACAAGTTGGTGACGACTACTCTAACCCAGTCGATACCACCTGTGGAGTATCTCAAGGGTCTGTGTTGGGACCAATACTGTTCGTCGTTTTTACGGCGCCAGTAGTGGCACTCAAGCACCCAAACGCAGTGGTCGCAGCCTATGCTGACGATATCGGGATCTATGCATCGAGCACTAATGCAAAGAGAGCCCTCAAGCATGCAGAAAAAGCCACAGAAGTCATCGTCGGAGAGCTAGAGAAAAATGGCATCAGAGTGAACCCCATGAAGACCAACGCTATCGTGATGTCGTTCCAGCAATGGAAAAAGCCACTACCCACTCACTTCATCATCGGTAGTGTGGACCAGCGGATCTCCACCTCAGTAGTCTATCTCGGCGTGACATTGGATAGACACCTAACATTCTCCAGTCATGTCAGACAAAGACTCAAGCTGGCAAAACAAAAGGCACATAGGCTCTACCACCTGCTGAAGTGGCCGCAGCTCTCGCTGAGACTAAAACTTCAGATATACAAGGCGGTCATCAGACCTACGCTGCTCTATGGTGCACCGCTTCTCCGACACCTTTACCAGACGACACTCCAGAGACTGCAGGGATTCCAAAACTCCGTCCTTCGGCGAATAGTCAGAGGTACCCATCTTCAGCGATCCAGGAACAGAGACATCTACCAGAAGCTCCAACTACCCTCGGTCCCGGAATTCATTGGCCGGAGGTACATCAAATTTTTTGATGGGCTTAAGGCCTGTGCAAATCCATTATTCCAAGAAATCGCCCCACCGCCCAGGCCTGGAAGGTGGCAAGGCAAAGTCCCCCTGGTAGATGTCCTTGACGAAGGAGGGGTTCTGGACGCGGCAGGCTGAACCCTCACATTTGTACATAGTGTAAATATATAATTGTAAATATGTAAATATATCCTCATCCCTATCCTTTATGAATAAAAGCAGGGCGGTCCCTCCACGCCTGGTGATGAAATTAAGGCCTAAAGCCACAGAAAGTATCCTATGCTTACGGCATAAACTGTCATTTACCTTAAAATACCATTGGGTAAGCAAAGGTCAAGGAATAATGTATATATACATTCATAGATGTATGTTGTAAGTAGTGTTAAATAAAGTTTCTGGGGGGTCAGAAAAAAAAAAAAAAAAAAAAAAAGGGCAGGCGCTGGTAATAGTGCCACCGACAGAAACTGATGGAGACAAGAAAGAAGCAGGCCTCAGTCACCAGCACACAATCTACATCCAGGAAACCCAGCAAACAAGTCCATAAGGACCTGTCTTTCTCCAACATCATTGGCAGAACAAGAAGTCTACCTTGGTATGACATTGGATAGGAACCTCACATTCTCCAGTCACGTCAGACAGAGACTCAAGCTGGCAAAACAGAAGTCACATAGGCTCTACCACTTGCTGAAGTAGCCGCAGCTCTCGCTGAGATTAAAACTTCAGATCTACAAGGTGGTCATCAGACCTACGCTGCTCTATGGTGCAACAACTTTTCTTACACCTTTACCAGATGACACTCCAGAGACTGTAGGGATACCAAAACTTTGTCCTTTGGCGCATAGTCAGAGGTACTCATCTCCAGAGATCCAGAAACAGAGACATCTACCAGGAGCTATAACTACCCTTGGTCCCGGAATTCATTGGCCGAAGGCACATTTAACTTTTTGATGAGCTGAAGGCCTGTGCTAATCCATTATTCCAAGAAATCGCCCCACCGCCCAGGCCTGGTAGATGGCAAGGCAAAGTCCCCCTGGTAGATATCCTTGATGAAGGAGAGGGTTTGGACTCGGCAGTCTAAATTCTCACATTTGTACTTAGTGTAAATATATAAAAATTGTAAATATGTAAATAGATCCAAATCCCTATCCTTTATGAATAAAAGCAGGGTGGTCCCTCTACACCAAGTGAAGATATTAAGGCCTAAGGCCACAGAATGTATCTTAGGCTTACCGCATAATCAGTCCCTTACCTTAAAATACCTTTGGCTAAGCAAAGGTTCAATGAACATTGTGTACATACATTTATTAATTAGCTGTATATTGTAATTAGTTTTTAATAAACTTTCTGGGGGTTTAAAATAAAGGGCAGGCACTACTGCACTTGTTATCCAGTTACGGATGTTTTGAGCTTCGTCAGTCATTAAGACTGTCTTGAATTCATGACTCATGGGTACATCGTACCTCCAGGAAAAAAAAAACTAGCCACAATGAAACAGGTGCATACAGTATGACAATTCCTAAATAAATTCAAATGCCCCAGGCAATATAAGGAAGTTGTAAAAATTGTGTGTGTGTATATATATATATATATATATATATATTATATATATATATATATATATATATATATATATAAATACTTTGTATAATATATATTTTAATATTTATAAAACTAATAAATTGGAGGGCGGAAAAAAAAAAAAAAGGCAGGCACTCTCTTCCGATTCACTACCTCTTCCTCCACAAAGGCTCCTTGGACCTCTCTGCCTGACAGTTTGATACCAGACCATTGTGTTATGTTTACCTTTATCTCCTCTCCTTCTCGCCCTCTGCTCTCTCCTAACCTACCTCCTTTCTCCTTTCGTAGGATTAACATATTAACAGGGAGTGTTATCCCTGGGAGGATTATCAGTGTTCAGGTTATAAACATTGGCAGATGGCAGTCCATAGAGACCACGTCGTTCACAAGTACCAAATAATTCCTAGCTCATTATAGATAATAAAAATAAAACCAATGAAGGACAAATATGAAAAAAAAAATTTCTTACCTTAACATCAATGTAATAACTGTGAATTTCAAACTTGATGTCGGCTGGCATTGCTAAGACATGCCCTAAACCTGGCCCAGTGTAAATGTTTTTATAAAAATTTTCACTAGTAAATGCTCTAACATGGCTCAGGGCTGGAAACTTCAGAACCTCAAACATTTTTCCAGCTACATAACCTTTAGGTACAGTTTGTGAACCAGGCTGAACTTTCTCAAATAAAGCAACACCATAATAAACACAATCATGTGCCAGTACACCAATCATATTTATTATTTCATAGTAGAAGTTATAAGAGGATATTACTTCAAAACCATGATGTATAGAAGCCTGAAAAAAATCTTCATATTTTTTTAGTTCATAGATATGATTATCTCAGAATATTATTACTATTATTATTAATTACTGATTATTACAATATTATTGAATATTTAATAGTTGACCGTTACATTATAAAGGAAGGAGATGGTCCGGGTGGCGGTCATAAATAGACTGAGTAGTGGCAAAACTATTTTATTAAAAGCCGACGTTTCTACCTGACTTTGCAGGTCATTTTCAGGGCTAGAACGGACAAGATACAAAAAGGAGAGATGGAAGGAGTAGAAAAGGAAAAAGGATATCATATGAAATAATAGATATAAAGGAATGTGGAGAAAGAAAACCAAAAAATAGATAAATAAGTAAATAAAAATAGAGAATCACAGTTTTGTTCAGCTAGGAGTTTCACTTAGAACTGGAAAATAAGATATTGGGGAATTTGCTGACTTGTTTGGGTAATGGGGAAAAATTTTTTCCCCTGTTTATAATTTTTCCCAGTACGCAAACAAGTCAGCAAATTCTGCAATACCTGTCCTTATCCTGATTTTCCAGTTCTAAGTGAAACTCCAAGCTGAACACACCTGTTAGTCTTTATTTTTTTTCTTCTAATTTTAGTTACTTATTTATCAATTTTTTTGTTTTCTTTTTTGTTTTCTTTCTCCACATTTTATGTCTGTTATTTCATATTATATCCTTTTCTTTCAATCTCTCCTGTAGATCTGTAGAAGTATATTCACATTTGCATATATTATATATTACACTACAACAATTGTCACCATCTATTTACTTCAGTTTATGATCTTGTTACTCAGCTTACTCTGTTTATATTTTAATGTACTTAGTGTTTGTAATTTTAATAAGCTTATTGACATTGTTTATAATTTTTTGTCATAATATTATGTAACTTCCACAATACTCTATCTTTTTATATCTTGTCCGTTCTAGCCCTGAAGAAGACCTGCAAAGTAGGGTCAAAACATCGGCTTTTAATAAAATAGTTTTGCTACTATTCAGCCTATTTATAACCGCCACCCCCCGGACCATCTCCTTCCTTTATTACCATATTAGTTTTAGTCACATTTTTTTCCTCAAAAATTAGACTTTTATACCATAACAAAGGCAGTGGGAGTATATCAGAAATTTGTTCCATAAATCTTAGAATACATTTGAATCCTTCGACTTACAGGGAGATTCATGGCAGACCAACACTGGGAAACATTAGAGACAGGATTAAAAGAATTGCCAAGTACGTAACAAGTGCCCAGGAGGAATGAAAAGATAATAAGTTCGCAAAAGTATATGAAAAGGCAATGGAGGAAAGAAGAAACATCAAAGTTCTATGCCTAGTGAAAACTGATGAAAATACTCAGGAAAATAATACAGTTTTCAGGAAAGACAAACAAAATTACAAGATAAAAAAAAGAGGATTTCTCACATAAAAAAGACTTCAAAACAATTAGAAAAGAAATGGTAGAATAAAAAGCAAGAAATATACAAACATAAGGAAAAGATACGTTCTGAGAGTATCAAAAGGAAAGATACTAAGTATCTGGAAAGAACATTTTCAGTAAAAGGGAACCCACAAATGAATGGATCACACTCGGAACCTTAACCTACAAGAAGTTTATATGCTAATAAAATTAGATTCTCCAAGTGTGGAAATAGCTACAAAAAGGCCTAAAAAACACTAAAGGTCCCAGGGATGGACAACCCACCATCAGAACTGTTTATATGAGAAGGAGTTGGTCGGGGGTTTGGTCAAATAAATGCTATATATTAAAATAGTATTTTATTGTAAATAAAATACTATAAATAAATAATAAAATCTAAAATTTACATAAAAAATAAATAAAATACTACTTTAATACATAGTATTTATTTTACCGCACCCGACCAACTCCTTCACAAATTATAATCATGGTCAACCATCTGTACACCAGAACTGTTTATAGATGGGGACAAGACCTAGGAACCAAGTTACTCAAACTCATCACTAGGGTAAAGGCACCTATACCAGCACCTATTATTGGCATATTACTGATTATTGACACTTGTAACTTAACTTTGATGAAATAAACATTTAGATTCATGGAAGTTTTAGAACTTAGCGCCTCTTTAAAGGCTATTTAACGTTATGACAGACTCCAGGTATATCCGTCCACTAGAGAATTGGATGGTGAAGGCTGATGTGGTAATGTAAGCGGAATGTCTACCGAGTGATGGCCTAACCCAAAACTAGATTGTCAACTGCCAGAAAGACAGAGGCGAGGATGACCCAGAAAAAGATGGATGCATGAAGTGGAAGAGGAAATAGCTGGCAGGGGTCTTCAGGATGAAGATTGGCTTGACCACGACCTCTGGAGCTCAGCCCTGACATGAAAGGCAACCCTTGTTGGAACACCTATACAATAAATAAATAAGTTACAAGTAGCAATCTTATTGTATCTTTGGAGAGACTTTTGATACATTTTATGGATTTTATTTCATATTTTAAATTTTTTACTGCATACAAATCAGAGATCTGCTTATAAGATACAAATTAAAATGGCTTGGACTACCGCCGCATTAAAAAAACATTTTATGCTAAATTTTATACATTTTATAAACATATCTAAAAAGAGATTTTACTGAAGTTGAAAAATTATTGTTCAAGACTAACCTAGATACATTATGAGATTTATCTTTATACATGCAAAAACATAACTTCTTGAAAATAAACAAACTTCTACAAAATAACTAAATATATCACTAAAAGAACAACTGAAATAGATCCTGTTTATGACTTAAGACTTTTAAAAAATTGAAAAAATCATGTATCCTGTAATATACATCATCCTGTTATGGGTTTAGAAGAAATAATACCTTATGCCACAAATTTAGGAGAAAGATGTAAGCAAAATAACAATAACATAGTAGGTCTCAAACTAAAAAACAGGGCACAGCACATGTCTATTAAATGTAAAATACTTGATACAGCAAACCCATAATTAGTCATGTATTTTAAGTTTAGCTTATGTTATTATATTTTTCCATTTATACATTAAAAAATACATTTTTTTTATTTAAATTTTTTAATGGAAAGCTAAATAAAAATGAAATAAACATTAATGAAAGCTCTTTTTTGTGCTGGAAATTCTGAAAAGTTTGTGTGCGATTCATATTAGCACTAAAAGAATTTACCTTAATCAGTACAACTTTCACCGAGATATCAGTACATGCTATCAACCAATCATCATCCAAAAATTTAATCCAAGCAAATGAATGCTCTCGGTACAATTTTAATACAGGCCAGACGTTAGGAACCCGAGGATGTGTGAGATCAATACCATAGATACAGCCCTCATCATATGGAAACAGTGCGATGAGGGAACTACTTTGGTGAACTGACATATCCTTCATATCACAATTTAACCTCACTGAATTCATCTGAAATAATAACTTATTAAATAATAATAAACATTTTGTCTGATAAATTATTTATATGTATAGTCTAATATATAGTAATGTACTGTTTTTAGGCAACTTTTGCTTTTATATTAAACACAGTTGACATTACCAAAACAGATATTTTTTTCTATAATATATTATTAAATATTAATATTACATTCTTTTCTTTTACTATCAATGAACATTTATCTTATATTTGTACACGTCTAAGGAAATGTTAAACCCTAGGATTAACATCAAGTTGCAAAATCATAATGAATGAGGAAAGATTTTATAACCATCTTTGAATTTTTATACAAAATAATCAATTGATTTTTATAGTTAGCTAGGGGTCAATTACAAGTCAAATAAATCACCCAATAAAAAATAAATTTTGAGCTTACATGTTTAGGATTTACATAGTTTATTGGTATCTTAGTTATACCTACCTATTAAATTACATATGTTTATAAATTTTATTTTGATTAATTTTAATAACATCCAGTATTTATTTTACATTAAATTTGACACTGCATTGTAAGGCATCAAGCAAATGTGTTCCGTTTTTTCTGTCTTGTTTTATCATTGATCTTTGATTACATTGTCAGCAGAAGATTTCTAGGCCACTGTCTTTTTAGTTGTTGAGGCTTACCAGGTAACAGAGAGGAAGAAAGAGAGAGGGCGAGTGGGTTTGGATGATTGAGAGTAGAAGAATGAAATGTGTGCTTTTTGTGTATGTAGGATTTTACTTTTGGTATGTTCATGTCTTTGTGTATGGTGTGATTTGAAATAAACCAAAGAGTATTGACGATTTTACAAACCATTTGGGATTGTGTGGTTTCAATTTTGATTATGTGTGTTTTGCGGAACCCCAAAGTTCTGATCTGTATGTCCAAATAGGCCTTAATATGGAGGTGTAGATTAGCCGTATGTAAGTTGAGTGAAGATCTGTAGTCCAAAAGAAGTGACAGTCGTTCGTATCATCTTGTCAGTTCTTGTTTTTTTAAATTTTGTGTGTACGTTCCAGGTGAGTTTTTTGAACAAGTATAGTCCGAGATACCGTACATGAGGTTTTGAGGGAGCTGGTGTGCTTTGCTTGGTGTCAATTGCCACAGCAGAACACGGACTCTTCCTTAGGGAGAAGCTAACATGAGTTGATTTCCTGCCATTTATTTTGATTTTCTATTTGTTTTAAAAATTAGGAGAACATTCAAATTTCAACACGTTTTTGATAAAAAAATGATCATATATTTACAAAAAAATGATACTAGAACAATGTCTGGCTGCACATTTTAAAGTTTGTTATACAGGCCTTCTATTCTATTCTAATGTTCTCCAACAAATTAGTTCAGAGATTAAATGAGTTTGCCGAGAATGTTATACAGGAATACCAATGTGGGTTCCGCAGGGGAACGACGGATCATATCTTTGTCATGAGACAGTTAATGGAAAATGCTGGGAGTATAAAACAGACCTTGACATGCTGTTTATAGACTACTACCGTGCTTTTGACTAAATAGAATAGAAAATTGAACTTTATTCCGGGACTAAGTCCCCTTAGAATAACAATAATGAACAAATACAAAAGAAAATACATATCTGGCAAAAAAATAACTAGTAAAGATTCTAACAATATATACATTATTTTAAAAAATAGTATGTAAACAACTTAAAAAAGTAAATAAATAAATTTAAAATAAAATCTTTTCAAAAGTACTTATTATTGTAATGGAAGAAAAAAAAAATTACACATCTATATATACATAACTACACAATTTATAAACAATAGGCTAACTAATAAAAACTAACTTAATAAAAAATGTAATAATACTACTACAGTGACTTACATAATAATATGCAAACACTAAAAGAAATAAAAATAAAATCTTCTCAGGAATACTTGCAGTGTAACAGAGAGAAAAGAAAAAAGAAATATATATATAGACATACATACACATATTGGTACACAGAGAGAAAAAAAGTATAATCTGGATAAATAAACATAAAATAATATAATATAATAAGGATAACAAAACTAATAACAGAAAAGCATTGATTTAGATGTCAAAATATAAACAGTAGGCTAAATTAATAAACTAAAACTATAAAATTGTAACTATATGTGCAGTACTTTAAATAATAAACAGTTAAACAAAAAATCTTCTCAAGTGTGATTATAGTTGAAATGGAAAAATAGAAAAAAATAAAATAAAAAAATATAATACATACATATAAACATATATATCCAGAAAGTAACAAGCAAAACCTGAAGCGAAGAGAAAAGCAAAAACTAGCAAAAATAATAATCAAACTAGGTGACAAAAATCATTGACGTTTTATGCTGAAACTTAAACAATAGGCACCACCATTTACTTCTCACAAATTCAATTCATAAAATGAATTTTTTCAAGATTGCGGATCGTCTGATTGGGATGTAAGGAGGTATTGGAAAAGGTGGTATTTAAAATATGGCAAAGAAGAGGCATGGCAGATGTTATGTGGCAAGGAATTCCTGAAGGAACGTTCATAGGTTTTTGTCCTATGGGAGGAAATATAGAGGTCACAAGCACGGGATCTCGTTTTTAGTGAGTGGACTGAGGATTTAGGCTGAACAAGACAGTAGATATAGGAAAGGTGCTGAGAGTTCATCGTTTAGTATAAGAACATTCCAAGGAAGTATTGGCGGTGGGAAGAGAAGAGCCACTTTGACTCGGCATATAGGTGTGACACATGAGACTGTCTCGAAGTAACAAAGATGAATCTTAAAAATAGTTCATGATTCTCTTCAGTCTGTCCTGAAGCAATAACGATAGGCTGCCGTATACCACACATCCGTAATCAAAGTGAAGAGAAATCAATGAGGAAACAAGGAGCTTGTGGATAGGTCGTGGGTGATGCTGACGAGAAGGATGAAATAGTTTAAGTGTACCAATTAACCTTCTGGAGATGTGAACTATATGGGGTTTCCAGGATAGGTTTTGATCAATGGCAATTCCTAAGTTTTTTACAGAGGAGGTGAAGCAGATTGGTTGGTCATTAATAATCATGGAAGGAAGAGTTGGAATGGATTTAAGGAGGGAGTTGGAACCTATAAGAATGGCCTGAGTTTTCATTGCGTTTAATTTTAATTTATTCAAGCTTATCCAGGAACTGATCCTGTCTAGGTCTTTCTGAATATTAGTAAATGCTTCTAATAACTCAGTGGGCGGAAAGGATAGATAGGGGGACAAACGGGTAGGGTAACAGGAGGGCTGAAGAGGGAGATGGGTGCGGGTATCTCTAATCTAGAGGGCAGTTGTGTGGATCCTTCTATGATACCTAAGCTAGGTGGAGGGAGCTCGAATCATGGCTGAGTGGCAGGGGGTGTCTTAAATAAATATACACTGTTAAGTCGACCCACTTGGGACACCTGGTGCACCCCATTGTAATTAATTGCCTTCTGCAGGGAGAGGGGATAGTACCTGTAGTGACCTTTTTTCCACCCCCATACTCGTGGGAACAAAATGCAAGCATCACATAATAATCTAAAACGGATAGGACAACATTGGTAAAGACACAGCACTGGACATGGAATTTTTAACGGAAATGGAACTGTTAGAGAAGGAAGTGTAGTTGTTGGGAGATATTCGGAGGGGTCATCTATGGATCCTATGTAGAAAAATTCAAGAAGCTCGACTGATACTCTCTCAGTCCAAGTTTCCAAGCTTAAACTGCTTCTTTAAATGTTCTCCAGGTAGAGGAGGTAGGGGGCTATCCAGAAGCTATCTAGATAATGCAATAGGTTCCAGCAACAACCTATGACTCATAGGGATCCTAGTAGAGAGCTTTGAAACAAACCAGAATATTGGCTTTGGGCAATTAACGATAAAGAGCTGAAGCCAATATATTAGCTCAGTGCAAGGGGTATGGTCTTTCCGGAGCTACTATGTTAGATTTGCACGCTGTCGTCACAGCCGGCCCAAGCCATACCAGCCATTACATGGCACATCTAAAAGGTTAAGGGAGAGCCTTTTGTCAAACATTGATATCAATAAAACTTATTATAATTATATAATGTTTAATAAATTACAAAAATGCATAGAGGCTACAATAAATTTGGCCAAGTACATTTTTGTCGAGAAGAAATAATTTAGATTCGTTTTTAAATGTCCACTTCTCATTATAGTTTTTAATGTCTCTTAAATACGAGATTATTCTGAAATAAAAATTATATACATTTTTGGACTTAATTTTATGGGAGGATTTTTTTTTTTCATGCCGTTAACTAAAATGTTCATAACACCTTTGGATTTTTTCCTTAGTCAACATTACTACTATGAGAAAGTGAAATTATGGCTTTTCAAAATCATAAAAATTAATTTTAGACATTACGAGAAATAAAGAAAGAAAAACATATATATATTTTTTTTTTATCTTCAAGCCTAATTTAATTGCGAGCATCTGGTACTGGTACTGGTACAGGTGGGAAGACTTAGTCCGGCAAGTGGGCCTATTGGTCTTTTTTGCCAGAGCATCTGGTTTGTTCATTTTGTGTATATTATAGACCTCTAAATTCATGCTAATTTTTTTATGGATAAGTAAAGCCATGTCAAAGTTACCACAACTTTTTTGATTTTCAGAAAAAATCCAATGATTAGGCGGAAATTTTGAAAAAAAAAATTATATCTTTCGATTGGCATAAAAATTCGTATTTAATTTTTTTTTCAAGCTGAAAAATACAAATCTCAACATATACACTATGAAATATATTATACTGGGATAAACAATGATGATATCCATTTTATGGACCTCTAAAAACCCTTAAATCAGGATTTTAGTTGCAATTTCAATAATTGCAACTAAAAATGATTGCGACATCTTATTAAGTTAATATAAACATTTAGTTATTTTTTAACAGTTTCACTTTATTTATTTCAGTTTCTAGTGAAAAAATTAAAAAAATTTCATCTCTTTAATAAACATTGCCATATTCAGATGTTAATAGGAAACCAAACTTAGCTAAACCAAAAATGTAAAAACTCTCTGCTATGTCATAGCTATGTTTGGTTTCTATTACTCCTTACTATAGACAATTTAACTAATAAAAGCTGATATCTATTTAATAACAATAGTTTTCTCTTGATTGAAACTGAGACAAGATTTATAGATTAGACCATTACTAATAGCATTTAAATTAATGCAAATATATCCATGGGTTTACTCTATTTAAACATGAGGAATACCTCCCAAAGAGCCATTTGTTATAAAAAATTAATTTAAGAAACACACTATTATCCTTTGGCTCCCTAAAATTTATTTTTATATCACTTATTCATATTCTCATAGTATGGTACCCATAAGAAACGAAACCAGAGCTATTAAAAATATTGAAACATACTTGTCTACTATGAATATTCTGAATGCACTCCATTTAAGTCCCTAGTATGAGAAGCTATCATAATCCATATGTGCAATAGTTTTTAACAATTAGATAGCTTTAGTGGCCTAATTTAAGTAAACACATCGCAAAATTGTATTAAGTTAATGTAAATAATTAGTTATTTTTCAACAGTTTATTTCATTGATCTCAGTTTCAATTGAAAAATTTTAAAATATTTTATATCTATTTAATAAAAATTGCAAAATTGAGATGTTAAGAAACCAAACCTAGCCATCCAAAAATGTAATGCCTCTCTCCTTAGTCTAACTAAGTTTGATTTCCATTAACCCCTTACTATAGGCAGTTGAACTAATAAAAGCTGATATATGTTTAATAACAGTAGTTTTCCTTGATTGAAGCTGAGACAAGATTTATGGATTAGATCATTATCTAAAACCTAATTTAAATCAAATCTAAATTAATGCGAAAAGACCTCCTAAAGAGGTTTTTTGTTAAGAAAAATTAATTTAACACACTATTATCCTTTTGTCCAATACAACTTATTTTTATATCTTTTTATCTCACTTATAAATATTATCATCCTAATGAGCCCGTAAGAAAAGAAAAAGTCAGAAACGAAACCATCAACCAATCTATCTATCTTAATAGCACTAAAATCTCAGTGGGTCCTGGCCTTCTCTTTTTGAGGTATCATTATAGTTTATATTTAGACTATATACTATATATTATATTTATACTATTTATTTTAATACTAAAAAAAATGTATTTTTTTTTTGCTCAATACTCGCCCTTTTATTAATAGTTTTAATTTGAGCTATCTATGTTTATAGCTTTTTAATAAATATTAGTAGAGCAAATTTTGCTATTATAATGAGAATGTCTTCAATATTACAACATATTTAACAGTTGTAATATCTTCTATGAGGCTAGACTAAATTTTTAGTTCAAAATCTCTACCTAAGCCTTGGAGGATATTTTTCTGAAAATCAAAAAAATTGTGACAATTTTGATATGGCTTTATTAATCCATACAAAAATTAGCATGAATACAGAGGTCTACAATATACATAAAATGGCATAAAACCTGACGCTCACAAAGAAATTAGACTTGGGGATAAAAAATAAATACTTTTGAGGAGTTTTTCATTATAAAGACGTAATATCTAATCTTCAAATCTCCAGCGTTAACAAACCTTACGGCTCACTCAAAATTATTTTAAGCCAACTCTTAACTTTAATTTTATCATTCAACCAAGGAAAAAACTGGATGATTCAAATGTGACAAACTTACAAGTTGGCCTGTTTTTTTCTTCCAAATACAGAGAGTCTTTGTTGTGTTCAACGTAATAAGGAAGTTATCAGAAGGATGGAGAAGTGCAATTCTTCTTATCGAACCTCCAAAAAAGTGAAGGACACTGCATGATGTTTCCATTGGCTTGATCTCCTTCAAACCTTCCTAACAACAGATTTAAATTATTCCATTTGAATAATGATTTAAGATGATTTTTATTAATACAAATCTTCTTATAGCAACTTACACGTTCTGACCAACCAAATAGACGATCTTTCTTCTGATTTGTGACCATATAACTTAGCGGATCCGAAGGAATCATACCCCAAACCTTCAACCATTTTCCGCTTTGCACATCCTTAGTATAATACTATGAAAAATAAATTTATCATGAGTAATTGGCTTTCATAAATACTATTGTTATATTGTCATAGCATATCTGAAAATGTAGCAAACTGCGAAAAATTGGGTTTGAAATTATGATTGCAGTTGTAAAATAACTAATTTCTTACTTAAATTGGTTGTACCGTGTTTAATTTGGTTCGTTGAATTAAAAATGGCATAAACAATTTTTTTTGACAGGAAATCACAAATTCAAAAATAGCCAAATTTGCAGATAAATCAGTTTGGCACTGGATTGACAATATATTGTTGGGCTATATTACTTAGTAACAAAAATAATATGATCTATTGAATGAACATAACAACAATTAGATCTATGGAACTACATTAGACTTCGCATTGGTGCCCAACAGCTTGAGGCTGATGGAACCATAATCAGACTGGAGAAACAACAAAGACTGACCAATCTAATGATAACAAATGTATTGCAATCTACTATACGGGGACTATGCTTATCACTTTTCACTATTGCACTTGGAGGTGGAAAGCACAGGCCTAAAAGCAACCAATAGGCTTGCTAAATAAGAAACTTATTTTTAAGTCCTGATTCAGGAATGACGTTGAAAACAATTTCTCAGGAACTGAATTCTGAAAACTATGGCTCAGGAGCAGGTAAATGGACAAACCACTAGACGGTAGGTCAATATTTCAATACACATCAATATATTTCAAAATGAAAAACTAGTTATCAGTTACTGTGCAACCACTGTTAAATGAAGTAATACTATGTACAGCATAGCAACTGTCTTACATAATCAAGAGTTGTAGAAGACTTCAATGCAACTCTTTAACAAAGTTAATCAATTTGTTTTTAAAAACTCAACATTTCTATGTAATGTCTTTGGACACCAAATACGTTTTCTGCAATAGACTGCTTAAATATATTGTTTAATAGACATCTTGAACAACAACCACAATTTCATAACAACAGAAAACCGTGAACCCACATAGGTTGGCTATTTTAAAAAACATGTCAGCTATCAAATTGGAAAGGCTTATAATTCCCTCTGTCAGAAAATGCTTCCTTCTTCTTTATAAATTGTCCCCACTCATATCATATCTCTGTCCCTATTTAAGTCTCCCACTAAGAAATCCACTAGCCTTAACCGTGGTGGCAAATCTGGAATAGTGGAAAATATTTCATAAAAAATGTGATAAATGGTTATCATAAGATACATAGCAGTATAAAAAGGAAAAAACATATTACTAAAATTTTAAATAAACAGTAGCTCCACAGAAAATACTAGGTAGTACCACTTAAAGATGAACTTAAAAAAAAAAAATGGATTCATTGAAGTACACAGAAATTTAATTCATGTGTACTACACGATTTGTAATCCTTTAAAGGCTCATCTAAAATAAATTAACTTTCATTGGAAATTAGTTAGGCTCATTATTCATTATTCAAAGAAACACAAATTGTAATAAACTCCTCAATGGAACAGCTTAAATCCTGTATCCTCAAGGCACCCTCTAATCCTCTGCCCTCCTAGCAAATCACTACCTGTGTAAATAAGACCTAAGAAATGTAAGCTAGTTAAACCAAAAATTGTTTTGAGATTCGATAAATCAATCAAAATTTCTTGACAGCAAAACAATTGTTCACAACAGGTAAGGAAAAGCTACTGGGTACTATCTATGCCATGAAATAAAAAGCAATAAAAATACTTAATTTTTATAAAAATACCTTTAACTTAGCATCAGGCCCTGAAACCACAACTCCATCCTTAAACCAGACAAAATAGCAAGGAAGTTGTGAATCTGTTTTTAAACAAGCCTTTTTCCTCTGTCTCTCTTTTGGTTCTGGTTCATAAATGTCATTTGCAACATCCTCATACTTGTACCTTTTGTATTTAAATACTTTTGGTTCACCCTCTTCTTTCATTTCATAATTTTCATTTGCATACTCTAAAGATTCTTCAATAGCCTGATGAAATAAAAATTATGAATAGTGTTTATAAATAAATATACTGTCCAAGACAGAAGAAAAAAAAAGACCATAAAAATAAATAAAATAAATGTAAATTGAAATTCAATCTTTTACAGCTTTCCTATATAAACTCTATTTTCTTTTTAAACAATAAGTGGGCGGGATGGGATTAGGGAAAATGGGCTTAGTATGATAGAGGGACCAACTCTATAACATCCATGTCTTCTACAAGCAAAGAACCCAGCGTCGGAACCTGCTAGATACAGGAGAATTTATACATGCGGGGACTACCCACAAACATAAGAGGAGGATTTGTATGAATCAAGGAACCTCACTTTGATAATCACATGAAAATATAAGAAACAAAAGAGGCAGGAGAGAGGGCAGAAAGTCAAAGAATAAGTGGCAGCTTGATTACTTGGCCAAGAGTTGGTAGAAATTTTCTCAATGAGAGGTAGAGCAGATTAGAGAATAATGAAAGACAACAGTTTCATATCAATCCCAGTCTATTTAGGCAGGGGTCCCCAACCTAGAGCTCGCAGGCACCTCTGTACCCGCCTCAGTCTTTTTTTTTTTTTTTTAAATCTATTTATTGAATAATAATACAATCAGCCACTGCTGGAGGGCTATAAGCATTAGGGCTAAAAGTTTTCATTCATACAATATATACAAATAATAAAGAAATAAATATAAACATAAGAAGTAAATAAATAATACTGATGAAGAAGGTAAATAAAAAAATAAATAAAAATAAACAAATAAAATAAAATAAAAACTTCTAAACACAATCATAACTATATAGAATATATACATTCGCCCAAGAATCTCCGAGCCAGGCTTTTCCCCCCACACGCGGAAGGCAAAGCAAGACTCCGGAAGATCCCAGTGCCACTTTTCCAGCCGCATCACTAGTATTAGAAGCCAGTGGAGACTGAAAGAGGGCAATACAGCCACAGACGCTCCGGACATGAGTGGAGAAGCTGGCCATTGCCAGGACTCCAAAGGCATATTTACAAAAGATCGCGAGGCCACTGCCGTTTCAACCTACGAGGGGGATGGTATGGATGCTCGGAGCTGGATAGGGATTGCGCTAGAGGATTGGGAAGATGAATGAGGTTCTGGTGAAAGTTGGAGAATCTGGATGGGATGATGTCATGGACATATGGGATGTTAAGGTCATGGTGTAGGGTCTTGTTCGTGACATAATATGGAGCATCGACTATTGTTCGAAGGACTTTGGACTGGAAGGATTGGATGCGTTTGATATTCGATGATTTAGTTGTTCCCCACAGTTCAAGTCCGTAGGTCCAGATAGGTTTCAGTATGGTCTTGTAGATTAATAATTTGTTTTCTGTTGAGAGATGAGATGTTCTGTTTAGTAGTCTATATAGCTGACCACATCATCAGTTAAGCTCTTGTCTTTTAAGTCTCGTATGTGGGTTCCAAGTCAGTCTTTTGTCCAGAAGGAAGCCAAGGTATCGGACTGTGTCTGAGTAGGGAAGAGGAATTGAATTAAAAAGGATCTGCGTCGAAGAGTGAAAGTTACATGTTTGCATTTTGATTCATTAATTTTGATGAGCCAGTTGTTGCACCAATGCTCAATGAAGGAGAGGTGTCTTTGCAGGTTCCGGGACGCTATTAGAGGATCTGAGTGGGAGGATAGGATGGCAGTATCATCAGCAAATGTTGCTAGGAAGGCATCAGGACTTGAAGGGATGTCAGCGGTGAAAAGGATATAGAGAACTGGGCCCAAGACACTGCCTTGTGGAATACCAGCCTCAATTGGATAATGTTTGGAGAGTTCAGTGCCGCAGCAGACTTGAAAGGAGCGATTTTGAAAGGTAAGATTTGAGGACTAGTTACACGGGTTGAGGTAAATGGGTTTTGAGCTTGAAAAGCAAGCCATCGTGCCACACCCGGTCGAAAGCTTGAGCTACGTCCAGAAAGGCACCAGTGCAATATTGCTTGTTTTCAAGTGCAGAGGATATGTGGTCCACAACGCGAAGGCCCTGTTGGACAGTGGAGTGTCTTGAGCGGAATCCAAACTGATCGGAAGGGATATTGTGGGATTCGAGTATGGATAGGATGCATTTGAGAAGGATTTTCTCAAAGATTTTGGAAAGGATCGGAAGTAAGCTTATCGGTCTATAGGATGATGTATAATTAACAGGTTTACTTGGTTTAGGAAAGAGGATAATTATGGAGTGTTTCCACACCAGGGGAAAGTGGGTTGTGCGGAGGATACAGTTGAATAGGTATGTAAGGAATATAATTGCTTTTTTGGGAAGTTGTCTGAGGATCTGGGAAGTAAGGAGATCGTGTCCTGGAGATTTGCGAGGTTTTAGGTTTTTTAAAAGGAATTTGACCTCAGAGGGGTTGACGGCTGTAGGAGGTAAGGAGAGAGGAATTCTTTAACTTCAGCAGTATGGGAGGGATGGAGTTCAGGATGAGGAGTGAATGTGTACGATAGATGTTTAGCAAACTCTTCTGCTCTATTCTCATCTGACGAAACCCAGGAACCATCATCATGGCGGAGGGGGTGGGAAATGGATTGGAATTTAAGGATTTTTTTTGTTGCATTCCAGAGGGAGTTATCACTTGCAGATAGTGAGGAAAGATAGGAATTATAGGATTGGGATCTAAACGTAGCTAGTTTTTGTTTTACCTGCTTGGAATAATAGTTATATGATTTCCAATCATCAGGATGCCTGGTTCTTTGCCAGATGGTCCTAGAGCATCGTTTCCTATTAATAAGGTCCAGTAGGTCTTGGGGTAGAGGATTTATTTTGCGGTATTTTTTAGAAGGATCAGGTGAAGATGCAGTCCAAACTGCTTGTTGGATCAAGGTAGTCATGGAATATACTGCTTCATCTAGGTCTGCAGGTGTTTTTAAGGAAACTCTGAGGTCAATATTATCATCCAGTATTTGACGGAAGAGGTTCCAATTAACTGGCCCCCTGATAAATGAAGGTGGAGATGGTTTGGGAATTGGTGATGTGGAGACCGTTAGGATTAGGGGACTATGGTCTGAGGAAAGATCATCAAGTCTTGAAATGCTATAATTAAGGGACCCTAGACCTTTGTGGATGAAAAAATCTAGGAGATCGGGATTGCGGTTAGGATCTGTTGGCCAGTATGTGGGAGAATTGGGTGAGAGGATGTTGCTGTGATGGGAATTAAGTGCAGATAGCAATGTTCGTCCTCTGGAATTTGTGGTTCTGGCTCCCCATTGCTGGTGTTTAGCATTTAAGTCTGCACCTAGAAGGAAGTGGTGTCCTAAGGAGTTAAGGAAGGAAGTTAATTGGGATTCTGAGATAGGTATTTTAGGCGGGGAGTATGCTGCGACTACTGCTATTGGGTAAGGAGAAGTTTGGATTATCACGGCAGTGGATTGTAGGAAATTATGGGTCAGCAAAGGGAATAGGTGATGGGAAAGGGATTGATGGATAATTATGGCAGTGCCAGCATGTGCTGTTCCATCATGATGGTTGGTTCAATAGATATGATAATTGGGGATGTTAAGAGGTCGTTTGTTGGCAAGTCGAGTTTCAGTTATTAATGCTATATCAATGTTTTTGTCCTGTAATAAGATTGTTAGCTCGTTGATGTGATTTCGAATACCATTCGCATTCCAAAGGAGAACGGAGAGGGATTTGATTGGGGACATTTAAGGATTTCTCGGCAGTGGGATGAGGTTGGATACAACATTGGTAAGTAAGGAAATGAGAGGAGTGATGAGTGATCTGAATCCAGAGAGAAAAGAAGTCAATAGGCTTGTGAGGTCAGTGGCATTGGAAGAAGGAGGAATGAATGTCTGGTTATTAGGCCTAGGTTCAGAGATGGGATAAGGGTCTTGAGGTTGAGATGTGAATACTCGAGGTTGAGGTTCTTATGGCAGGGCCTGAGTTTGTGTGGGTGCAGTGTCTCCTTTGAATATCTGAGCATAGGACACTCTTGTATTTACAGTTCTAGAGGGTTGTTTTGGTGGCCATTCTTCTCTTGGAGCTGAATAAATTCTTGCTTTTAGTTCCTTATATGTTTGGTAACCCTTGTAGTTCGCTGGGTGCCCTTGATGGCATAAAGCGCATACTGCTGGTGTTCTTCTGGACTTCTGGCAGTCCTCTGTTTTATGTTGATCACCGCACCGGACACATCTAGGAATGTGGTGGCAATAGCGTTTCGTATGACCATAAGCCTGGCAGTTATGGCATTGTACAATGTCCCGCTTAGTGTAGGGCTTTTCTACAACAACGCTAGTGTAGTAAAGGCGTGTGACCTTGTAGATGTCTTCGACCTGGGGCGTTCGGTCAAGGTCAACAAAGAATAATGGGAGCGGTATTTTATTTTTTGAGCCAGGCTGTTCTCTATCTTCCTTGAATATATTCACTATTTGGCGAACACAGAACCCCATCTCAGTTAGTTCTTCTTTAATGGCATCCAGCGGTGTTGATGGGTGTAATCTCTTGATCACCACCCTGAGCGCTCTCTCTTGGCGCAGCTGATATGTGTGATAATCCGCCTTAGTGTCAGATAAATACTTGACAATTTTTCTGTACGTATCTGGGGTGTCAGGCATTAATTTCGTGTCATTAGTACAGCTTTGGCATAAGTATTTACCTGAGCCCACCATATTATTTAATTGTAGACACATTAATTGAAAATTTTTTATGTTTCTAACGAATATTGGTGGGGGTTTAGGTTCACTAGGGATGGGTACTGCTTCCATTTGTTCATTTTGTGTGTTTGACAACACTTGGAATGGATTAGCTGTAAAAAAGGGCGATTCTTCTAATGTACCTTGTATTGATATAGCTTGTGTTGACATATTTTGTGATGATGTGCCAGGTTGATTTTCGACTTCGTCAACTGAGCTCTCTGGTGTAGCTGGCGGGGTATTTTTTATAGAGCGTCTAGCCCTTTTCTTGATAGGTGAACTCTTTGTGGTATCGAGACTCCTAGATCTTAAAATTCGATTGCTACCTTTGCTCGACATTACCATGTGAAAATATCGCATCTCATAATTAATTAGAGGTAAATGTAATAATTTGCTAAAAAATGTCCTTTATCAATTACGTATATATTACGCGAGTTTGTAGAATTCTGAGTAACGTAAATGTGCTTCCGCCGAAGGGCAGCAGCCCACTGGTCGGATTAGCGAATGTATATGGCCGGCTTGTTATCTATCACTATCCTCAGGTCTATTTACACTGTTCACAATGCCGTTATAGTGATTACTCACCTTATTTATGTCCAGTTTTGACTTAATTGTTAACTTAACAGTTCACACTACTTTTTCACATATAACATGAATTATTTCACTGATAATAAAGTCACTTTATAAGAGACGAAATAAAGAGTGTATGTGTAGGGTTAACGCATGCGCAGAACTGTCCGCCTCAGTCTAGCATAATCTTTAATGGCGATCGTCTTGATAACAGTTTTACTGCAGATCAACAAGTTTTCAATAAAATGTTTATTTTAAGAATTGTTTAATAATTAATTGCAAGTATGAGCAGTTACTTTGAAAATATTAATTTATTTCATTTTTTTTTTTTTCATTGCCATAGTTTTATGTGGCATGCTACAGATTGAAGAGTTTTTAAATTCAAATGTTTTTCTTAAATATATGAATATTTAAAAATTTAAATCTAACAAGATTTTATGGATATAAAATTTAAAAGTAACACACCCACAAACATACATTCAACTTAATTCAATTAATTTCCAAATTGTCATTATTTAAATAATTAAATGATAATTAATTCTAGCACTAGATTAATAAATATCATACAAAAACATTTGGAGACCGCATCCAAGGACACAACTATGTCACAGGAGCCACATGCGGTCTCCGAAGCCATAACCTGTGACATAACATATAAATGTGCCTACGGGTGATAAAATGATGGCGATCATAGTGTAAAGATGTGTACAGATAAGGATACAAAATGTTGGGAACCCGTTAATGGGCGTTTGATGTTGCTTGGATAAAGCTCCATGTATTGTTACATTTAGAAAAATATAGAAATTTTCAATATCCCAATTTAATATTTAAAGTAGATAAGTTGATTGTTTTTAGGAAAGATAATTTTAATCATTAATATTGCTTATTTTTGTTGGACGCCATACTATTTTTTTTATGTCTGGATAATAGTGAAACCTTAAATTATCTACTTCAATAAAAAAATATATATATATATATAATTCCAAAAATTTAATTATAGTTGCTTTCAAATAGGGTCAATAAAAAAATAAATAAATAAATGAATTTTACGGAAGAATTAAGAAGAGCAAAACTGATAATAAAAATAATTCTAAAATAAAATAAAGTGGCACTTCCGGTTAGCTGATTTTAAGGAAAAAGTTGCCGTCACATCTAAGGCATATACCAATCTTAAATACCTAATATCAGTTTCATAGGACTTTTCGTTTTTGAGCTAGCCTGCTAACATATAAACACACAGATCATTTTGCGGGACTTGGTTATTTCGACTCAGGGTACCTCAAAACATGTATTTCCGTTGAAAACTCAGATTCAAAGATTTTCTCGATCGCAATACTTATCCTTACTATATATTACATATATACATAAGTGAAAGTAAAAAAATTATCAATTGAATTAAGATTCACATTCAAGTCTCTAGAGTGAGAGACGGACACCTTACCCTTCACCAATACTATCTGTTGATTTAATAATGACTTAACTTACTACTTATGACAATTCAGAGAGATGAGAGTACCAACTATTATCAATAAATTTATTTGTTAACTTTTATAAATCAAACAAAAAGTTAAAATAAAAGAAAAACAAATAATAAATTTCTCCTTGAACACAAAAGAAAAAATACATTTTTGTTGAAACACTTGAGATGAAAAAACAAATAAAAACAAATATCCAGCTGGAGTAAAAATTAAACTAATACTATCTTAAATTAAATTCATTAAACCTCCAAGTAAGTATGATTTTATTCTATAATTCCTAGCCCTTGAAGGTTAGGGGTGAGTTGATTTAGTTTCACTACAAAGCAATAAAAAAAAACCATTGATATTTAAAGGATCAACAAGACTAGACACTACAGACATAAAAAAAGTGAAATATACCAGTATTTACGTAATTTTGTCCTGCACATTCCGCTGGTGATGTAGAGTCGTCTTGAAATCAAGTTTCTCATTCTCCAATCCAAATCGGGTTGATAGTGATTTTTGGGACCTAATCTCCTTTTTTGTTTATCCACCAACGTGTAGCAAACCAAAACAGTACACCACAATCACTTATTTTTAACGCCAACAAATTGGCCAACAACTTGTCCTTATCACCAACTCTCTCTTCCTCTTGTTTAACTTGTCAGCCCCCAATCAGCGACAGCAAAACTCCGGGCGCCCCCACACTACAAATTGTTATCACTATTCATCATACACATTATTTATAGAAAGTTAATTTGACTCCACTCTATATACATTATCTTAAAATAAACTAATTCTGAATTATAATTATCATATTTCATTTAACCCTAATTTTGTTTTCCTTTTTTTTTTTCCAGTTTGCCTGAAATTGAAATTTTCATTTCTTCTCAACTCTACCTCTCTGAATTTGTTTTTCTTTTTTACTAAAAACAATCAGCTTATCTTCTTTAAATATTAAATTGAGATATTCAAAATTTACTTATTATTTTTTTAAAATAAAACAGTATCTAGAAAGAACTTAATTCAGTTCTGAGTTAATAATTAAAGAAAACTTTCAAGGCGGTATTAGTCCTGCTTTCATCATTATCATTAGCACAACAATAAATGAAATGGAAGTGATAGCAGAGAGACTTTTTAAAAATGGGAACAAACTATGACGACAGATTGTTGCCAGAGTTACTTTTAAGCAATGGTACCTAATCCCAGATTTTCGTCAGATTAACAAAATCTGATTTTTAGGAATTATTGGACTGGATATTTCATAAACATTAGTTTTCGTTTGATTTTCAACCACCAGGGGAGTGCACCAAAGACTTTACATACCCTTTTATACAGATAAATTTCTCGAACAAAGTCGAAATAGTAGTTAACATACTTTTCCACTAGATATGTCAGGAAAGTAAATTTACCTTGCAACTTAGCTTTGAGTGTTATTAGTTATTCATGTTAAAAAATTGTAATAAATAACATTTCCTCAGTTACAACATACATTCAACAACATATATAGGGGGTCTCATAAATAATAGAAATATTTAAAGAAGTAAACTCGAAGAGTAAAGGAAACAGTTTACATAAGCAATATATTATCATTCAGCGATGGTCTGTCCCTTATCACTTCAATCAATTTTAAAACTTGGTCATTGGTCCACCCCGATATTTTACTATAACAAGAATATAACAAATCGCAGTCACACCAACAGTTATACAACAGAAAAATGGTAGAATGACAAATATGTTTTGAGCAATATATTTTCTGAAAACAAGTAGCACTGCTGTAGTTTGGTAAAAAATGTCCTACATGTTGGGTCAATATGTTCCCTTGACCAACCAGAATTGTTTTGGATGTTTAGGAACTATCTAAACTGAACCATATTACAGAAAAAAAAAATGTCTACTGGAATTTAGAGGACAGCGTGAAAAAGGTCAATCCAAACTATTGTATTATAAGAAAGAAGGTAATGTTGAATTCCGAGGATGACTTGTGAGTATGGTAGCAGCAGTTAACTACAGCCTCAAACAAACAATATAGCAAGAATGTATCTTTATATCATGAGAGATTTAAATTTAATTAACTTATAGTTAACAGAATACTTACCACTCTTCTTCTTTTTGGTAAAAAATTTTCAACTATCTTATGACTCTCAACAATATCATCAATTGGTGGACTAGTTGGTTTCCAAGGAATCAAAATATTGGTTTTTTTAGAAGTAATGTCATACTAGAGAAAAACAATAATGATTACAGAGCATGATATTTATAAACCAACAAATAATTACAAGACAACTACAAAATTACTAAAGTGATAATGACAAGTAATCTTCTTTTTTAATTAATAATCAATACCTTACCACATTAATAATCAATGATAACAGCATATGATGGTGATGGTTAAGAAAAAATAACATGTATTATTTATTGGAAATATACGTTTCAACTTAGATAGAAGGTCTTTACGAAGGCTATAAAGAACAAGAGACAAATGTGATCCTTTTTTTTTTTTATTGTAGTACTGAGTTCATGATACAGGGATACAACACAACTCCTCATGATACTGTTGTTTTGTATTGTGATGCAGATATTCTATCTTAAACCTAGTGATATTTTAATGGGATTACCAGCTCAAAAAGTAAATTAAAACAGTAAAAGTAATTCAAAACAGGAGAATCTTGCGAGTCTTTCCGTTTGACTTGGAAGTAGTGGAAAAAGAGTGAAATTTAAGTTACCACTATGATTTTATTTTGAAACTAATTATAGGCTATGCTAGTAAAAGCCTATAATTAGTTTTAACATGAAATCACAGTGGTAACTTAAATTTCACTCCTTTTCGATTAGAAAAATTAAATTTATATTATAATGTTTCACGATTCCAAATATTTTTTTTTATATATTATTATTGTTCTTGTTTTATGTTTACATTTTTATACAGTGTTGAGTAATCTCTTTTAATTGACTGATTTAATAATAAAAATATTTTATTAATTAAATGTTGAGTGTTTTCTATTTCCTCCACAGCCTCTCTATTTCCCTCACTTTCATGGTTTCAATTATGATCCAAACTGTGGACTCCACTCTATGAAGGGATTTTTCACTAGTACCATTAGTGAACTATTATTGAATGGCCCATATATGAACATTGGGCATTTAAGCCTTTCAAAGTGACATCAATGAGGAGAAAACTTAAACGGTATTAAAGACCACTTAAACGATACACCAAGTTTAATCAAAATTGTTAGAGCTGTTTTTGAGAAAATTGAAAAAATGTGGTTCACCGTTGATATAAAGTGGGACCTCCGATTAGCTGATTTTAAGGAAAAGTTGCTGTCACATCTAAGGCATATACCTATCTTAAATACGTAACATCAGTTTCGTACGACTTTTCTTTTTTGAGGTAGACTGTTCACATACACACAGACCATTTTGCGGGACTTGGTTATTTGGACTCAGGGGACCTCAAAACGTGTATTTCTGTTAAAAACTCAGATTCAAAAATTTTCACGATCGCAATACTTTCAGTTGCTAAATATTATATATATAGGTAAGAAAAAGTAAAAAGGAACCCAAATTAATGTTTAAAAGTTAAAACATTTTTAAATAAAGAAAATTAAGATGAAAAATGTTAAAAAATTGTAATAAATAGTACAGATAAGGTAACATTTACTTTCAATATAGTACTAATAAGGCAGTATGACAACAGATGAAGAAAAATCAGTTTGAATTTCACTTACAGTATATAGATTGCCTTCTTGATCAATTAAATGCAAAATTCCATTGGAGTCATATTTCATATCGTGAAACCCATTATTTTCCAATGTGATATCACCAGTATATTTTTTAACTAAGAGAGATTCATCACAGAGGATATTTAAATACCAGAACTGTAATAGGGTTTTATCTTTGTGTTCTTGCAGCAAAGCATAATAAGTTCCCTCCAAACTGGCACTAGTAACAAAAACTTTGATCAGATCGCAAAATAAGTAAGTATATAATAAAATGGTCTAAAGCCTAGTCCACACTAGTAGACATGTAGGTCTCTGAGACGTGCCCCCTGTATTTACTCCTTTAGTTGACATTGTGTGAGGGAATGAGAAGGAATATATAGGAATGTGAGGTTGCACGATGAATTGTACTCAATTACGCAGTGGAAAAATTATTCATGGAAAAGTCTCATGTCGATAAACAATCGATGAAGAAGGACGCTGGAAAAAGGTCAGAGCAGGTAGCTAGCTAGCAGCAGCTGGAAGAGGACGCCAGGCACTTGAGGCTGAGACATTGAAGCGGAACGAAATACCTGAGAAAAGAGTCTACTACAAGATTTAGAAGATCAAGTCTATAGTTATAACACTTTAATAGAGTCAATTTATTACAGTTGTAGAAATAAATTATTTTGTTTACTAAGTTTCACATTATATATATATGTTCTTATTGTTTCTTGTCACTCAGTGTCACAAAAAGTATTAGATTCCCGAATTCCCAACAACAGTTAAACACCCTCAAAAAGTCTATATCCAGTGCCGGGGTTTTGTTTTAATATTCACGAGAGTAAATAACTTAGTTCCCCGATATAAAAAGTGGAAGGCTATTCGCTATTCCCACCAAAACAAATTATTAACATTTAACTTTTATTAGGTTATTTACATGTTTATAGACAAATCATCCCGTCTACAGGCCTGTAGCAAGACCAAAAATATAAATATCTAAAGTTTTCAAATAGGAATGGGAGACCATATACATCGTTAAGACATGTTGAACATTTTGACAGTGTGGACGTCACCCAGCTTCTAGATATGAGTCAGGTCCCAGTCTGTCTCCACCTACAGTATTGTGGTTTGGGTGTTCATCCCTCCAATTTTCAGAATCAAATCTTTAAAATCAGTCAGCCTCAGCCTGGTGAAATCCCAAAAACTCTTGGAGTCTCCTAATCTTAATTTATTTAATAATGCATTACCGAATTTAGGTCATTCTGCAAGTACTGCGCGCGTCCACATGTTTTTATTTTTGTGTTCTTTTACTTCTAATTAGCACTAAGCAGAAGTTCATTCCACACAAAACATTCTAACTTTTTAAAAAGGTCTATTTCTATTCTAAGTTCTATTTTAACAGTTTTAGTGAAACTTTTAAGGAAAAAGATTTTTAAAATAAAAGTTGTAAAGGAACTGAAAATTATAAAGATATTGTTGGTTTCGCAATATAATGGTGGGTAAAAAATCTCAGGAATAAAACCATAAGGGAATTCTTAGAGAAGATACCTTGAAGAATGTAGTCAAATAGAGGCTCTAAGGTTAAATGTTTTTATCATATGGGCTAAATGAACGAAGCCTATAAGCGGATCCTACACGGTCATTCGGCATTGCATTCCGAGGCACTAATGACGTTCCGATTAATCGTGTAAGATACTGATTGAAGTTCTGATGGGCCTGTCTGGTGGATTTCGGAAAATCCGGAAATCAAAGATTCATTCACGAGAAGTGGAGGGGAGACTGACCATACTACTAGATAGGTTAGTTTGCCTAGGCCTCACAACCATTGTAAATTTCTGATTTTCATTAAAAATAAATAGGTAAATAGTTTTTCATATCTCTTGTTTATATTTTCTAAACCATCTTCAACTTTTTTTTAATTAGTGAAGTGGACAACAAATTTTTTTAAAAAAGTGGAAACTTCAAAATTTACTTAAAGATTAAAAAAAAATCTTTAACTGTTTATTTGTCATTAATTTTTCCATTTTTCTAAACAAATTGATTATTTATGCAATACTTTTCCTTAATTTTTGTAAGTTGACTTATATTTTTCTAACTTTGGTCTAAACGATTTTCAGGCACTAAGAAGTAATTATTATATCTCCATTTTTCTCTTGATATCCAATGCTATAAAGGACAATGTCCAAATAAGCTTTTTAAATTAAACACATTATTATAAGCGGACAACCCACCAGAACCATGCTGTCTGTTATCTCAATGTCAACTGAGCTAAAATGGTCAGTAATGATGAACGTGTAGGGTTCATCATGATCAAGGCGAGCCAGAGCAATTCTTGTCAGTCTTGTGACTTTCATTCGTGTCATAAGGTCCGCTATAGAATTGGTTTGAAGTCAGGTCCAGTAAATGTGGTCCTTGAGGAAGACCTAGACTGTTCAGGACATATCAAATCTCGACGATTAAAAAAAAGAAGGAAAAATTTATGAACACGTTATGAAAGCACTGGTTTGAGATCGTTATACATGGGTGGCTTGATTTGAGGCACCTCCACACCAAGGAGTTAAGAAGAATCACAAAGGAGTTATATCAAAATTTGAATGAAGAAGAAAACTTTATGAAGATACAGCACAGAATGAAAATGTTTGTAAAATGCTCATAGCATAGTACAACATTTATGGTATTAAAAAACTTCCAATTCATTTGGGCAAATTTGTAGCCCAATGCTTTATTTATTTCATTAGCATTTTTACCATATAATGAAATAAATATTTCATTGGCATTATTATCTTATAATAGAATAAATAAAACCTGGTTTTTATTTAATCCACATTCATAAAATTGATTTTTTATTATTTATATCAAGAAAAAGCCAAAAAACATGATATTCATGTCATACATACCTAAAATATTCTGGATGGATTTGGGGCCTATCTAATATGTAACTACAAAGGACGTAAGTACAACGCCAATACCAAACAACAACACGATGTTCAGCAAAATCACATTTAAGAGATAGTAATAATCCATTGTTTCCAAATTGAATATCAATCACTTTACCATGATACTGATCTGTAAGTAAAACAAGAATAAAACTTCACATGTTTTTGTTAAAAGGAAATGTATATATTATTTATATTTGTGGAAGCGGGGTAGCTCAGTGGGTGAGCACTGACTTCCAAAGCTCAAGGTCCTATGTCATCCGGCGGATGACTGGTAATATTTCATCAGCAGTGGGAGACCCTCCTGCGGCAATAAAGTGGGTACTCTTAATTAAATAATTAATTAAGGAGGAAAACCTGGCGGTTGAGCATGATATTGGCCCATCACCTCCCTGCACAACCGTTGGCCTTTTAACAGTACTTCCTCACATTGTACTGCACCACAAAACCTTCAATGAGTTGTTAGTGGTACAGGTATTTTTTTTTTTTTTGTACTTCTACTTGGGGAGTAGAACAGTGTTGGACCTTATTTGAATAAATTTATATCTAGATAATGAATGACATTGACTTTGACTTTTCACAATTTATTTACTTTTTTCTTACAAATGACCAGAATCATCTGTCATATAGTATTTGTAATTTAAGATAATTGTTTCATTGAAATAAAAAACATGTTAAAAAAGCAATATCATTTAAAAATTTTAATAACTTCCACACACCATAAAATTTTCAACTTTTCATTCGCTTTTCCTCATATATTTTGTGAATGAGAAAATTGATTTTGAACTATTTTTCAAACATTTAAAGATAATCCAATAGGAAAACTGGTGTTATATTTTTTTTCCAAGTATTTAATCGCTTTTAAACTTTTAACTTGTGAATGGATGATCAATTTTAACCATTGCTTGAAACTTTTATTGAACTTATTTTAAAAGTTCTATTTCTGTTTCAAGTTTTATTTTGACAGTTTCAGTAAAACTTTTAAGGAAAAAAATGTTAAAATAAAATTTCTGAAGAACTTTTTTTGTAATATAATTCAACAAAACTTAAAAAAAAAAAGTTTTGTTGTTGCAAGACAAAAGTTCTAATTCCTAAATAACTGAAAACAATTGAAAATAAAGACTCAAGTCATTCTAAAACTGATTAAATATAAAAGTTAATATTTCATTTCAAACCTGGTTTAAACAGTTCAAATTGTGACATTGCCTAGAGTGAATCATGGGGAAAATCGATATCAATGTATGAACTAAATATCGAAAATCCATACTTCACATTAGACATGTATAGAAGCATTTTGCAGCTCACACACTGGAAAACCTTTAGATATATTTCTATTTATCCAAATGAGTCATGAGTGTCGGTGGTTGTAGTGCCCTTACTCAATCTCCGCTGGCTTTTAATACCAGTGAAGTGGTTGAGGAAGAAGCGCAGGGGGATCTCCTGAAGCCTCGCTTTCCCACATGTGGGGGGACAAGTATGGTTCGGAGTTCCCATGGTCGACTATAAATAGTGTAAATAGGTATGCCTGCGTCTAAGATGTTTATTTTCATTACCTTTTTTTTTTTAAAGATAATTTTAATTCTATTTTATTCATTTATTTTTATTCTATTATTACTATTATTTATATTTTCTTCCTTCACTATGATATTTTATTTTGTTCTTATTTAGCTTTATATTATTTTGAAATTAATTTTATTTTTTTTTTTTTTAATTTGTAAATATGGTGTGAATGTGCTCTCAGAACTCTATTGTAAACGTCCTTTATTGAGACAGATTGTAATATTTACCAATAAACAAATAATCCATAAAAAATTTATCCAAATACTTTCTCTCTTTCGGTGGCATCAAAATAAATACCGGGTATTTATATTTAACATATTATTGCATTCAATTAAACAATTATGAACAAAGTCACAGGCAACAGCTAGTAATAACATACTAAAACCATGTTTAATAGAAAACTTTTAACTCTAACCAAAAAAACAATTACTATATCAAACATCACCCACAAACTGTTTAATTCACAACATTATCTCTTCCTAATATAAAAAATATAATTCTATGAATGCTCTAATTTTACTGATATATTATATTTATTATGATGATATGGAAAAAAAAATTAACTCAATAAACAATAACATTATACCTCGAAGAATGAATGCTATTTGAAGATCTGGATATGTAACAACAAAAATGCTAGGTTCATTTGTTTTCTCAGAAAAAGCGAAGAAGTCTTCTTCTTGTGAACCTCTAATACAGCCAATACCATCAACATCAGCTGGTGAATAATGCAAGTAGTTATCCATGTTTATATCATAAACAAAAATAAAATATCCACTGGCAAGAAGTACAGCTGAATTCTTGACACTAGTCAGCATTGTCTTTTTTGTACATTTTATCCACCTGAAAACAGATAATTCGAAGAAAAAAATGCAATAGAAACAATAACAAGAGATAACATTATTCATATAAAAAAAAAACCTCTTAATAGCTAAACTAAATGAAATTAAATATTATTTTGTACTTTCCACCAAAAAAATGTGTAGATATGTACTAATGTAAAAAATACTCAAATAAATCAATACTGCATTTAAATACAATGGCAAAGACATTATTGAATAGTTTTAATTTAAGAAGTAGAAAAAGGGGGAGAGATGTGATGATAACTTAAATTTATATTTATTGGTGGCAAACATTTTAATAAATCTATATCCCAAAGGAGACAACTGACCAGTTTTCTAAAATTCAGTTGCCTATCATCCATCGGCATTAATGGATGGCCTGGATGAAGACCTACAACAAAGGTTGAAAAATAGTTAATCAATAAACACAATTTCCACATATTTTGTGAGTGACCTTTGAACATACCCCCAACTAACTTCACTATAAATTATATATCACCAAGTTATTTTGGCCAAAAGGTAGAATTTAAAAATATGAATACTGTAAATTGGTTACAATTTATTATGAATGACGTTAAGCAACTAGTTCTAGCTAATCTATATAAATAAAATAAAGGTTTTGTCTGTACATTGAATAGAATCAACCCATTTCATGATATATTTCCGTTTCATACATTACAAACACCACTTATAAAAATATTTTTGTCTGTATGTCCACATTGTCCAACGAAATTTTGTCAGGGGTATGCTCAACAATAGCAAATTTTCAAAAACTTTCTAATTTTTTTTTTAATCAATGGTCTCTAAGGAGTTAGTGAATTTTCTCTTTATTTTTTTATAAAATTAAAGTTGGATTAATTTATTAAGTATTAAGTTGGATAAAAAACTTGAAAACTTTCAAACATTGAAAATCTCTTAACTTTTATTATGAAACTTTTAGTAGAAACCTTGAATTTATATATAAAAATAATAATGTGCTTATCGAATTAAATTTCTGAATTTCAAACAAAAAGCCAGTTTAAAAGAATATTAAATTAAAAAAATCCTTCATTATTAAATTAAAAGTTGTGCACAAACTGTAATTTTATGAAAAAAAGTTTGAGAATTACACAATTTAAATCCTCTAATTCAGTAAAAATTGTCTAATACGCAAATATATTAAATAATAAAGTACGTAATAAGGAAAATGTTTTTAACTAAACGTTTCAAAATACGCAATTAAAATTATATTGAAATTCTCACCCTTATCCCCACTATTAAATACGGAAAAAAATATGTGATTTAAATAAACCAATTAAAATCAAATTGAAATTCTCCCTCCTCACAGATAGACAAGAAGATTATAATCGATAAGTATATAGAATATATACTAATATGAAATATCTATATAAATAAAATAAAGTTTATGTCCGTACATTGAATAGAATCAACCCGTTTAATGATATCTTTCCATTTCATACCATACATTGCAGACACCAAATCCACTTTGAAAAAATTTTTTTGTCTGTCTGTATGTCCGCACTGAAACATAATTTTTTCAGGGGTAAGCTCAGCAATGGCTTATTGTAAACTTTTGAAATTTTGACATTATATTTAGGCTTGCTTGACTTAAAAGATAGGATTTAAATGAAAATAAAATATTGAGTAGAACAAAAGTTATGAATTCCTGAGTAATTTGTCTAGAGATCCTGGTTAGGCAATTACTTACTTTGATTCTCATCCCAAACTATTCTACCGTGAGCCACATTTAAAAGTTGTACTATTCAACTGATGGAAAAAATTATCACAACTCAATGGGAAAAATCAGAAATTCTGAACATCTGTAACACATTGTCGCTTAAAACACGGGTAAAACACACTTATTTTTCAACTTTGTCCGATCTTCCCATTCAAGGTGTCATTCGATTCAACTTCTCGAGCCTAACAATTGTTGTTGTATACATTTTTAGGATTAACCAAATGAATTAGCGAAAATTTCTCCCCACCTGCCACAATATACAGATAAAGTTCTAATTTTACATGGATGTAGGTGACTCAATGTTCAATGTTATTTTGCCCGCAATAAACTCAGCAGAGTTTAAAAATGTGGAAAGACTATAAATCTTTTTGTTAATTTCAATCGACTCAACATTCTCCTCACTTCATCATAAATGAAAATTAAACAATTAAAAAAATTTAATGGATCAGTGGTGGTCGGTTAAGTTGTGTGGTATCTAAACAAATAGCCGAATAACAAAGTTTTTATTATGACTACTGTGAAACCTTAACTATCATAACCCTATGGAATAAATAAAATTACAAAATTTCAAAATGACTTCTCTCCCCACCCATTTTTATGATATTAAATTTGGATCCTCCCATAATACAAAATCCATCTCTAAAAAAGATTCTCAAATTTTAGCTATACAACCGTCAACGATGGGTATATCAGCTAGTTTATATATATCGCACTGCTGTTTGAAAGCATCAATTTAAGCAAGAGGCAATTGGATTTCGTTGACGTTATATTTCAAACAATAAAATTTTTAATGTTGTCAGTGCTGATTTACATAATATTGAGACATAAAGAGTAAAATACGTAAATTAATTTATTAAATGCAAGAACAAAATTTTGAGAACTTTGTCTGAATATAAATGTTGAAGAAAATTAAGCGTATAGAGATAGATGACTGCAACTCCTAAAATTAAGAAAGAATAGCATCTGGGCTTAAAAATGTTATTTCAACAAGTAAAAATTAAAGAAAAATTCAACATAATGATTTTACTTTGTATTTATGGTATTAACTATGGTAGCCTAATAGGTACTTAAATAGAATGGAATCAACTGCAGGAACATATACACTGTATTCTGATTTCATACCGTATAAAAGCATGAGGAACTTCTATTGCAGGAACCCACTGCCTCCTTCTCTCTCTTTTCTTATCGAGGATCTCTATTCTTTCCCTCTGACCCCAAAGATGCATTGATTTTCTCCACTTTGTAAATGCATTATTCAATAAAGTATGTTTAAAAGCATGTTTTAGTGAAACATCTAGAACAAATGATAATTAAATTTAATGATTGGTGATATAAATATGAGCTATAAGCTTTTTTGTCCTTCCTGAACTTCAGCCAAGAAATTAAAATCAACTTATAAAAGGTTGCTTTTAGTTTCTGTTAAATAACATAAAAGTAGAAAATGTCAGGCATTAGTTTTTCATCACATTCCTACCTTCCTCTACTACCTTCTATATTAACTACGTAGTAGATATTATTTTTTATTTAAAATTCTTAGCTTTCCAACTATATATTTTATATATATATATATATATATATATATATATATATATATTATATATATATATATATATATATATATATGTAAGGTCATTTAATTATTATTTAATAAACCATTGATCTATTAACTATAGTTAAGTTTAAATTTAATACTCAAAGGTCGATTAAGAAAAAGTTGTATATATATATACTCTATTTTTGACTTTGAGAATTTTACTAAACCGGCACCTTACCGTTGGTCAAGCGATTCATCAGCTCGAAGAAGTTCGAGGTGTGCAAATTTCTGAACATACCATTCGGAGAAGATTAAATGAGTTTGGATTAATGGCTTTTCGTCCAGTAAGAGGACAAGAGTTGACCAGAACTCACGGAGTAACACGGCTGGCTTTTGCTCGAGAACACAGCCATTGGACTATGGACGAATGGAGTGCTGTAGTTTTTACAAATGAGTCAAGATTCGCTCTTCGATCTCCAGACGGGTGTGAAAGGGTGTGGAGAAGAAGAAACGAAAGATATGCAGCCTGTAATTTTTCCCAGAACCAACCTTTCCAATGTGGTTCCTTAATGGTGTGGGCTGGGATTTCAATGGAGCGCCGTACAGAATTGGTTGTTGTTCGTGGAGAGTCTTTGACGGCCTTTCACTATGTAGATGAGATTTTGGAACCTCATGTGTTGCCTATCCTCAACGAATATTTGATTGTTCTATTCAAATGCACGATAATGCACGCCTACATGTTGCCCGCATAGTGCAGACGTTCCTTCAACAGAACAATATTGAGGTTTTAGTCTGGCCAGCACGTTTTCCAGATTTGAACCCCATTAAGCATTTATGGGATAACCTTGGAAGACGAATAAGAGCGCGTGCAACACTTTCTGATACTCTACAGGACCTTGAAAGGGCTCTTTGGGAGGAATGGGCTATCCTCCAGCAAAGGGACATTTCCCGACTGGTGGAAAGTATGCTATGGCGTCTTCAAGAAGTAGTGAAGGCAAGAGGAGGAAACATGCACTACTAAATGATGATGTAATTAATTTCTTTTAGAATAATAATGGTTCGTTTTGGAATCTAGAATCATTTCATTGAATTAAGGATTAAGGGTTATTGTCCTCTATATTAACATTCCTAATTGAAAATAAACCAAAAGATTACCAATTTATTCATTAAAAAAAAATAGACCAATCCAAAGCAGAAATATTTTTAGATGAAAACATGAAAAAATCAAGTGGGTGGAATTTTTTGCCTGTCAGTGTATAACTATGTATTTTATTGCTCTTATTTCCAAAAATTTGTTTTCAACCTTGGAAATATTTATCCTTTATTAGTATACTATCAAATTCATTCTCAGTCAGCTATTTTTATTATTAATTACAATGAGATTATTAATTATTAAAATTAAAATTTATCGGCAAAATTATATATATGTTAGAGGAAGCATTTAGAAAATTAAGCATTTAAAATCTGTCAGACTATTTTAATAAGGGTAAAACCTAGATGATATTAAATACGATTTAATTTATAATATAGATGTAAGGAGTTTAATCAAAAATAGTAGTGCCATTTTTGAGGAAATTGTAAAAATGTGCAAAATTAATTGCTCAAAGTAGCACTTCCAGTTAGTTGATTAAAAAAAAAAAAAAGATGCGAAAACATAACAGGCATATACCTTAAATAGTAATTTCAATTTCTTATGCCTATTTATTTTTGGGTTAGTCTGTTCACACAGACACAGAAACATATAAAATCATTTTGCGAAACCATATTTTAACTCAGAGAAATTTAAATAAAAAATCCTATTAAAAATTTATAATTGATTTTTTTCATTATCGCAATATTTTATCATACTATATATTGTTAAAGTAACAAATATGAAAAATCACATTTTAGTCCCACAATCTTACGATTTTGGAGCAAATAATTTATGAAGTTTTGCCCTTCACAGGTTTTCTTTGTAAGGTCAGGAATAAGAATTAAAAGAGTTCCCACTTGCCTGGTGGATGAAACAATCTTAAATTTGCAAAAAAAAAAAATAAATAAATAAAAAAAATGTCGACCCGACTTTGCAGGTCTTCTTCAGAGAGGTGTGTTCAGCTAGGAGTTTCACTTAGAACTAAATAAATTTAGTTCTATTGGAGTCAGCAAGGGAATGATGAATGCACCAACCAAGCCACAAGCCAAATGGTAAAGGCGGGAGTTGCCTGTTTAAGTGGCAACCGTCCAGGCGGGGAGGCATATATCCCAGTAGCACAAGTGACCCAACTCACTACCGGGAAGGCATATATCCCATCCGCAGTCAAAGGGTTAAAATTAAATTTAATATTAATAATTCTGTGGATCATCTAATGAAATCTGTAGTCTATGGACCAAACTCCCCAACCGTGGACCGCTTTCCCCCACATCTCTTGTTTCTTTGGTTACTTTTTTTGAGGTAATATTGTTTTTTTAATAAATAGTTGCAAGGAACACAGCGATAATTGTATTGTAAATAAATTATCTGAGAATAGTTATTACTGCTAAGAAGAGGGTGGTGAGTAAAAGTTGTGTGATGCGCCCATGGCACCAAAGTTTTAATTTTGATGCTATATTTTGAGTATGGTATAGTAATATAATGTACTATATTACTAGAGGCTGTTTTTTTTAATTTTGCAAATGAAAAAAAAAACTATTCAAATACTGTCAGTTTATTTTGATCAGTTGATTAATTTAAATTATTAAAAATTAACCATGTACTAGACTAATTGTTATTTCTGATTTGAGCCTTCACCTCTGGACATGGCAACCTGGGTAGCCGACCCACCACCACAATGGTCAAGATCTAAAGATTTAAGTCTGATCACATTTTGTTGAAAAATTAGTTCACCTTAAAATAGTACTGAGAAACGTTTAAAATTGGTTGGAATCAAAATTGACAAAAACTATCTATCTCGGTGGTACTACAACCCGGGGGTGGGTCTTGGCCTTCTCCAGGAGCTTCCACCATCCAGCTCGATTCATTGCCGCTGCCTTCCAGTTCGGTGCTCCTAATAGTATCCTGGAGTCAGCTGCCATGCCATCTATCCATCTTAGCCTAGGTCTGCCTCTCCTCCTGGTGCGGTCAATCCTATCCTCAAGGATACTTCTAGGAACATCAGCCTTCTCCATCCGACAAAAAACATATTGAACTAAATTTTAAAAAAACTAAGATGTGTGCTTAAGAACGCAGGATAGAAGTGAAAATATCTATAATACAGGATTGATAATATGAAATATAAATATATTTTTGTTCTATATCCACAAAGTAAAACATTTACAATTATAATTGAGTCTAAATATTTATGCATTTTTATACAATGAGATATGAATTAATATAAGACAATTATGCAGTATCGGATTTTTTTTTTTTTTTTTTGTAATAACATTTCTATGACGGAGCTCAGTCAGAAAATCGAATAGATACACTCAATTTCTTATTTTTACGGCTAATTAAAAAATATCTGTAGTAAATTCCGCAAATCCAGTCTAGCAAGGTCAAAAACTTGTACTTATCATTAGGCATCCATCACAAAAAACATATAAAAAAATTAGAACTACCTTATTTGATGCAAGATAACTCTTCTTTGTTATGAAAGTTGTATTCTACTATAAGAAAAAATAAATAACTATTTTTACCTTCAGTAAAAAATTGCATAACTTTCGAGGAAACTTTGTCTTCGGCCAAAGATTCATATTCCTTCCTCAGGCCTATTTAAATAATTATTATCAATAATATAGAAGATCAAAACATAGAAGTAACAATAAGCAAAATATCTAAAATAAAAAGTTATTTCATATGAAACAACAAAAGAAATACATCAGAAAAGTATACATTTCAAAGCGTTAAAGATAACTCCTCTTCACTTTAATAATTTTTATATCATTTTATATGTAACTTATTTCTTCATCAACAATACTTGATTTTATATTTCTATGAGTCTATACTATTAATTTATGCATTCTATTACTATATAATATAGTTAACTAAGGCTTATATTTTCCATTCCATGCATGAGATTAAGGAGTCCAAGTACAGAAAACAAAAAAAAAATATTGGTAACAACCAGCAATAATGAGGGAAAATTATTGCTTAAAACATAAGTTTTTAAATTTTATAATAATAAAATTAAATGTTTTTAAAATTATTGAATTTTAATTACAATTAATTTATATTCTGGAGCATACTGAGGAACAGGATAAATATCAGGAGGACTGAGTTTAATAATTCTTATAAGAATTTGAGTACAGAAGTAGACCAGTCATTAAGGCAATAAAAATCATCAGAAATTAATGCAGTTTAAGAAATAAATTAAGGAAGAATGGCTCATTGGGAAGACAATAACAATAATTCTTTAGGAGTTACTACATAATCAGTACAAAACTAAGAACTACTAATAAATTTCCTTTGGGTTTCAATTAATCTTAGAATCAGGTCCTTGAAAAAAAATATTATGGAAATGCAGTGCCTTGGTTATGTATATGTAAGGCTGGTAGAAGTTTCATGAAAACAAGAAGTAATAATAATCAACGGGCATTCAAATACACCTCCTGACAACACATTTTATCATCAATTATTCAAGGATTGGATTAATTCAGAAATTTACTAGTTAATACTTCTGTTGTTCCTACAACCATCAGACAACTGCGTCTTGACCTGCTTTCTTACATTACCAATAACTCCATCAGATAACACTGAATTCAGGTTTACAGTACTGTAGTACTAAAATAATTTGTCAAATAACTAAGATTTTTGTGTTATCAGTTGTAATTTCAATTACATAATCGAACTTAGAAACATATTATGGACAGTAGGAAACAGATAATAGATCCTAACTTTAGAAGAAAAATATATATGGGCACAATTCATAATTAAGAAAAGAAATTAAGTAAAGCATGGATCTAGTGGTTTTACTTTACAAAGGAGGCCTGGAAATAATGAAATTAAATAAATTTTGAAAATAAATAATATTTTTTACATATGAAAATAGGTAATTTCTCTAGGAATCTGTTCATGTTATTATACCAATTCACATTTAATCGTTGTATGTAGGTAATCAAACTAGAGTTAATATTAGTTATGAATTTCAATAATTTTTATAACATTTTAACACCCTTAGTAATAAACATACCTTCTGGTAAGTTTAATTTCTCAAAGAACTCCATTCCTGAGTAAAATAACCACTTAAAGCTATACTTAGATTAATGCATCAAACACTATGCCCATCATAAACCATCTGTTAATCGAAAACTTTGGTTGCTAAGATCCTTGTTCTCTTGCAAGCGGAAATAAGGAGGTTATCCGCCACCAAAAAGAAAAATGCTTAATCTGTTTTTGTTTTTTTTAATGAATAAAATGATTTCAGTCCAACGATTATAGGCTAAAATTAGAGGAGTATCCTTATAATTCCTTTCAAAGCCCACGAATAACCAATACAAGGCTAAGAAATAGACTCAACGGTGAAATAACAGTATGGAGGCCCGAGCAATATTTCCATGAAAAACGGAGGTAATGTAAACCGGGTACCGGCGCCACATATTTTTTGATAAAATTATGTGATCAGATTTCAGCCAAAATCTATAGGTATCATTTCCATACCAATAAAAACAATATTATTAATCAGGTTTGAAAATTTTAATTTTTAAGACAGATATAGTCGAACATAGAAATAGAAAATTGCTTTTCAACTAAATATCGCAAAGAGACGGGATGGTCGAATTTGGAAATTTCCCGTTCAAAAACTCTTTATCACTCCATTTTGCGATATCTTTTCTTCTTTTCGCCTCTCTAAATCGGTGTAGCATTAAGATACAATTTTGAATTATAGCGCATTACAAGGCGGATGGAATACTGAACAGTTCCCTCACCTCCGGTATGGAACTCCGGTTTTTAGTTTTCAAAATATTTTCATTCAAATGTTCATAAACTCGATACCATTTCATTCTGGCGCCACTTTTTCCACTCTATCTCGGTCTAGCATTATGATACAATTTTGAATTATACCCCATTACAAAGAATATTATATGCTGAACATTTTCCTCACTTACAATATGTAGATACGACTTTAGTTTTTGAGATAGCTTAATCTAAAAAGCAAAACACATCGAGCAAGATCACACAGTCTTAAGCCAGGTATACACCACAAGAATGTCCTTTAGTGTGTTTGGTGGAGTATTCGCGGTGTTGTTCATTTTGTGCTAAAACCTAGACAAACTGTCAATGCAGACTTTACTGTGAATAATTGAATCGTGTAAATCGATTTTTAATTGAAAAGAGGCCAGCGATTGTCAACATAAAATTAGTTATTCCGCAACACAATAATGCAAGACCGTTCTACGGAAAAAATTAATGAATTGGGGAGAGGTACTGACTGCCTCGTCCACCATACTCGCTCGATGTTGAACCATCGGGTTTCCATTTATTCCGATAGTTTCAACACTTTCTAAGTGCTAAAGATTTGGATGGTATCCAAAATGCCATCTCTACACACTTCAGTTCAAAAACCAACTGATTTTTATCTATCCGGTGTTGAAAAGTTGCCCATTAGATGGCAAAAGGTTGTAGATAATCTTTGATTAAAAATAAAAACTTGTTAAAAATCTATGTGTTTGAATTTAATGTAAGAAAGAGACATTACTTTTTGGTCATTCTAATCGAATGGATATAATAAAAAAAGAAATGATAAAAGGAAACAGCGATTACTAGAGGTTTATTGTGCCCCTTCTTTTCTTTATTTTTCTCGAACTAGAAGTGGGAGTATTTTGTAGATTCATTCTCAAATAATCTACACCAGGGGTCTTCAAACTTTTTGGCCAGCAGACCTCATCATTAGCGGATCCAGCCGGGGAGCGGGGAGGGGGAGAGAAGGGAGCGCTCCCCTCCCCCCTGTAGGCTGAAAAAAAATCCCAAAAAAGTTTTAAAAAATAGCTTAGCTTAACTTAATTTAGTCCTCTGTTACCGCTGAGCAGTGTGAGGTTCCTTCTTATAGAGCCTGATCCACGAATCTCTATCCTGTGCCAGCTGTCTTCTCCTACTCCAGTCCATTCCTCTCCTGTCAAAGGCTTCTTTAACTCCTTCTTTCCATCTTTTTCTTGGTCTTCCCTGTGGCCTCCTTCCCTCCACTTTGACCTCGTAGGTAGCCCTGCCACTTCTGTTTTCAGCCATTCGCGAGACATGTCCAAACCAACTAAGTTGGTTTTCTTGGATTATCTCCTCTGCAGGCCTCAGGTCCAAATTACTTCGTATGGTCACATTCCTAACGCGATCTCTTCTTGTTTTCCCCTCTATTTTCCTTAGATAGCGCATTTCCATAGCTTGGATTTGGCTTTTGTGCTTGGCAGTGAGGGTCCTAAAAAATAGTTATTTAAAAAAAAAGAGAAATAGAGAGAAAATTCATTCTCATAGACAATTAAATCTTCGATACTCACCCGGACTTAAAAAAAAAGTTTATTTGGCAAAAAGTTTAGAATGAAAAAAATATATATATATTATGCAACAACTACACTAACTATGGCATCCAACTATCTACTATGAGTGACAATGTCTGACTACTTGCTAGGCGGGTAAGGGAGGGGTATTTATACAGAGTAAGGAGACAAATGGTGACTCTAGGGATTTACCATTATTTGGCTACCTTAAGTGACGATGAATTTCTTACTATACAATAAAAAAAAAAAATTATTATCGTGACCAGTACTAGCGAATTCTGCCAGGGGGCACGCCCTCCCTTGGTTGGTGTAATAAAATATCGAAAAAAGTGACAAAAAACACCTTTTTAAAGAAAATAGAAATGTAGAAAAATTTATCCTCATACACGAATTTCCTAATGTAATATAAACAAAAACAAAAAAAATTACTATCGTGACCAGCACTAGCTAATTCTGCCAGGGAGCGTGGATGGTGGAAAAACATTCCGAAAAAAACACCTATTTAAAGAAAAGAGATATAATTGGAAAAATCATCTTTATACACGAATTTCCTAATGAAAAAAAATATATTATCGTGACCAGCAGTAACGAAATCTGCCAGGTGGCGCCCCCTCCCTTGGATGGTGAAAAAAAATATTCAAAATAACATCTATTTACAAAAATGAGAAATACAGAAACATCCTCATAGACGAATTTTCTAATTTTATATTTAAAAAAAGTTATTATCGTGACCAGCACTAGTGATTTCTTCCAGGGGGCGCGAGAAATAATTTGATTGCAGATTCTTATAGTAAGTTGGTTGGACGTTACAGTAATTGAGGTACACACACAATTAGGTATTTATTTTTTTTTGTACTAAAAATTTGGGTTAAGTGTAAGACCTTCATCATGGCTTACTAAAAACAAAATAACAACGTATTGGCAATAAGAAACAAATAGAAAACTTATTAAAAAAAGTAACTAAATACATACTTCATATAATATTGAAAATTATATCTAGTACTTTCATACTAGTATTGTATATCATGCTTACATACACTTGAATGTAAATCTTGAGGATCATAAGCTGTATTGAATTAGCAAAGACTGGATATAAAATTTAAAAACCAAATTTTCAAAAATATTTCCGTTTCATACATTACAAACACCACTTATAAAAATTTTTTTGTCTGTATGTCCTCATTGTCCAACGAAATTTTGTCAGGGGTATGCTCAACAATAGCAAATTTTCAAAAACTTTCTAATTTTTTTTTAATCAATGGTCTCTAAGGAGTTAGTGAATTTTATCTTTATATTCTAAAGAAAATTAAAGTTGGATTAATTTATTAAGTATTAAGTTGGATAAAAAACTTGAAAACTTTCAAACATTGAAAATCTCTTAACTTTTATTATGAAACTTTTGTTAGGAACCTTGAATTTGTATTTAAAAATAATAATGTGCTTATCGATTTAAATTCCTGAATTTCAAACAAAAAGCCAATTAAATTAAAAGAATATTAAATTTAAAAAATCCTTCATTGTGCACAAAACGCTGTAATTCTATGAAAAAAATTTGAGAATTACACAATTTAAATCCTTTAATTCAGTAAAAATTAGCTTATCTAATACGCAAATATATTAAATAATAAAGTACGTAATAAGGAAAATGTTATTAACTAAACATTTCATAATACGTAATTAAAATTATATTGAAATTCTCACCCTTATCCCCACTATTAAATACGAAAAAATATGTGATTAAAGTAAGCCAATTAAAATCAAATTGTAATTTTCCTTCCTTACAGATAGACAAGAAGATTATAATCTAAAATTATATAGAATATATAATAATATGGAATATCTATATAAATAAAATAAATTTTTTGTCCGTACATTGAATAGAATAAACGCGTTTTATGACATCTTTCCGTTTCATACATTGAAAACAAATTTTGTCTGTCTGTATGTCCGCATGAAACATAATTTTGTCAGGGGTAAGCTCAGCAATGGCTTATTGTAGACTTTTGAAATTTTAACATTATATTAAGGTTTGCTTGATTTAAAACATAGGCTTTAAATGAAAACAAAATATTGAGTATAACCAAAGTTATAAATTCTTGAGTAATTTATCTAGAGATCTCGGTCAATGTTGATAATAAATGTTAATAATTAACATATGTTTATAGGTTAAAGAACATCTATATTAATAAAATAAACGTTTCGTCTGTACATTGAATAGAATCAACCCGTTTCATGATATCTTTCCGTTTTATACATTACAGACACCAAATCCACTTTTAATAATTTGTCGTCTGCTTGGATGTCCAACGAAATTTTGTCAGGGGTAAGCTCGGCAATGGCCAATGGTATACTTTTGAAATTTTGACATTGCCTTTAGGTTTGCTTGAGTTAAAATAAAGGCTTTAAATGAAAACAAAATATTGAGTAGAACCAAAGTTATGAATTATTGAGTAATTTGTTTAGAGATCCCGGTTAGGCAATTACTTCGATTCTAATCCCAACCTAACCTACCACGACCTACATTTAAAAGTTGGACTATTCAACTGATGGAAAAATGATCATAACGCAACGGGAAAAATCCGGAATACCGAACATCTGTAACGCGTTGTCATATAAAACGTGTAAAACACACTCATTTTTCAACTTTGTCCGATCTTCCCATTCAATTCAACTTCCCGAGCCTAAAAAATGTTGTCCTATACATTTTTAGGATTAACCAAACGGATTAGCCGAAATCAGGAAAAAAATCTGTACACAGCAAAGTTTAAAGAAGTGGAGAGACTACAACTCTTTTTGATTAATTAATCGACTCCACAATCACCTCTCTTCATCATAAATGAAAATTAAACACTTGAAAAATTTTAATCGATCGGTAGTGGTCTGTTTAGTTTTGTGGTACCTAAACAAATAGCTGACTAACAAAGTTTTTGATATGACTTTTGCGAAACATTGAATTCCATAAGCCCCGCCATAAAAAAATTCAAAACCACTCCCCTCTCTCCTCCCCTCAATTTTATGAAATTGAATTTGGACCCTCTCCTCCCCATAATCCAAAATCCATCTCAAACAAAGATCCTCAAATTTTAACTATAAACCCGTCAACGATGGGTACATCAGCTAGTATTATATACTTATAATAAGAAAATATGTTTAAGAAAAATATGAAGAATAAATTTATATAATGCACAGAAAATTTAGATCGCTGCGAAAATTCATGGCATCATAACTATAATTAATAGTCCAATTATCAGATGGGAGAGCATGATTATTATTTTAACGTATATTATCGACTATAAAATTGAATAAATATTTCCCTCCTAAAATGGTGAGTAATTTACAATCAAGAGTTAGGAAAGATTCGAGTTTTTCGAGAATCTATGGGTAGCGTATCTTGAGAATCTTGCAACCAGCTGCCATGTTGGAGTAGTGAAAGGGATTCGGTACCAAAAAAAAATCAAGGTATGTTTTCAAACTGATTTAAAGGAGAATGACAAAGAAGAAGAAGAATAAAAAAAATGGCGAATATTTGAGCGTAGCTGATTATTATTTACTTATCACAGACGGATCTACGGATAGGGGGGAGGACTTTCGAGCTGAAGTCCCCCAAAATGGTATAATATAACTCTGCTTATGAAAAAAAAAAAAAATTATCTCTTATAGTATTATTGTTCGAGTAATTACATTTAATAGGACTTCAAGTATCACTTGATGCCATTTCATATAGGTAGTTAGTTTTTTTTTTCTACAGTAATTATCTATATATATTTATGAAAAAACAAACAAACAATCGAGCTGAAGCCCCCCTTCAAAATTAAATCCTGGATCCACTAGTGCCAACTATCACAATGGTGGTTCCTATTCAGAAAGCCTTATTACTTTCCGGGAGATTTTTGATCAGTAGTCGGTAATAATGATTGCCATCAAACTTAAGTATTACTTATCAAAAGAACTAAACATATGTTCATTTTCTTTTCCTGTCGAAGTTGACCTTCTACATGTGTACTTAAAAATAATTCATAACCTTTCCTAGACTTAAACATCGCCAACAGGTTTCTCAATATAAGAAAACTTTTAAATCTCAGACATCAATACCAGGTTTCGCTATAAAAACTGATAAATAAAACATCACTTGAATGCTAATGTGAGGCAGAAATGGTAATTATATTGAGTGACAATAGTTTTAAGTATTAGCAACCACCAGAGAGGTAGTTAAAAAGAAAGAATCTATTCAGTTGATCAACAACAGTGATTGGCTAGTCATAAACAGTGATGGTTTGTTAGTAATGAAACGTAAGGATGTTAATTATGTAGTTTGGTTTTTTCTTTATTTAGTGTGTTATCAGTTCTCAGAACTGAATTAACGTTATTAGTTAACAGTAAGTCCTTGTAATCTTGGGATACTTGGCAATCGATATGAGGATAATTAATGTTCAAAAAGAAATGTTTTTCTAATTGTAACATTCGTTCTTGCAATTATAAATTTTATTAAAGTAAGTCTATCAATTCCTAATTGTCCGCATTATAGCATTTTCATCTTTTAGAGACGAAACAAATTGTGGGCAGCAAGGGTTCGTATAGGGGGGAGGGGGAAGACTGAATGGTAAATCACAGGTAGATAAATAATTTCAAACTTTATAATATTATCCTAAATAGTTGATTGTTATAACAATACATAAATATTTTTTATAAGAACTACAATATATACATAGAGTAACAATTTTTAAACATTATATAGATACAGTAGAAAGACAACTGAACGAATATATCTGTGGATTTTATGACGCATTGTATGAAAGAAGGTATGCAGTGCTAGACTAAGATATTTTGCTCCTCAGAGTTCTCCCCATCTAAAAAAAAAAAGAATTTATTGAGCTGTTGTGTATTAATTTATATTTGAATTATGTTTTATTCATTATATATCCAATTCAGTAGCTTTATTAATGAGATAAAATCAATTTATTTCAGACACATTGTAATTGTTTTATGATTACCGACAAGTACCAACCGCTAATCCAGGTCGGTGAATCCGGATGTGTTCTGGTGATGCCCATCCCTAAAGGTATACACTTTCGTACTGAACAGATCTCTGAGGAGGGAAATCTTTTCAATAAAGATTCTTATTCTTCTTAATCATTTCCTCTTCTACCGCTGAGCGGTGTGAGGAGCCTTCTTGTAGAGCCGAATCCACAACTCTCGATCCTGAGCCAACTGTCGAATGCTCCTCCAGTCAATATCCATTCCGTCAAAGGCCTCCTTGGCACTGGCCTCACAGGTTTTCCTGGGCCTTACCTGAGGTCTTCTTCCCTCCAGTCTACTTTCCAACGCTATCCTGGCCATTCGATTCTCTGGCATTCGAGAGACATGACCAAACCATCTCAAAAGATTTTCCTCCATCACAGTTTCGGCTGATCTTACGTTCAGATTTTTCCGTATTATGGAGTTTCTTATGCGATCTCTTTATGTTTTTCCTTCGACCCTGCACAAGAATCGCATCTCCATGGCCTGAATCTGGCTGATGTGCTTTGTGGTGAGGGTCCATGACTCGCTGGAGTAGGTCATTATCGGGAGGAAAGTATTTTTGCACACGGTCGTTTAGGTCTCTTTACTCACTTCTCTCTTGTTCAAGAATCCCTTCTTGATGGCGTTGAAGCACCTTCCTGCAGACTTCACTCTTTCCTTTATTTCTGCATCGATCCATCCATGTTCATTGATGTGGGCACCGAGGTATTTGAATGTTTTCACTTGTTCCAATGGGACTCCACTCAAGTGCACTATTCTGTCTCCTCTTCCTTGTTTCCTGCAAATCCTCATAGTTTTGTTTTTTTCCACATTTATTTGCATGTTTATCTTATTTAATTCTTCCTGAAGAATGCGGAGGTTGAATTGCAAGTTTCGTCCATTGCTTCCGAAAACCACCAGATCGTCTGCATAAGCGAACAGAGAGAAAAATACAGGCTGTTGATTTCTGTATCCCACTTGATATGACCTCATATTTTGTTTTGCTATTTGTATTGCATTATCTAGCACTAGTGTAAATAGCAGAGGACTTAGACTGCACCCTAGCCTAATACCTTGATTAGTTGTGAACACTTCCGATATATTATTGCATGTTCTCACAGCATTTCTTTGGGTCTTATAGAGACTTAGAATTGCCTTACGGAGGCCCGTTTCGATGCCTTTGTCTTCTAAGGCTTTTGCTATGTCTTGCTTCTTCACTTGGTCAAATGCCTTAGTGAGTTATTATTCAATAAAGATTAAATAATTTATATTTTTTATTTCCCTGTACTATTATGATGAAGAATACGAGGTTATGGGTTAGGATTCGGATCATAATGTTGAACACACTTTCATACTTCTTTCACTTTCATTCAGAAGGTTTTGTACAACGAAACTCACGTATGACCACCGACTGGTTCAACATGCCCACACACTCCAGAACTTTTATTAAAACAAATAAGTTCGCACACCACTACTGAAGGTATTATTTTTAACGGTACAACTGATGACATTAATATTAACGTCGCCACTGTGGTTATTATAGTAGATAAAATTACCTATCAATTAATAATTGAGGGAGTTGTTGAAGATGACGAAACGGTGAGACTGGGTAGACAATATTAGTCTTGGAATTTTGGAGCAGATGCAGAGGGTTAAGTTTTTTTGCGAAGGTTATGTTTTTCGGTTTATATCTTGAAAATGGTTAGGGTCGTAGTATCAAATTCTCCAAAATAATAAACATTTTGGTTTTTAATATATATATACTCTTCAAGAACATAGATTTATTTTCTCTCCTTTCGTATTTACAATTAGTTTTATAGTTTTTGTATCTAGAACAAAGGTTTCCAATAAGAAGTTTAAGATAATTAAATTTCCTTTAAATGAGTTTATCTTCAGTATCCTGTCTTACACCGATCAAAAGTTAGTAAATTTAAGAAGCCGTAGTTAATTTAATTAACGTAGAAAGCCGCTAAATTATTTTCTATTGCATCAAGTGCTGATGGAGAAAGAAAAAATGTTTCTTGAGATGGTATGGTGCAACCACTAAGCAAACATCTCTGAATCTATATCACTATTAAACGTCCGTGAAGTCAGTAACGAACATCAAAACTGAATTCTCACACCACCTCTATATAACTTACCTTCCCATACGAACTGTCTACTGCACTGTGGAGATGGGTGCAAATCCCAAGTAATCCGATTGGAGGGGAGGAGGAGGCGTTATATATAACAATAACTTTTGACATTTTTGAAGTCAGCAATTACTTCCACTACAAAACTGAAGATCTGGAAGTTTATTCACTTGATTAAACTGAGAATCAACTGAGCCCATAGTTCTAGGAAGTACAAAAAACCTATTATAATACTGGTTTTCATATTTCTAATGTTTACCTTGCGGCAGGTCAAGATGCTACGTAGATTGCAACATCATCAAGATTCGTTGATTCAATCAGAGCCTGAGGACGAATGTCCAACTATAATTTTACTTTAAAAAAAAAAATACCCATTTATTAATAAATTAGTCCTGAAATATCAAATATTTTTTTCCTTTTTTTTTTTTTTTTTGATTGGATTATTATTTCTACGAATTTTGGAATTCTCAGGAATATTTTCTAGGAAAAACTATATTGAACATGGAGAATCGAGGGACCCCTTGACCATCCTCTGTGCCTGGGAAAAGTTTGCCCATTTGTCATCACGGTCCTACTTTTCCTGTTTTTCACTTGTCCATATGTTATTTAAATTGCATATTCATTTTGGTAAACAAGGATGATGATGACGAAGAATATGGATCTATGATTTCAATCTGCCAAGAGACATTGCACAAGACATGGAGAACGAGCCAGAATCAGGACCTCCAATGAAAAGAAACAAATTGATGTAATATTCATTATTATTAATAGTCCATTAATTATATTAATGTTCATCAATAATATAAGTATTGATATTGAACGATGTTGTTGTTCTTCCTACATTCATATTCCACCCATTTTATATTCAGATGATATGACTCAAATTTGAAAATTTTATATAATGATGAAGGTATAGTGAATTCAAAGGAAAGTTAATTATCTATAACTTTTCATTGGAAACCTTTAATTTCAGATTAACGGCAATGAAGATAAATGAAAAACCAATGAATAAAAGTAAGTCAAAAAAGTTTTATTTATTCATGTTTTTTAAATTGAAGAGGTATTACTACTATCAACTGAGGGTAATTTTAGCTCAATAAACGAAAAAAATATTCTATGTGCTGAATCTAAACAAAGAGAGTAATCAAGAGAAGAATAATTGGAGTGATCAGTCAAATAAGAAGGCAAAAATAAATGATACTATTTATTTTGACATTAGCCGACGTTTCGACCTGAAGTTCAGGCCATCATTAGGGCTAAGAAAAGAACCAGATAACAAGGTATGAGAAACATAAAAATTACAGTAAAATGCAGTTGTTAGAATAATGACAATAGTAAGAACAAAGAGATAAATGATAATAAGCGGTACAGAGTGTGGAATGATGAAGTAAACATAATCAAAAAAGGTGACATAAGTATTAAAATGGGAATCTTAGAATAAAATGTAAAAAAAGTAAAATATGAAGTTATATAAGAAATGGAAATAAATAGTAAAATTAAGATATTGTGAATAGAATAGTTAGATAGAAAATTGAGATGTTGTAAAGTCTATCAAGATGTATAGACAACGTATAATATAATAAAGAGTTAAAACAGAGCAGAGGGATGAAAGGAAGGAGAAAGGAAACTGAGAAGGAGAATACATCTTGATAGACTTTACAACATCTCAATTTTCTATCTAACTATTCTATTCACAATATCTTAATTTTACTGTTTATTTCCATTTCTTATATAACTTCATATTTTTCTGTTTTTACATTTTATTCTAAGATCCCATTTTAATACTTATGTCACCTTTTTTGATTATATTTACCTTACCATTCCACACTTTGTACCGCTTATTATCATTTATCTCTTTGTTCTTACTATTGTCATTATTCTAACAACTGAATTTTACTTTAATTTTTTTACCTACACTACTTATGTTTCTCATACCTTGTTATCTGGTTCTTTTCTTAGTCCTGATGATGGCCTGAACTTCAGGCCGAAACGTCGGCTAATGTCAAAATAAATAGTATCATTTATTTTTGCCTTCTTATTTGACTGATCACCCCAACTATTCTTCTCTTCATTATTCACGACAGTCAACCATTTACCAATTATGAAAGAGAGTAATCGTTAATTGTTTCTTGCAAGCGGTAGTAATAAATGAATGACAATCAATTTTATTTCTTTAGATCTTGCTCATACATTTTTTCTCGTTTTTTTTTCGGACATAGTTATCCCAGTTATCTAAAATAAGACGATAAAAATAAAAGTGAATGAAAAAAGACCTATTTTTTTTTATTTTGACTGGTATGTATTTTTTTTAACTATCTCATTAACGATTAATGTTCGAGATATAAAAAAATTAAAGTATGATTTTCTCCACTACATCTGCTCCGAAATCCAAGGATTTTTTAGTATGCTTAACTCATAACTAGTCCAAACAAATTGCTTAAGCCAATATTACCACCATTTCCGTCTAAACCTCCCATTTGAGCACTCATTTTGGGAATTACTACATTATTTTATATATATTTTCTATAAGATAATATTAACTACTTTTTTAATAATTGAGTGATAAATGATATACCTTACCTTAATCCTTAGTTTTCACACAGGGACATAGCTTCGGCCGTATGTCTGATCCCCTGCAAATGAGCTTGGACGAATACATTGCTAAGAATCGCCTATATATAAACGAACTACCACCCCGTAGAAATCCGAGAAACCGAGTCATGGATCGCTATTCGAGTATGAGAGAGACCGAGCGACCTCGGCGGAGAGATCGCAGCGTGGAGCCGCTAAAGAAGAGAGGTAGGCCGTTAGATCGTTATCAGTTACGAGAGCCGAGTGTTGAGCCGATGGATGTGGATGTAACCGAGAAGGCCATCGAGCCTTACTTGAGGAACCGAGCATCGCGAAGAAACGGCTTGCTAGCACGAGCAGGGAGTAACGTGGATATGAGAGGGAAGAGGGTTGTACAGGAGTTGCCTCGGCAGAAGTCCATGTCTAGGTACCAAGAGGTAAGTTCGTTTATATTTCAACATTTAATATGGTTTGTCTCAGGAGTGCCCATCCCCATCTTCAGGTCGATGGCGCAAGAACCTGCCCCCCTCCTTCCAAGATATTTTATTGCTCACCTTTTCTTAAAAACAGAACAAGCGAATTAGGAAAATCGTTTCCCATAAACAATTACGCTTGCTGAGGTCTGTTCCATATTTTTCTCTTGTTCTATGGTTTGAAACTTTTCATTTCGAAAATTCATAATCCTGTCGAAATGTGCCCCCCTCAAAAATTCAAAATCCCGAAAATTATAAGTGTACGATTTGCACCATGAAATCCCCTTCTGGGCATCCGTGGTTGTTATTTTACTTCTGTTTGCAATTTATATTTTCTCTGATTACATTTCTTTCAAGACCTTGGAATCCTTTTTTTTGTATCCCATATAAATCAGCATCCTCCTTTGTAATAATCGTCTTCCATTCTGTGAATTTGTCAGCAGTTAGGCCACCAGCGTTCCTGAACATATCCTTAAGCTGTGTGTTGACTGGGCCTTTTGGTTTCCTTAATTTTGATGGATTCATATTTTTGTGGATTCTATGTTGTTGAACTCATTTAGTTATAACCGTAGGGCACGTGCACAATGTACGGACGCGAGAAAAGTTACCCAATTTTTATTCACCTTGGAAACCTAACAAAATCTTTCTTGCGTCGTGTTGAGATACGATTCTTTCACATCTCCTTTTTACAAGCACTAGTTCCTAAGTCCAGATGGAAAGTCCTTTTGTACCTTTTGAAAATCATCTTCCTCAACCTCATTTAAACAGCATTTATTCTTCCACCTCTTCAGCATTCATTCTTTCGAATATATGTAAGAATAAGATGTTCGTATTTAAAAGCTGTCACCTTCATTTGACTGTTATCTTACAGGCACTATATATTATCGATATTGCTAATCAGTACAAATATGTGAACACTCATATATAATTATGTACAATTTAATATGTTTACTTGTGCGTTGTTTATTTTATTTTAAGGATAGATTATTATTTTACGTAATTTCTTGATTTTCTTTTAACACCAGACAAATGTCACCTTTTTGTTAATTATAATTATTCTTAGGAGAATAAATATTTCAGAATAAAATTTACTGTTCTTTCTAAATGTAGTGTGATTGTAGTTTTATTTCACTATTATTATTGTCCATGTAATAGAATGTTATATTACTCAATAAATGAGATAATTATTTATGAAGTCTCTACACAACTGAATATGTTTCTGAAAGGATAATGAAAGGTGCTTTATTGAAGTGAAGTTTACACTTCAAGAAAACACCGAAATTGAGATGTTAGTAATTAGATAAGTTTTGAAAGTCGTTTATAAATCTAGTTAGTATGCACTGAACACTATAGAAAGTCACTAATATTTACGACAACTCAATTCATTAGATGCACTGATCTTCCAATGTTCAAGGTTCGAATCCCGGCTAATAGCCGACAAATTATTAAAAATATAATATTAATAAAAAATATGTTTTAAATGATTTAATGAAGCATATATTTTTATCTGTATTCATAGGATTACGTTACTTACTGTGCGTACATTTTAATTTTGGAATTTTGGCATTCAAATACCTTTTTTTTTCAGTATATTTCAGAGATTGTTTTGTATCGGTTTTGCCGAAATATATACATTGTATAGTTGTAATCGTGTTGTGTATTATAGTATTAATATTGTATATATAAATATGTGATTAAGTATAATTAAGTGCTTTTTCCAAAAAAAAAAAAAAGAGTTGATGAGTAGGCTGTGTATCGCGCAACCATATATAGTAGGGCAGCACTGCTTTAAATAAAGTATTTCTTTCTACTGTTTCATCAGCCGTAAGGCGACCCAGTGGTCAAGGGGTCCTTCTGGGGGCACCCCAGCCTCTATAAAGTTGGTACCCTTAATTGAATAATTAATTAATGGGGAAAACCTGGTGGTTGAGCGTGATCACAGTCAAATCACCTCCTTGCACAACCGTTGACTAAAAAACAGAACTTACCCTAAATAGTACTGAACCCAAGACCCTTCAAGAGTTGTAGTGGTACAGGTTTTTTTTTTTCAACTCATTAAATGTAGTAAAAAGAGTTTATACGGTTTCAGGTAAATGAAGCCAACGAAAGATTGAGTAAGATTCAGAACAGACTTACCATCGAAGAAAGCACTGAAGGAGCTTCGAAATTATTTATATCGAACCTCTCGGAAGAAGTTTCTAGAAGAGATATAATTGTAAGAAGTGAAGTATTGTTAGTTAAGTTATTCTTGATATATAATAAATATACAGAAATATACTAAAATAAATATACAGAAAATCTTTAATTGCTACGTATTACTGAATTAGGTTTCTTATTAACAAAAAAGAAAAGTTTGTATGGGGCAATTTAATTATTGTATTAATATTTATTCTTTAATACAATTGAAAAACGCTGCAAATTATTCCACAATGGTTTATTATTTCCAGACAATTATACATCTAAAGTAACATTACCTTCATAGTTACAAAAAAAAATAAATAAAAGGAGATTCCAATTATTGGACTAAACTTTTTTTTTTAATCATTGGTGATATGCTAAAAAAAATAGCATTACCTCAGTAACATATTCAAAATTTAAAAACCAAACAAAAGATATAACATTTGGAGAAGAACATATTAAAAAAAACCGGAGACCATATCTTTGCTCCTAATTGTCCGATTTTTTACATTATACATTATCGAAAAAAGTGTAAACTTTTTGAGTTATTCGGAATTTAATTTTACCATCCCTCGTAACTTTTTTTCCAGCTTCTTTTCGTTGAAGTATATTACATATATAAATTTAAACAGCGTCAGGAAAATGACTTTAGCGAAGTTTCATTGAAATCGGTACATTCGTTTAGGAGCTACAGTCTATAACAACGCAGGTTTTTCGGCCGCCATTTTGAAAGTAAAAGGCGGATGGTAATGTCAATGAAGGAGGATCATCCTCGGGTGACCTCTGATTTTATATCCAAATTTGAAAAAAAATCGGTCCAGTAGTTTCGGAGAAAATGCGCGGACGGCGGACGGACAAAAAAGTTTTATTCGTTTTTCGAATTCTACGCATCCTGAAACGTGAAACCTCAAATTTTGAGAGGGGGTTAAGTTTTTGAATTTTTTGGTCGATCACAATGGTTGATTATTGAAAATAATAAACCAATAATATACCAAACATGTGATTATAGCACTATGCCATTTATGAGTACTGAATGATGAGGCAGAAGACAAAATAGGCGCTTACGGCAGTACTGCATATCCTGCATAAGCGAAAAACATCCTCGTTTGGAAATTAAAGAACGTTAAATTGTGCGTCGAACGAGTACCTAAACATAATAATTTGGTCAAGTGATATGGTAGATAACCACATCCAAGAACGCTGATTTTTACCAAATTCTTCAACTGGAGTTTGGAAATGAGTTTTCTAAGCGAAAAACTCATATGATAAAAGTTGTAGAACATAAAATTCCGCGTCCACTGAGTATTAACAGTTTTTATGCTGATCAATTGTATCTCTTGAATCGGGTTTCGTTATTTCTACATGATATTCGGATATTTTTTACAGGTCATTTTTCAAAATTCTTCACTGCTGCGATGTGAAAAAGAGACCTATACTAGAATATTAACAACTTAACAAATTATTTGGTTTAGGTAGTCTTTCTACTCACAGTTTAGAAGTTATATGTGAAAAAAAAATCGAAAAAATCAGGCCTTTCTGGCTATAAAAAGTTTGTCCTTCTTGTAGGCCCGTGTTAGAAATTTTGTATTTTACATGTCTCAACCAATATATACAAGCTAAAAAAACAAAAACTTTTCCCTCGGACTATCAGTATATTTCACGTTCCTTAGGAATGGTCCAACAAAATTAGAGGGTGCAGAATCTGAAGCGACCGGTCAGAGGAAAATGGGAGGAGAGAAACTAATATTTACCGTAAGACGTGCTTCAGAAATCCGGCTCTCCACAATAAGGAATGTTTTGAGAAGTACCATACAATGACAAATTATCGATGAATTTAATTATATTACTTAACGCAACTGTATCAATTACTTTTTCATTTGAATTCAAATTGGTTCCTGAGAATAAATAAGCCGTTTTATGAATTTTAAGATCACTAAAACAAAATGTGCAATTTGGTGGAAAACTATACGGACCACCAGGGAGTGATGTGAATAAAGGGACACGGATTAATGATGGAGGTTGTTCATTCCGGTACCTTCATAGGTTCGTGTGGAAATCAAGAGTGAGACCGCAAAGGGTCAAAACGTCTAATGCGTTTTTTTAACAATAATTTTACCTCAATAATTAATGCTATTATTTTAACTTTTTTAAAAAAATGTTTATAAATTGGGTACAGAGTCATTTTACTCTATTATTATTAGATTTTATTGTGTGGTCTAGGATCTTTTCTCCGAGTTCGGGGAGGTAGTGTCTTCGACAGTCCACTACAGCCAAGTAGGTAAACCTTTAGGCTCTGCAGATATCTTCTTTGGAAGCAAAGAAGAAGCCATAGCAGCGATGTCTGAATATAATGGCGTACTACTGGACGGTAAGCGCGGTATTTGAATGTTTAATAATTACTTTACCATTAGTTAAACATATTTATAAGCAGTTTTATGATAAATTATAATACTTATTGAGTTTATATAATTTGTCAAATTATCACAATTTCACTTAAGCTGTAATAGAAAGACAATGGAATAGAAAATGGACTTATTCTGGGACTAAGACTCTTAAGAATGAAATCATGTGTACAAATAAATAGAATATTATACTATATATTATATAATAGGTCGGGAGAAGGGAGAGAATTCCTGAAATCAAGAGTGAGACCGCAAAGGGTCAAAATGTCCATAATGTGCTTTTTTAACATATATTTAAATTAAAATTCAAGATTAGAGAGTTTCTGGTTAAAATGTGACAGGACAATGGAGTAGGAAGGTTGTGAATTAGGATAGAAAACTGACATGGCGTATATTAGATTGTATGGAATTCTGAAAGGCCGTGGAGCAAACAAGAACAGAATATTAAAATATTTCAGTTCCATAGGAATATTAAAGACACGAGATATTGTAGTTTGTGAGTAGGCCAAGAATTTGAATTGCAGGATAATGTCGACGTAGAAAGGATGTGGGAGTTAATAGTTTGGTATAAGAAGATTAAAAAAAATTGTTGACGGGAAGAGGAATATTCAATTTAACTCGCTAAAGCTGGAAAGATGGAAGGTGGAAGACATGAGATCATCCTGAGGTACCGAAAACAATTTTTTTCTACAAAAAATCATACAAACTTAGCAAAATAATTAATTAATAGATAAAATAAATAGGGCAGATGGAGTGGTTGTAGCATTATATATATATATATATATATATATATATATATATATATATATATATATATATATATATATATACATATATATATATATATATATATACATATATATATATATATATATATATATATATAGACAGAGAGAGAGATAGTTATAAGGATATTCTGTCAATAATACCAATACTCTGTATGATTTGGCCACTGGTTCGTATCGTAGAGCACCTTTTACCACGGCGCCTGGGGCGACTGTACTAGACCCTGAAGAGGTCGAATAAAATTAATTACAGGGACGTTTTGTGTAGGATTTAATAACAGATATTAAATAAATTTGCTTTCATTTATAACAGGTAAGCCAATGGACATTCATATGATGAGCACTTCAGAAGAACTTGGTATTCGGGTCAATAGGCGACAGGAGAACAGGCGGCCGACTTGGGGTAGGATGAGAGACGATAGAGCTCGTGTAAGAGGTAAGACCTAGTGACATACTAAATAGCTAAGTATACAATTTCAAGTCATGAAATACTATTATTCTCTCTTAATAATCAGCAGGCCAGTTTTACTACCCCCCTTCTATCCTAAGTTCGAAAAAGAAAACTTTTGATTAATCGCTTAGTTTTAATTTACATCCTTGGATCTCCTATGAGCAACATAGTGATCTGTGCTACACTTCCTTTTGTTGTAGTTTTTAACTATTTCTGATCACTTCTAGTTCCCTCAATAAGATGTGCCTTTTTGATGAAACTTTATCGATGCGTAATTAAGCCGTGACGAACGAGTTTATGGATTTTCTATATAGAATCTTCCATAGCGCAGTATCAATTAGCTCATTATTATAAGAAATCTTATCCATTACGTTTTTACAGCTATACAGGCGCTATGAAAGAGACGAACAAAATTATATGGTGGGAAAAAATTAAATTCTTCAAAGAAAGATTGCAAACATTTAAGGACAACTGGCAAATTAGAGTATTCTACGCAGACCTTCAAAGACATTTTAGGATATAAAGCAAGATAAATCCGCAAATTGGATAAAAATATGGCATTCTAACAGCATCAAAGAAAAATATATTGCGCATCTCGAAAGAGCGTTTCCAGTAACTTCGCAATTAAAATAATTCCATAAACAAAGAAGACATGGACCACACAGAGGACCTCGATGCAGAAGAAGTTGAAAAATCAGATATAAGGTATGTGAAAATAGCTTTAAAAGGCCGAAAAACAAGAAAGGCCACTGTAATGGAAAACCCTCCATCAGACCGGTTTACAGATGGAAGAAGACCTAAGAAGCAAGATGTTACAGCTAATCCAGAAAATATGGGAGGAGGAAAAGACAACAGATGCTTAGAACAGTATCCTACTCTTCCCTATTCTAAGAAGGGCTCCATGTATGAATGTAGGAAGTATCATAGTGTATGTAAACTGGTATTGTAGTGTAAGTATACTGGTATTGTAGTGTAAGTATACTGGTATTGTAGTGTAAGTATACTAGTATTGGTAGTTGGTGGGAGAAACTAGCCCGGCAAGTGGGTTCTATCGCGGTCCTTTTTGCCAAACCCTGACAGCTACCTTGAGATTACCGCCGCTTGCGGCACACTTACCAGAGTGGGAATGTCAAGATCCGTTTCCCAGGTTCCGTAATGAAATCCCGAAAAATCTCGAGAAATCTCAAATTGAAGATGTAAAATGATATTATAATGCCGTTTCTGATTTAAATCTGCGAGACCTGGACACTAAACCATCATCCTAGAAAAACGTATAAAGATTTAAGGGAAATTCCTCGCAGTATGCAGTAGCGATCAGAGTACTAACGCATGGGTAGAGTAAACAAAGAAGCAATAGAGGTACATATAGATAACTGGAAAGAAATAGCCCAAGTCCAAGGTACGCAGGGATGGAGAAGGCTGGTTACGAAGGTAAAAGATCTAAAAGGTCTGTAATGCCAACAGAAAAAAATAAATTAAATCTATTACGTGACTATTAAGCATCAAATGAAATCTTAGCCAATTTTGTAAAATTTTGATTTCTTATAGTCACAGTATATAGGGTTAAAAGCCTTCAGTCAAATTTCATCAAAGATGAACAACAAATTTCTTTGGAGTTGGACACACTGCTTTAGGAACATAAAGTCAATATACTAGTATAGCCCTCTAGGGCTCAAAAATCGACCTGATCGCAGGAGAAGGTATATATGAATGTGTATTATGAAAGTGTATGTCATTTGAAGTTTGTATGCCACGCCATGATGAAGACCTGCAATGTTGGTCGAAACGTCGGCCTAATAATTAAAAATACTATTTTTTAAAATTTAGTATTTATTTGACTCCATTTCAGAAATTACGTAGGCAAAACCCCTATAGACCATGACAATTTAATGTTCACTGAGCATATTAATTGTGACATTAATGATCAAGACTTGAAAATTACCCTTAGTATGGTCGAAACGAAATAAAGTGTTTGGTGATAATTGGCCTAATTTATGTAAAAAATAAAACTACAAGACACCAAAATTAGGATAAATGAACAGAAGATAGTATTTGGTGTGCAATGGAGGTTACAGGTACTGGACTATTTTTAAAATAGCGGATTTTGTTTAGTAGCCAGACTAGAGGGTTAAGAAATCGTTCTTCTAAAAAGTTAGAAATTTGATTTTCTACAATGAAAGTTTTGAAATGAGAGATGGATAGCAGTTGAAGATTTGAGGTGAGGATTGCAACATCATGGTCAATAGTAGTTTCGGTATGGTCTTACTAACACTTTAACATTCTCGAGTCTAGCAAATCAGGACTAGGTGGATTCATGACCAAACCTCCCCAATCCGGTTAGAATAGGTTTGGTTGTACATCCGGAACAATCTCCTCCATATACCAGAAATGGCGAAGTAGGAGGTTTCGATAGAATAAAAGAAGAATAGTATACATGATATATTATTGGATTGTGCAGAATCGAGTTCAGTTTGCAAGGATAGATATGAAAGCAGATCCGAACTGGTATTTGACGCTGCAGTCAGAATAAATGTGTTTTTTTTTTTTGTATGTAGGTCATAAGAAATCTGGATAAGTTTAGTGCTATGATATTTATTAATATAAATGTTTTTAGGTCAATGAACTGTGGTTGGGCGTGATAAGAATGTGACTTGTTCCTTCTTCGTCTACATACTGATCGTAAGTAATTTAGGTGCCATAATTAAGAAATGTACATTGAAGAAAAACCGATGTAACAATATTTATTTATGTCCCACCGGATGCATCGGTGGGATATAATGTTAGTTTACAATTTAAAAAAAAAACAAGGTCTATTTTTATTATCCGGCACTTATTTTTAATTAATCATACACTGACAGGCAAAAAATTCCACCCACTTGATTTTTTCATGTTTTCATCTAAAAATATTTCTGCTTTGGATTGGTCTATTGTTTTTAATGAATAAATAGATAATCTTTTTGTTTGTTTTGAATTAGGAATGTTAATATAGAGGACAATAACCCTTAATCCTTAATTCAATGAAATGATTCTAGATTCCAATGTTTACTTTCTATGGAATCAAAATGTTTATTCAGTATCATTAGTTCAGTGCCGTTTGTTGCACCACATTTCTTAGTCTCCGGCTTTTAATTTTTTCCATATTAAATTTAAAAGTGCCTCTTGTTGCTGAGGATGTTGCGCGTGGTGTGGCACTTATTGATGATGGACGTTCCATTAGATATGCAGCTAATGCCATCGAAGTTCCACATGAAACTTTACGAGACAACGTCAGGCGTTTTCTGGGAAACTGGTTCTTACAATAGAAGGTCCGGTTCTGGACAGTCTAGGGTAACAGGGCCACGGGATGACCGGTTTTTGACTTTGAGAATTTTACCAAACCGGCACCTTACCGTTGTTCAAGCGATTCATCAGCTCGAAGAAGTTCGAGGTGTGCAAATTTCTGAACGTACCACTCGGAGAAGATTAAATGAGTATGGATTAATGGGTTTTCGTCCAGTAAGAGAACCAGAGTTGACGAGACCTCACAGAGTAACACGGCTGGCTTTTGCTCGAGAAGATAGCCATTGGACTATGGACGAATGGAGTGCTGTACTTTTTACAGATGAGTCAAGATTCGCTCTTCGATCACCAGACGGGCGTGAAAGGGTGTGGAGAAGAAGAAACGAAAGATATGCAGCCTGTAATTTTTCCCAGAGCCAACCTTTCCAACGTGGTTCCTTAATGGGTAACAAGTGGGTGGAATTGTTTGTCTGTAAGTGTATTTTAAAACATTTAGATGAAAATAAGAGTTCATTATAATCATTACAACGATTCATTTCACTGACAAAAACACCTAGTTTGAGGATTGAGATCGATTTTTTTAGGAATGTTTTAATTTTGCTCAGTACGCTTTAAATGGTATATTTGTTGCAATATTAGTTTAGTGCTGATGTTTCGTATCGATATAAATACCAACCATACCGATGCAATACATTTGAATAGAGATAGAGAAATGAAATAATTCTAGTCACTTAATATACTTACAATTAATCGTCAAAGGCTTGGTCAAACGAAACGCGGACTAGCCGGCCGTTTTTTTTTTTTCTTTTTTGTCCACTCCTTCTTCGCCTTTTAGGCTATACTGAGTTTTCCCAGGCCAGGGGTGCGGGTGGAGGATAATTGCCAGACTAAAAGCTCTCCCGGCGTGAACTTGTAATTTTTTTTTCTCTAAACTTTGGTTACGCGGTAAGGTATAAAACCACGGTCAACCAACGCTGAGTTTTACCAAATTTTCCAAAAACTGAGACAAATTACTATAAATGGCCCTGTAACTTGGAAATGAGTTTCCGAAGAAGAAAAACCCATAGAAACAAAGTTATGAGCATCAAATGTTGCGTATACTGAGTACTGACATTTTTATTGTTGGCTAATTATATATCTCGAATTGGGATTCGTTATTCCTTTATAAAATTCGTTATCTTTCGACACATCGTTTACCAAAATCTTTTGCTGTTGAGAGGTGGAAAAGAGACTTATAACAGACAGACTTACGTAACAGACTTTAAACAAAACTAACTCAGCAGAATAGACCCCCATATTGTTGAAATATTGAAAATCAGGTTTACCTTCATTACCAATTTCTAACCATCGGGAGATTACCGATTTTGTTCACAGAAAGTGACCTAAATTAAATTATTTGATACTGAGTATACTTGAAATTTGATGCTCTACAACTTTGATTCTATGGGCTTTTCCTCTTCGGAAACTCATTTTCAAGTTATAGGGCCATTTATAGTAATTTGTCTCAGTTTTTGGCTAATTTGGTAAAGCTCAGCGTTGATTGACCGTGGTTTTATACCTTACCGCATAACCAAATTTTAAAGTGTATGTACCCCTTTGACGCAAAATTTAACGTTCTTTAATTTATTAAAGAATACATTTTTCGCTTTGATGCATCGTTTAGGAGTTATAGATGAAAAACACAAAAAGTATCGAAAAAATCTGACTTTTTTGGCTGTAAAAAGTTTTCCCTTGGTGACCTGAGTTAGCAATTTTGTTTTTTTTCATGTCTAAATACATATATACAAGTTAAAAAAATAAAAACTTTTCTCACATTTTTCGCAATGGATTTCTCGTTTCGATTCTCAAATTATTGGCCTAATATTCTTTAAATCAGCCGCATTTTTGAAAGCAGCGGCTCTGGAACGGCAGACAAGGTTTTTTTTTACTCAGAATAACATACACTTTTGTAATTTACAATCAAACCTTCGCCTGCGATCAGGTCGATTTTGGGCCCTGGCTCCAGGGCTAATACTTCTTCATCTGTTAGATGAAATTAAAAACATGTTTAATTGAAAACAGAAAATAAAACACGAACTATAGATGATATTGTAGGAATTAGACAATATACGCTATGATATCGAGTTCCATACTGATCCATCTCGATTTGTCCGCATTCTGTCTGACCAAACTAGGCCGCGGCATTTCTGTTCACATGGACCGTCCGCGTCTGTGTTTGACCGAGCCTTCAATAATCAATAACAATCGTTGTCTATACCTCAGCTTAATCTTATTTATCTGTTTTATTATAGATGAGATTATCAAGGATCTTCAATTAAATATAGTCATGCCTGCCAGAGGATGAAAGCATGCCGTGTATTTATCTAAAATATCCTTATTAAAGAAGTAGATCATAGCATCAGTATAATTTAATTAATGAAAATGAAATAAATGTGGTTCATGAAACTCATTGATTATTTTCCTTTGTAATTATTAAATATAGTTGTTAAAAATATAATTGAATTATAAATTTAATTTTTTATTTGTTTGTACTCTCCTAACCTATACAAAGTTCTCCAGGGCAAGAGGATAGGGCGAGGGATTTAAGCCACAGTTAAAATTCCCTTCAGGACCGAGTCGCGAACTCTTTGTTATTTTATCATGTTGACTTCGGTTTACCTGGTTGCCAGGCAGTGATGATTTGCGCAACACATTAGACCGCTCGGCCCCCTCCTTTCCCCAACCTAATAAATTTCATTTAAAACCTCTTAGTCGATTTCAATAACTTATTTTTGATTCTCAGAATCTTAATGTAAATATATCTTTCCGGAAAATCTTCCTCCCCTGCCATCAAGTCCAGACGGATGAATATGGTCCGAATAAAATCATTAAAGTTGCTTGAAATCTTCCTGCAACTTTTCTTTCCTTTTACATATTTATAATTTTTCTTATAAACTTCCCTCTTACAGGGATTGTGCGGGTTGGTGTCTAGATGGTCCCATATCAATTTCATCAACTTCAATCCAACACTTCCGCTTACGAACGCACAAACGCATTTTCTTCCCTATGCCAATATTTCAGAAACTTTCGTATTCGATTTGAACATCAAATCGACAGATTAACATGCCTCAGTATCAGAAAAATACAAAATAACGATGCTCGGGGCCCTTAGGGGGCGGTGAATTAATTATATTGAATTATGTTTGGCTACAAAAATGATTGTTTTGAATTCGTTTTTTTTTATGAAATAAAACATTTATGTTGGGGCTTTCCGGTGAAGCCCCGAAAATTGTTACTCCATACCAACAAAAAAACACCTTTTAGAAATAATATATAGCATTATTATTTATTACAGCTGCAAGATCTTAAAAAAGTAACAAATAGAAGAAGAAATCAAAGTGAGAATAGTTACATATAACAGGTACTATTGATGACTTAAAAAAAGTTCAGAACAAGGATTTAACAATTAAGCCTGAAGGTACAAATGTACTAGACAATCCTTAGGCCTGTGGTCTTATACAGAATTGAAAAATAAATCCTAACCAGAAAAAATGAGTGACTGTTGAACAAGAGGTAAACAAAGATTTTGCACAGGATATATAACCTAACACCAGAAACAGATTAGAGGTCAGTAGGAAGAAATTAGGAATTAATGTACTTATCTGGACCTTATCTCCACCTTTAGGAAAGGAAGGTTAAGGTAGATAAGTCATGAGCACAGAATGAAGAAAAATAGAACCTCCAAGATGATTATGGTGGGATATTCAGGCTGAAACAGAAAGAGAAGAAGGGCAAAGTGGTGGCAGAAAAATATGAAGTTGGACCTGAGAGGATGCTTGGAGTTGAAAGTTGGAAGAGGGTGGTCAAGGCCATGATGGAGTTGAGAAGGATTGTGGAGGAGGCAAGGGTTCTTCATACCACCATCAGGGATAAGATAGCAATCCTTATGATTATGAATTAAGTAAATTTCTTTTTAAATTCAGATAAAGCAGAAATAAATGTGGGTTTATGGAGTGAAGAATAAGTTTTTTTCTAAATTAGATAATTGTAAAAGCTAAAAATAAAAATAACATTAGAAAATTGTCCTGCAGACAAGAAAACACCACAACATGATCTAAATAATCAGTAAGTATGTTATAATATATTAGGATCTTAATAAAATAATGGACAAGCTTCAAATAATATTTACTTAAACCTGAACAGGATCAAAAAAGAATAAAAAAGTAGAAGTAAAATTTCTCAAGCATTAATTCCGATATTTGAGAAAATGTATAAAAAATCAGAGTAGGCTATATATGAATTGTTAAAATGGACCAATTTCTGCCTACTTTCAGCTATTGAGACTAACTAATGGAGGGATGGCTTTGACTATTTTAAAAATAAACATATACGTCCAACTTCATATTGTTCTGGTTTCTTTTGTGCAGCTCAACTCAAATTTCAAAGTTTTGAACAGAGAATTTTTTTCCCAAAGTACAGAAATATTATATTATTGTTTCCAAGGTAACCCCTTCATTTTTTTTTTTTTTTTTGCTATATTTATCATTAAACATATGTTTGTTTTGTTGTGTTTTTGTAACCTATGTTCAGACTTATTATTGAAAATATAATGTTGGATATTTTATTCTAAATCAATTGGAAAAGAATACATAACTTTTACAATAAATGGACTACTCAGGTGGGACCATTCATTATATTTTATAAAACATTAGTTAATTGACATTAAAGTTAATATTCCTACTCAAAGCCTTGTGTAACGAGTATTTTTACCTCAAAAATTATTGTACTTTAGTCAAGAAAATATTTTTTGGGTATATCTGAAGAAAAATTAATTGTAGAAGTGTTTGAAACAACTATAAGTTTTTCATTTAACAGATTCCTATCCAATTTTAATTTTAATAATCCAGCAGAAGTCAATGTTTTAACAAAATTAGAAAATAATCTCATTTTTAATAATATTACAGTAGAATATTTTAATGATGTGGATATGGTTGACCATATTTATAATTTGAGAAATTAGTCGGGAGTCTGGTCAATATAGAATACTATATTATATATTGATCGCACCCCCTACTAATTTCTTCTCAAATAGAATATTTTAACAATTACATTTTATCAAATACTGCAAACTACTAATTTGGTTAGGCTTCCTTCGCCAGATAGCCTATCATATCTTATTAATATAAAATAATATGAAATTGTCTAATTCGGAATGATAATCTCATTCTTTAAATTATCAAAGGGTTGGCAATTTTACCAACTCTGAGGAGATTAGAACATTGCAGGAATGGCTAAAACCATTGATAAGTACTATTGTCAATCGAAAGGTTTTCTATGAAAGCATTCTGGAATTTTAAAAAATATGTTTCAAAGATCTTGGATACCTTTCACTGACATATGAAATCTAAAAAGATCTAACTAACTAAATGTCGAACCACATAGTCATGTTTTCCAAGAGTGTAATCAGCTCAAGAGAACCATTATCTAAAAAGGAAGGGCAATTAATTTAAGGAGGAGGTGAATTAGTCTCTATTCTATGATTAGTTTCTTTCAAAATGTTGAAATACTAAACATTAAACATGTTGCTGTTTTTTCAAATATTTATTTTTCATATTTGTTGTTATTTTATTTAGAATTTATTCCATGTTGCATAGATAGCAGATATTCTGTTGGCATTGGACTTTTCAAAAAATTCACTGTCTCAAATTTTCCTTAAAATTCCAAAGTCCTTCGAGAACTTTTGAGAAATATTCCTTCTAATGAAATTTCAAATCAATGTTAATCGGAATGTGTTTCCTGAAAGCAATGAAGTTTTCAAGTTCAATAACAGCCAAGCTAGCTCAAAAGCATTAAGTGTTAATGCTGTTTATACCTACTTGTATATGGTACATTTAAGTTAATAAGTTGCTGGTATAAGTTAAAATTTAAGTTATTATTTTATATAAATGGTTGGATTTCATTTTCAGAAGATCAAGAGGAGATTATTACCTTTGAAAGAAAGGAATTACAAGAAAAAGGTAAATTATATTAAATTGATGGATCTAATTACTATTATTGATCACATTTATGATTTACGATATAAAATATACAAAATCAATTAAATAAATAATATCTAATGTTGTTTTTTTACCCACAATCCAAATGCTAAGAATGCAGGTTTTTATTCAAAGTCTACTTATACCAATAACTGCCTAGCATTCAATTAATCATATGGTAGACATCCTCTCCAGTAATCTTATCAGTATCCTTGACACTCCTAATGCTCTTAAAATCTCTTATCTTCAGCCATTGCCTATGAGTTAAAAAATAAGAGAAATGAAAAAGAGACATGAGGCAGCTCATAGACACTATAGAGGAACAAAGCTAGTAGATGACTATCAAGTGTACAGAATACTTCACAGCTTGACATAAACAACAATTAAGCAAGCAAAATCCAACTACTTTCGTGAATCCCTGTTTCCAGCTTCTGATTCTAAATCAAAATGGCACCTCCATTGCAATCCCTCTCTCTTTTTTATTACTATTTGTAAATGTTATGATAACAATATAACATAACAATAATTAATAACATTAAATAATACAATAATCTGGTATTATGTATATGGTATATCACTGGTTTAAGGTTTTCTGTCTTGCCCTTTTTTCTTGGAACATCCTCCCAAAGGCATCAAATATTTCTGTCCAGGAACTGAGGAGAACATTTCAATAAGGAGTACTCCCCTGCCAATGCTTGTCAGGTGCTAGAGTACATCAGACGTTCTAAAAGCATGTGTTTAACATCCTAAACAACCCCGCAGCAACATTTTCTCTTCTACGAAACTTCTATCTAACTTTTCATTTATGTTCCCATGGCCTGTGAGGAGTTGAACAGCCCAGAAATCCGTCTCTGCCCCGTCATTCTTAATTCTTCTCCTAACATCTGGAAAGAACTCGTGGGTCTGTCTTCCAGTCTCGCAAGCATCCCACCTTCTCTGCCATTCAGAAAGGATTAGCTCTTTGATCCTATCAGCTAATTCATCGCAGCTAAGGCACACAAAGCAGCTTATTCCCACATCTGCTGGTAGTACTCTCTTTATTCTATACTTGGCAATAGAAATTTGTATTTTAAGGTCTATTGCAATTGTCACGCAATCAATTGCAAAGCCAAAGTGGGTGTCGCTCTATACGCTCCTGTCACCAGTCTCTCTCACTCTCACTCACTCTCTCTCTCTCCCTCTCCCTCTCTCCTCTTTTAAAGATTTGGTTGTTACTATTAATCAAAACTTCTCCAGGATACATCATAACAATATTCCCCATCATCTTCTTCACATGCTTGGGTTAAAACGTTGGTACAAATAAAAATCTTAAAACTGAGTTCTGGCTATTTATCACCCATGATATGTAGAAAAGTCGACTAACTTCCTATAGTCTTCCACAATTCAAACCCATGTTCCACTATCAGAAAATGAAATCTCATATTTCAGACCTCTATACTCCTTTCCAAAGAATTACTATATTCATCCTCAACACACATGACCATGGCATAAGACTGACCAATCGTTAGTTATTAAAACTGTTGGCTGCATGCAGCTCAGCCGTGTCTTTGTTTATCCTATCTATCCATCTGGTTTTTGGCCTCCCACGTGGTGTCTTGCCTAATATATATATATATATATATGATTCATAATGTTTACTGATAATTTAGAAAAGTAAACTATTGTATTTTTGCAAATTTCAATCGACAAATAATTATTTGACTAAACAAATACAATCCCAAAGCAGCTTAGATATTGAAGATTTCTTTTTTATCTTAATCATTGTCTTTTATATAATTAAGTTATGACATGAAAATAAGTTTTTCTATTAATTTCTGATTAGTAAAGGTGCTTATTATTCTTATGATATTCAAAATAATGTTGAATTCGATAACTTTCATCTAATTGAACAATTTTATTTTCAGATTATTATCAAGGGGAGAGCATTTCTGCAGACAGAACAGTAGAAGATGAAGGTAAATTATATCTAATTATTGGTTAGTAAATTTGGATTAATATACTTTGAATTATAGAAAAAGTTGTGCTTTTAGTTATATTTGGTGACTAATACACTTACTAAATACAAAGCTTTCTGTTAAGAGATAAGTAGGGATGGTTCTAAAAAAAAAAGAAAGAATAAAACCATTTTAAAATATTTGTAATGAAAATTCTCAACAATGGTCATTAAAAAAAAAAATAAGATAACATTTTAAAATAAAATAAAACAAAGAAAAACATTATATTTATGTTTTTTAAATAAGTAAGCAAAAACTAATTTTTTTAGTTTGTTCATTTTTGAGCTGAATTAGTAGTAACTACACACTAAATTTTAGGAGCCTCCGTTACTGATGGATTAAATAAGAAACCAATTAAAGAGGATACTGGCAGAAAGACTTTTAGGTGTTCTCTGAGTAATTTCCAATCAATTATCGAAAGTAGAAAAGATAGTCACAACATTGCTATTCATGAAAAAAAGAAAAATCATCAATGTCCATTTTGTCAACACAAATCTTCTCAGAAAGGTAATTTAATGCAGCACATCTATTCTGTTCATCAGAAACTGAAACCATTCAAATGTTCAAAGTGCAAATACAATGCTTCCACCAAATACAATCTAAAGACTCATGAATCAGCAGTGCATTCCAAATGGAAGCTTCATCGATGTAAAGATTGTAGCTTTACAACTTCCAGAATCAGTGCCTTAAAGATTCACAAAGAAGTAACACATGAGTATGAGAAACCTTATAATTGCCCAGAATGCCAATTCAGCTGTGTAGAACTTAGTAGCTTAAGAAAGCATAGGAGTCAAAGTCATCGCATTTCAAATTTTTACCATTGTCTAGATTGCGATTATCAAGCCAAGACTCAAGTTGAACTAAAACAGCATTTGTCATCTATCCATACAGATGTGATCTACTACTTTTGTTACCATTGTGATTTGATATCTAAGATAAAAACCAATTTAGAGGTTCATATTAAGGCCATACATCTGAGAGAGAAGCCTCATACTTGTAAGTTGTGTAAATTCAAAACAGGGCACTCTTCTGCATTAAGGAAACACATGAACTCGAAGCATATTAAAGAGAAGCCCTTTCAATGCCTTAAGTGCAATTATAGTAGCAGCCGAATAACTTATGTATATCATCATATAAGAGCTGTTCACATACATAACAAAAATTACAAGTGTGAATATTGTGACTTTAAAACATCCACGTTCAGGTACCTGAATATTCACATTAGGGCACGACACACACATAGGAAGCGCTATCAGTGCAAGAAATGTACTTTTAGTACATTTTGGGCTAGCAGTTTAGTAAAGCATACTCAAAGCTTGCATGTCAAAGAATATTCATACAAGTGTTCAGAATGTGACTATGATGCTCCCCTAACTAGCCTTTTGGATGATCATATTAAGGCTGTCCATAAATAAAAAAAATCATTAAACATTGATCAGGAAAGGAAGATAATACTGTAGAACATAAACATAAAAAAATTATCATATTCGCCTGACTATATTGTTTAGCAGAAAGGCAACTGATCATAATAATAGTATAGAAAACTGCCTCAAAAAAAAAAAAAAAAAAAAAAAAAAAAAAAAAAAAAAAAAAAAAAAAAAAAAAAAAAAAATACTTATGACAGAATAAGGTGAGTGTAGAAAATATAGTATTGACAGTAAAAATAAAAGGTTCAATAAAAACAAGCTATTTCATGAGCAACTACAGGTCAGTAGCTTAACTAGATTTCTATGCTGATAACAGGTTAAAAAATTTATAGCCATATATCTTAGCATAGACATTATGTTGAATAAACTTTGTCTTTTACAATTTCCAAACTGTCATTTGTATAGAAGAAATAAATTTTTTTTTTTAAATGTTCATTTTTAACTATTATTAAGTTATCTGTAGTTCTTTGATAGAACATTACTGATGTCAGTAATCATAGACTCAATTTAACCAGTCAAATCATTAGTCATACATTGTGATTTATAGAAAAAAGACAACAACAAAAAACAGTTAATTTAATTCATATTGCTTTTATATTTTTTTTCCTTCTGGCACAAGTATTTCTTGATGAAAAAAAAAAGGAATACTTAAATCGTAAGTGATATTTCCCAAATAAAAAACAGAGGTTTCTATTAAAACAGCATACTAATCAATCCAAAACAGACATACACATAAGTACCTATCATAAACAATTTAGAAACTTTTTTTTTTAAATCTCCTATCTATTTACTAATTAATATTTTTTTATTTTCTTTAATATATTAATATATATCACTATGGAACTGTTATGAGTCTGTGGTGCGTAGAGTGAATTTTACAAAGACAGAATACATGGTCATCTGCGCTGAGGACGTCAGCAATCTTCATATCAATACTCAGACCTGTACAAAGGCGGATGTATTTAAGGATCTGGGATCTTACCTCGATTCCTCGGGTCTGATTTTTTCTACAACTGCATTATTAATTTTAAGCTCGCCGAATTGATTGATCCTAACATTGGCTATCGGCTTATTTAAACAGAGCATTAGATGACACAAACAAAAATTTTTTTCTGAACCTATAACCATTATTTTTAAACTTCCAACAAGCATTTTTTTAAATATAAAGAATAAAAGAAAAAAAATATTATTAAATTGAATATTGTAATTAAACAACAATAGTTAAGCAGATTTGGAAAATTCGCCATCAAAAAAATTTTTGTAATATGAAAATCTGTGCACATCACATATTTGAAGGGCAAATTAAATTTTAAGTGAGAAAATCTGTGGACCACAACCTCAAAAGTCATCAGGATGGGATGTGCGGGATCACGCTGGAAATAAGTGCTGATTGAAGTATTTATAGTACAGTTTCGCAGTCTCTGAAACAATTTGGATGTTCAAGTCTATTTGAGCAAATCGTTTGTCACATAGAACGGTGCGTGTGCTATTTTTCTAAAAACTTTTGATTGGAAAGTTTGAATTTTAAAGCTTTTTTCAGTGACTCATAGCTCTGCCCTGTAAGTCCATAAAGGTTTTAAAAGTAATTTGTAGATATTAAGCTTATAAGTTAAGTATAATTTGGAGAGTCTGTCGAGTAACCTGGATAATATCCATATCCTCTTTTCAGATGTGTAGTATGGTTTTTCCATGTCAGTCTCTTGTTCAGATGAAGTCCCAAATAACGTACCTCATTAATAAATAAAAATAATAATAGACACTTATAGATAATAAGATAGAATAAATAAATAAATAAACTTTAAAAAAATAGAAATAAAATCAATAAATGAGTTGAAATTAATTAAGTGCTCTTGTTTATTCTTCTTTATTTTTATTTATTTATTTCATTCCCTTGCGCGGGCTCATTACCGCGTATGGGGAGCGTCCCACGGGTGGCGGATGTAAAGATGGTCGGTGGAAATTCCTTGGAAGTTCCTCCCGGCTAAGTCCGATGGACTCGCTGACCATCAATGAGAGGGGCCCTCCAGACTTGCTGGAGGGAGGGGACCTCCAGACTTGCTGGAGGTAGGGGCCCACCAGACTTGCTGGAGGGTGTGACGTAGGATTGAACGCCCTACTCACATATCTTTAGTTCACCAAACACCACAAAAAGTCATGGATCTCCCTAAGGTAAAACGCTCATTATCCGGAGGTAAACTAGTCGGGTCTCCGGGTGGGGACTGCTTTAGGGGATTCATGGCGCAAGTTGAAATATAGGGATTTAAATATTGGTACGTGGAACGTAAGGAGTTTAAACACAGCAGGGGGGCTAAAATCGGTCGCGAATGAGGTAAATGGGTACAATTTGGATGTCGTGGCTCTGCAAGAGGTTCGCTGGCCAGGGGAGGGCTCGATGAGGGAAGGGAAGTACACTATTTGGTACGGAGGAAGCGGGAATCATTGTTTGGGTACCGGGTTCCTAATTAGGAGTAGATTACTATCCGCTTTGAGGGACGTACAATTCTTTAGTGATGGAATTTCGGTAGCTACATTTCAGGGACGTTGGTTTAAAATCGCATTAATAAACATACATTGTCCGACCGAAGACAGTGACGATGAAGTCAAAAGTGAATTTTACGATAAACTCGAATGGGTTTATGATAAACTACCGCGAAACTACATGAAAATAATTGTAGGTGACGCGAACGCAAAGGTAGGAAGGGAAGAAGTTTATATTGCGACGATTGGTAAAGAAAGTTTGCACGAATATAGTAATGATAATGGGATCCGTCTGATAAACTTTGCCATCTCGAAAAACCTGATAATTAAAAGTACGACGTTTAAACACAAGGATATTCATAAATATACTTGGACATAGCTGGCAAAGCAGTATAATTAATGTACGGTCTTATCACGGAGCAGAATGTGCGTCGGATCATGAATTAGTAATCGCGAAACTTCGACAAAAACTTAATATAAAAAAGAGAAAAGAAAACCGTTTCGATTTTGAGAATTTTAATTTGGAAAAATTAAAAAATCCATCAATTAGAAACCAATTCGAGCTAGATGTTAAGAATAGGTTTGAAGCTTTAGAACTTCCTGACGAGGACCACGAGGATATTGACAAGTTATGGATAGAGATCAGGGATAATATTAAAGCGGTCGGTAACTCGTGTCTAGGAAAAAAGGAAAATAAGAATAACAAACCGTGGTTTGATGAAGGTTGCTTAAAAATGTGCGAAAAAAGAAAAGCCGCTAAATTAAAAGCTCTAAATAACCCTAGCGAAGACAATCTGGAATACTTCCGAATCTCAAAGAACGAAACGACAAAATTGCTCAAAAATAAAAAAAGGGAGTTTCTTAAAAATAAAATAATTGAAATAGAAACTAATAGAATCGAAAATAACGTAAGAGACATGTACAAAGGTATAAACAGATCACGTAAATATGTAGGGCCCGTAACGTCTGGAATTAGGGATGATAATAACAATATTCTGACTGATCCGGTTGACATATTGAATAAGTTTAAGGACCACTTTGACAATATTTTAAATACGGGAAATTATGATCTGTGTCCTCCTTCTGAGTACCAAAGTGCTGAACCGTTAATAGAAGGATCAAGTAAAGAGGAAGTTGAAGTAGCTATCGGAAAAATTAAAATCATATAAAGCAGCGGGAATCGATAATATTCCTACTGAACTAATCAAGGCATGCGGGGAAGCTGGAGTTTCTGAAATAGATCGGTTGGTTAAAAAGATCTGGGTGAACGAGAAATTACCTGAAGAATGGAAAGAATCTATTCTTATTCCGATTCACAAAAAGGGTCCGAGGACGGATTGTAATAACTATCGAGGAATTTCACTCCTTCCGGTATGTTATAAAATATTCACTTTAATCTTAACCAGTCGAATCACGGAATACGCCGAGGAAATTATCGGAGACTACCAATGCGGATTTAGACGGAATCGTTCGACAATTGATCAAATATTTTCTTTACGGCAAATATTAGAGAAAAAATTGGAGTATAACGGTATTGTTCACCAGCTGTATATAGATTTTAAAAAGGCTTACGATTCTATTGACCGCCAGAAACTGTATAATATTCTAATCGAGCAGGGGATTCCAAAAAAACTAGTAAATCTAGTCAGGATGTGCTTGACGGAGACACTCAATAAAGTTAGAATCGGAATAATTTGTCCGAAAAATTTGAGGTTCGTTCGGGCTTAAAACAGGGGGATTCTCTTTCGCCTGTCCTGTTCAATTTGGCATTAGAACATGCCATTAGGGAGGTAATGCGAACCGAGAAAGGGTTGGATCTGGGCGGGACAACATCCGTGCTGGGCTATGCTGATGATCTGGTACTGTTAAGCGAAGACGTTGAAACTATAAAACTAAATACGACAACGTTAATGAAAGCCGGTAAAGAACTAGGACTCGAAATAAACGTGGATAAAACAAAATATATGGTTAGCTGCAAAAATGGCGATACTACTGGTGATATCGATATAGATGGTAATATGTTTGAACAGGTAGATAAATTTAGGTATCTAGGTTCTACGATAACTAGAAAAAACGAAATTGAAGAAGAGATTAAAGTTAGACTGAAGGCGGGGAATGCTTGTTATTTTTCTGTGACAAAACTACTTAGTTCGCGCCTCTTGTCCCGAAACTTAAAAATTAGAATCTATAAAACAATTATCTTGCCTACAGTTCTCTATGGATGCGAAACTTGGCCGCTTACATTAAGGGATGAGCAGCGTCTTAAGGTTTTTGAAAATAAAGTATTGCGTAGAATATTCGGACCGAAAAAGGATGAGTTAACCGGAGAGTTCAGACGGTTACACAACACCGAATTGCGTGAGCTGTATCCGGGAAATATAATTGAGGTAATTTCATCGCGGCGAATCAAATGGGCTTGTAAAGTTGTTGGGCTTAGTAACGAGAGAATTCCTAAAAGGTTAATATTTGCTGTACCGAATGGTAAGCGTCCGAGGGGTATACCGAAGCGAAGGTGGGAAGATTGCATTAAAGTCGATCTGAAGGGACTGGGTTTGAACGGCGAACGGTGGAGGGAGGTGTGTAACAAGCGATTGGTGGTGTCGGCATCGAACCTTCGGGTTCTTTAAGCCTTTTATTATTATAAATAAATGGCATCAGGCTTTTAGTTATTACTATAAATTTTTGAACGATGAAATATATATTTTAAAGCCTTATTATTATTATTATTATTATTTATTTCATTCTATCAATCCTTTTGTTTAATTATGTTATTTGGTTTGGTTTAGTTATTAGTTATAGTTAGTTATTTATTTAGTTATTGATTTAATTATGTTATTTTTATTTATTGATATCATTATATCAATCCTTTTATTTAATTATTTTTATCCTTTTTTTTATTCTTAATTTTTGGAACAACCATCCAAACAGTATAAAAGAAGTGCTATATAGTTGATCGGGCGCTGATGACCTGGATGTTTTGCGCCTAGACATAGAAAAAAACAAACAACAAGACCACTAGTTTAAAGAAAGGTTTATTTACCATCTCTAATTGGCCCTGCCAATTTTTCAGGAAAAATTACTAGAACGAAGTTGATAATGTTTTTACTTATTAGGTATATATGAATCCCAATAAACTAATCAACAATATCCGACATAATCCAGCTGGCATAGGCATTATTTCAATATCCTATTCAACACCAGAGCTGGTTTTATAAAATAATTGAACTAAGTATTAAACAAATTACTAATATTTTATTTTAATTTGAGGTAATTTAGAAAGAGATAAACACATTGGGGGATACACTCACTTTAAAAAAATAAATAAAATTATCTTGCAACATGCATAAAACACAATAATTGCAAATGTTATTATTTAATAGATTTTCGGCCACTCATCACCAATAAAATACTTTTTTATTGTATATCTTTATTCGCCAACGTTTTTGAGTAATTTTCAAGAATATGTAAAAAAAATTATTTTTTAAATTTAGTGACTTTTCTTTAAAATATTTCAATTGATAAACATTCTGTCAATTATATTGTACTTATTACATATTATTTAATTTTTTTTTTATTATATAAATATAATGTAATTTAATGCAATTTACCTACCTATCATGCACCATTGATAAAATTTTGTCTTCAATATATCATTACTCTAATATCAGATTATTCATCCTTTATTTCATGGAATTTCATTGATTTCTAAAAGTTTTTACAGAAATCATTAAATATAATGTTAAATTTTATTTGCGATAAAAGATAGAAGGAATGTAGTAATTTGATTTTGAAATATGTACCTTATTTGGACATGTTTCTCAATATAGGCTCAAGAAGTCGAAACATTAACATATAAAGATAAACAATAAAAACATATCTTATTTGTGACCAGTGGACGAAAACCTATTAAATAATAACATAATAAAATGGCACCAAACCTAAAAAATATAACAAGAAAAATAATTGAATGTTTGTAGAAAATGGCAGATTAATGATAGCAGAATCAGGGTAATTTCTTAGTTGAGGATTAGTAAGTAATATACAACAAATAACAAACTAATGACTGGCCATAGTTATGCAACAAAAATTCAAATGTTGTTCATGCAAAATGCTAGATTTTGACATCTTTTATATATTTCAAAAGATATCAAAATGTAACCCATTGCAAGAATAATTTAAAAAGTTTCAATTGTGGGTGTTGTCTTTATTGCATAACTATAGTCAATTATTTTTTTAAATGAACCAATGTTTTGTCTAAACCTTAAAGCACTTAGTTTTAAATGCTAAAATCTAATTTTAGATTTCTTTTATGCCACCTTGACGGATCCTCACATAACATTATCTTTACTAAAATTACACGCATATGTAATAAATCTATTTTATTAAACTTTTTGAAACTAGAATGATTTATCCTCGGTGAATATCATTAATATTTTCAGAACACAATTTTCTAGTCGCTTCTGTTTTCAGGTTGTCTTGACATAAGTACAATGTTGGAAGTAGTGCTAAAAGAGGAAGAAGGATCATTTATACCAAACTATAGTGAGTAAATTGTAGGTTTTAAACTTGATGGAATAACGTTTGGAAACCAAATATATGTTTTTAGAATACTTCTAATAAGGGGTGCCAACACTTAATGATACTTTGTTCCTCTCCCCTCTACCAAAAATGTATTGTTATCCTCTTCCTAAAAATTGTGGAAGTGAAAAAGAATTTTAAAATTTTGTCTATTTGCAATTACACTTGCTGTGGTCTGGTCCATCTTTACTTCTCTTGTTCTGTGGTTTGTTAGTTTCCCATAATTGAAACCCCACAAAAACATGATTCTTTCCAAAAATTTAAGCCTCGAAAAATGTGTGCTCCTTAAAAATTCATCATCATTCAAAATTTGAAACCAACAAAATTTCGTGTTAACTTGTGACCTTCCACCCTTTTAGGAACACTCCTGCCGTTATTTATTATTAAAAATGACCCTCAAGATTTGATAGCAAATCCTATTCTAGTCAGTAGACATTTTAAAGAAATATGTGTACAATTTATAAAACAGATTTCCTCCTGCTTTAGTTTAATGATATATGAATGAATGAACAAAAATAATTTTATTATTCTGGGACTAGTGTCCCTTTAGAACAAATTACAAATACAGAATATATATTAGTATTCTGATGTGTCAATAAAATACAATTAAACATTTACAGGATGATTAGTAATAAAATAAAAGTACAAATAAAAAAAAGGTATAAAAACATAAATAAATATAAAATAAACAGAGAAAGTAAAGTAAATAAACAAGATACCAATAAATCACAAAATATTCAAAGTATCTGGGCACACTTTGAGATTCTTACGATTTAGATTTTTAAGTACATTTCATGATCAACCGGGCTGGGAATGGAGTAGGTATTTGAAGAGAAGAGATTTGAAAGAGGATATTGACTTTGCGTATCGAATAGCAGAGGGGATAGAATCCTAGAGGGAGACAGCTTGAATTAAAAAGGATTTGTCAAACGCAGCAGTTCAGTGAGGAGGAGGATAGAGGCCGGGCGTACGGGATCTGGTGGGACGGGATTGAAGGGAGCATTTGAATTGTACAATCTGTAGAATATAGGAGGGTTGCTGAGTTCTAATAGCCTGGTATAGGAAGGTAGCAAGGAAATACTGACGGCGGTAGGATGGATAAAGCCACTGCAACTCAGTGTAAAACTGGGTAATATGGGTATCCCTAAGATAAAGTGTATTTAGTAATTCGTTAGACATTTAAGTTTAGCTTCGAGTTCTCCCGAGAATCCACCATACACCATATAGCCATAGTCCAAGTGGGGGAAAACAAGAGATAAAACCAGGAGTTGGTGGGTTTTGAATGGAAGAAGATAATGTAGATGGTTAAACTGTTTCAAAGTGGAAATATTATTGTAGGAAATTTGGGAGATTTGTGGTTTCCAGGAGAGGATTTGATGAAGGGTAACGCCAAGGTTTTTAATGGTAGTATGGAAGGAGATAGGTGAGTTGTTGAGGAGAAGATTGGGAAGTACTGAAATGGATTTGAGGAGTGAGAGGGGTCCGATCAGGATGGCTTTTGTCTTTTCCATATTTAGTGTGAGCTTATTAAGATTTGTCCATGCGCATATTCTATTGATGTCTTGTTGCAGTTTCAGAGTGGTATTAGAGGAATCAGCCGGGTTGAGGGAAAGATAAATTTGGACGTTGTCAGCATATAAGTGATATTGACAGTGCTTGATAGAGGAAGGGAGGTCATTGATATAGACGGAAAAGCGACTGGGGGATAAAGAGGAACCTTGTGGGTCGCCTCTGGACAGGGGTAGAGACACCGATGGAGGAAGCAGTTTAAAAGGTTATTTAGTTTGAGATAGTGGGATAGTTGGGATTGTACTATTCATTCTAAAGGTTTTGAAAGGTTAGATAACAGTAAAATTGGACGGAAACCATTAGGGGTTGCAGGATTAGAGGTTTTGTTCAGTGGACGAACAAGGACAGATTTACAGGTACTGGGAAAAGTGGAACTTTGTAGTGAAAAGTTATAGATATGATAAAGGATTGGGAGAACGGATGGAAGTAAGGATTTAATTAATTTAACTGGGATATTATCTGGTCCGAAATCATTGGTTTGGGATTTATGAATGAATTTAAGGAGGTTGTCAGGGATGATATGAGAAAAGAAAAAAATGATTGGGATTAAAGGAGGAATAAATGAGGGGTGGAACTGGTGCTTGGAAAGAGGGATAAGAGCAACAGGAGACAAAATGAGTGTTGAATATGTCAGCTGCAATAGAGGTACTCTGGGTTTGAATAGGCATAATTAGTGGAGGATTACCCACATGGCTTTGGAGTTTGGAGTGCTGGATAAGGATTGTTGAAAGTAATGGGATTTGGCACAGTGTATCAAGGATTGCGTACTGTTTCGAAGCAGCTTGAAGTTTGTATAGTCTTCGGAAAGTTGAATGAGCTTAAACCTTCGTCTAGCCGCATCTTTTCGTTTAATACAATCATTTATTACAGGCTTCAACCAAGGAGCTGGGGGATACTTGATTGTCCTAACTTTAAGAGGAGCATGACGATCCAAGTTGATGTGCAGATGATTGGTTAAAGTTTCTACCGTAAAATCGACTGAGTTAGAGTATATGGAGTCCCATTGGATTTTGTCAAGATCAGGGGTAGAACAGTGGAACAGGAAGGTTATAGGAGACCTGCATGAGATCATAACCGGGTGCTGTGATGAGGCGAGAAGTTTATCAGGAGAGTCAACAATGTAGAAGTCGATATATATGTATAGATAATTGGGATTTACCAATGATTTGTGATAAAATAACATCAAGGCCAGTTTTTCACAAGGTGCTTAAGTTGATTCAACTCAGTTGCCCTCAACTAGTTAAATCAAGTGTGAAGACATAAGGAGATTTTTTTTCATGTCGAGGCAATTGGATTCAACTTCTAATCACAAAAGAAAAGTCTATTGAATTTGAATTTCAGATAATGTAATTCTAGAACAGTGGAATTAAATGTATTTTAATTAATTCTACTAATTATTTGATTCCGATGGTAGTAAAGGAATATACTCAAAAAATATTAAAGTAAATGAATTAGATTAAAAATGAAATTTAAAAAAATTAAAAGCTTAAGAAAGCTGGGTATCTCTGAGCTATATATATTTTGTATAACTATAAGCCCGTATCTAGGGGAGGGAAATGATCTGCACCGGATCCTCGCAACAGAACCTTTTTTTTATCAGATAATAACATCATTGTTTTATAAATTATCATTACATTGTTAGAACCGATTTACATAAAAAATAATAATAAAAAATTCAAATACTTAAAGACATCAACAAAACCTTAGACACAGACAATTTCAAATTAGTTCTCAAACCCAGGCATCCTATACTTACTTACTGACAAAGACAAAGGATCCAACACCTATCCAAAACAATAGAAATTTTATTTATGATATACCCTGTAAAAATTGCTGCAAATCATATATAGGAATGGCATCGACCGATATAAAAACCAGAGTATATAACCACAAGAGAATATAAAAGTACCCTTAAATCTAATTCAAAAACAGTTTTCCGCTTTATCAAATAGATTTTGAAAATATTAAAATACTTCATAAATCAAACTATCGATCAAAACTAAAAATTTTAGAATCCATTTATATAGCAATAAATGAAAAAAATTTGCTAAATTCAAAACAGGAAGCGGCCCACATCCCACAACACTATTCAAAAATAATAGCCATACATAAAAATTCAAATAATAGTAAATTAAATAAGGTAGGGTAACTTTAGTTACCAAATAGTTGCAATAATATAGAGGGTGTTGACAGTAAATCTTCAGCGCTCAGTAAGATGGTGTTTGACAAAGAGGAGTCCTATTCTCGGAGAAAACTGACATGAGACAAAGAACAAGAACACTGTTCTTATCCTTTATTTATCTTTTTTAAAAAGACAAAAACCAATAAAAGGTATGATGAATGGCATGATCTGATAATAATTGTGCGACATTTAAAAAATTATATAATACATATATTGTTAATTTTATTAATTAGCTCTTAATTTATCCTAATTGAATTATTATAATTATAGAGATGAATATGGTGAACGGACACCGAAAGCTTCTCTACAAATAAAGTGCTAAAATAAAATAGAGACTGTCTATGGTAAAAAATCCTGAACTTATAAGAACATAAAAACAGTCTAAAATTACCTAATAATATTATCTATTTAAGTAAGAACAATCTACCATAGAAAGTTCTTACCATTTTGGGATCATTTCAGTTAGGATTCCCTTCTACTATAAAAGGAGTGAACAGATCTGGCCTCCCCAAGTTGAGCCCTTGTTGGAGTTTGAAGTGGGGCCCCCTTATCAGGAAAAAATAAATATATATATTATCCTTTATCCAATATATATATATATAGTGGTTTCCAGGGATTTGCAGAAATAATTAATTATAAAACAATTATTGCTGGGGTACAAGAAAAATATAAAACAATGATTTTGGGCCTTCAAATGGCCCACCACAAGTCCCCAATCATAAGTGTTTTATAATATAAAAATTAACGAGTTCAAAACAATTATTTTTGTAGGTAAACATACCATGGTACTAGATGAGTACAAAACAATTACCTTCGGGCACTCAGAGAGGCGCCCCAATCATTCTCTGGCTATAAAAAAGTAAAAATACTTATACTGAGGGTCCTCGAAGGGACCCCAAAAATTTGTGGAAATAAGTGAATACAAAAGAAGGGGTGGGGTGGCCAAGCAGGCTAATAACTGAAGTTAAAAATGAAAAAATATTACGAATTCGCCTCCCAGTCCCAGAGGGTATTTTAATTCTGGCATTAATTTCCTGCCCTCACTCCCTAGCCCGGGAAAACCCTAAATAGCCTAAAGAGACAAGGAAGGGGAGAACAATAAAAAAAAAATTAATACAAAACAATTATTGTTGGGATACTAGAAAAATATAAAATAATGATTTTGGGTCTTCAGAGGAGGTCTCCTAATCATTCTTAGGCTATAAAAAAGTACAAAACATTTATGTTGGGAACCCTTAAAGGAACCCCAAAAAAATTCAGATATAAAACAATGATTTTGGGTCCTCAATTATCCTGTGGATATTGAAGGGATCCTAAAAATTTAGGGAAATAAATTAACGCAAAACAATGATTTTTGGGTACTAGAAAAATGATTTTGAGTCCCCTCTGGGGAGTCTAGGGCTTTCACCGACAAGCTGACCTGGCCTAGGAGTATAGTAGAATACTGAGACAGTCTCTCTCCTTGATTCCTTTATTCTTTTGAAGCTCTTTTACCATTCCCTATAAATCTTAATTACATCTATAGAAATGTTATAAGTTAACTTTATTGCTTGAATAAAGTCTGATGGGTTAATCCTTACTTTCATGTGTTTGAAGTCAAACTCTGATTTAAAGTGCAGATAAACATGTAGTTATTCCAAAGTTTTCTCCAAAGATAGTTCTCAGGTAGAAGATATATTAAGTTTCTCATAATGGTCTCAAATTAAAAAATTGAAATTCTAATAGTCTAATTCATATTTGAAAAAAAAATGCATTTGCTGTTAGATGTCAAAATATTTGTCTTAAGTTGTTCAAATTTACTTTAACTAAATTATTTTTTTCCAATTTATTATCCATAAGATGCCCTATAGGGCCAATATAAAATAACAAAATAATTATTTCTACCTTCAAAGCCTCTGTAGTTGTAACAAAAAATTATATTTTTATGATAGACTCAGAAGAGTTCTCTGGTATAAAACAAAATACTATTGATGATTTTAGTGAACAGGGTAAATAAATTTCCTGTTGTTATGTACTTTAATAGAAGGAACATGGATATAGTCTGATTTTTTTTTCAGAAACTAGTGAAGATTTAAAAATAGTAGACACAGGATTTTCAACACAAACAGGTAATACATGGAATTTAATGAAGATAGCTCATTAATTCTGATATTTAAGGTGAACATCATAACTGATTTTTGGAATATTATGTAGTACATTTCTTTACTTTTTAGGTTAGTAGGGTACATAAAGTTTCTTCAAAGCTGATAATGTTTAAATATCTTTGTAAAAAATGATCTACTTCATAGAATCTGGTTACACGAAAGTAATACAGATTTATTTTACAATAGTTTTAACTCTTATGATCCCCAACATGTCCAAAGTGTTACTCACTTTAACATTCTTGAGTCTTTAACAGTGGTGCCGCACAATGGGCTGATTATGGCAATCAAGTGGGACTCCAGATAGAGAATATTTTTGAGGAAAATGACATAACGTCTGTTAATACATTGATGCAGTTAGGAAAAGGAGAATTAGTTGAAACAAAAACAAACAATATGAGAAAACATTGAATTGATTAGAAACATTGAAAGTAGAGAGCCAATTATCCAGTAGTAGTTAACACAACAAATGCTCAACTTCTGTTTGTAAATATTGCGCTTATTCTGTTACCTTATTTAATTTTTCCAAACCTGAATACTATTTCCAAAGGTATGTATTCTATAACATTAATATCAATGGAATGAAAGTTTCGGTATTTTTTAGATAAAAAGTATTCTACTCTTATCTTAGAGTTAAAAAATATTAAATATGTTATTTCAAAATTCTCTGCATATTAATATTCAACTAATTAAGGATTCAGAAAAATTGTAATTTAAATATTTAATACTTTTATACCTTAGTTTTTCTGGCTTGGGAAATTATCAAATTTTAAATATTTGAATTCCAAAAATTGTGATTATAAGAAGCACCTTTTTTAATCATTTAAAGAATAAAAACACAATACAGATGAATTCAAAACATTTTGAAATGAGTTTATGTGAGTTCTTAATTAACTTATACAATATCAAAATGCTTCAGAATATTTTAAGCTAGAAATTCATCGAAATTTGGATTTATTTCTCAAAATTTTGTAGACCAGTTATAATTACATTACATTACATTAGGAAATTGGTTAGCAGGACACATATAAACTGTTGATAAAGACATTTAAAATGATGGCTGGCATGATTTTATGTTTAGGCTGAACTCTGAAGGATTTTTCATAGTTTGGTTATCCTAAAGTGGCACAGTGTAAAGTAGATCCAGTAGCTATATATCAGTGACCTTTTGTTATACAACAGAATAAAAACTGTAGAATTCAGTTCAATGCAACAGTTTCTAAATAAGCATAAGTCATTTACGATCTGAAGGCGAAAAAAATACAAATGATATTTCCGTGAACTTCATTTTAAATCAAATTACTTTATTGCTTATTAATAATTTATACTTATAAATTTTATATTTTTTAATACTTCAAGTGAAATGAAAAAAATCTTTTCACCATAAAAAAAAAGTTTGACCAAAAAAATGAATTATATTTTATACTTTTATACTTGTTTATCAAAATAAGAAGAACTAATGAAAAATAATTAAAATAAAAGTCACCAGAAACATTTTATTAGTGAAATTTTGATTAAATAATTCATTCATTCATGTGTGGCACGACATCCCGTTACCGAGACTGGGCCTCCTCCAAGAGCCTCCGCCAGTTGGCTCTGTCTTCTGCTGCAGCTCTCCAGTTCCGTACACCAAGCAGGGTTCTCGCATCATAGGCCACGTTGTCCAACTACCTCGTCCTCGGCCTTCCTACCCGTCTTGCGAGGTGCAGCTCCTCCAGCATTATTTTCTTGGGTATCTCGACGGTACTCATTCTGGCCACATGCCCTGCCCATCTTAGTCTGGCCAGTTTAATATAGGTGACTACGTCGATGTCTGCATAGAGAGAACTGAGCTCCCTATTTTTTCTTTTCCTCCAGACATCACCCTCCTTTACTGGACCATAAATCCTTCTGAGGACTCCTCGCTCAAACACACTCAGCTTCATCTCATCGTTTTTGGTCATCGTCCAAGCCTCTGAGCCATATGTCAAAACAGGCCGAACAAGAGTCTTGTATATGATCAGCTTGGTCTTCTTTGAGAGGTACCTACTTCTTAAGTGTCGGCCAAGTCCATAGACACATCTATTGGCAGCCGTGATCCTTCTTTGTATTTCTTGAGCCATGTCATTTTTGCTATTAATTTCAGACCCAAGGTATATAAAACTTTTCACTCTCTCAAACTTAAAAGAACCTACCTCAAATGGAGAGTTCAGATCCACCTCACCACCAACTCTCATATACTTAGTTTTCCTCTCGTTGACTTCTAGACCAAGTGGTCTTGCAGCTGCTTCAAGGCCTATAAACGCTTCTCTGAGAGCCCGTTCAGACCTACCTATTATGTCAATATCATCAGCAAAACCAAGAAGCTGTGTCAGGCGATTGAAGATTATATCGTTGGTCTGAATACCGGAGTCTCTTACAGCTTTCTCCTCTGCCAAGTTGAACAATAGACAGGCGAGGGCATCCCCTTGCCTAACCCCACTGCTCACTTTAAACTCTTCGGAGTCGTCAGAACCGACGCGTATTCTACATCTCGAGCTGTCCATGGTCATCTTGATTAGGCGTACGAGCTTCTGAGGGATGCTTAGCTCCTCCAAGGCACAGTATAGTTGCGTTCTATCAACGCTGTCGTATGCTGCTTTAAAGTCCAGGAATAAATGGTGGGTGACTACCTTACGCTCCATAGTCTTTTCTAGGATCATCCTCAGAGAGAACAGTTGATCAGTGGTTGAGCGTCCTCTTCGAAATCCAGCCTGATATTTCCCCAGTTCCTTTTCAGAATACGGGAGGATCCTCTCAAAAAGAATGTTAGAGAGCAGCTTATAAGCACACGAAAGGAGTGAGATTCCTCGATAGTTAGCGCATTCTGTTTGATCTCCTTTCTTATGTATTGGGCAGATAATGGCTGTTGCCCATTCCGTAGGCATAGCTTCCCTCTCCCAGATGGTCAGCATTAAATCATGCAGAGCTTTCTTGAGTTCTTCACCTCCACATTTCAACAGCTCTGACTGGATTCCGTCCGGGCCTGGCGCCTTTCCATTTTTCAATTTCCTCAGGGCGTTTTCCATTTCCTCCTCATCCGGGGGTTCAATAGAATTCAGGGAGTCTTCCTTCATTACACCTACTTCTCCAGGCACCGTTCCTCTGTTTAATGCGCCTTTGAAATGTTGTACCCATCTCCTTAGTACGTCATCTTTGTGGCTTAAAAGAGTTCCATTCGTGTCTTTGCATGCCGTCACTCTGGGCCTGAAAGCTGCCCTACCCTCGTTTATTCTCTGAAAGAACAGGCGACTTTCATTTTGGCCGCGCAATGCCTCTGTGTCCTCCATGTTCTTATTTTCCCAAGCTCTTCTCTTTCCGCGGAATAATCTCTTCTCTTCGCGTCTTTTTCTTCGATATGTTTCTTGGGAGAGCCTTGTGGGACGCTGAACCTTCTTTCTGTAGGCTTCATTTTTCACTTTTACTGCTTGAAGGCACTCAGCATCAAACCATGGGGGCCTTCTAGATTTAGTCTCGTAGCCAAGAGCTTCTTCTGCTGCCTGTTTCATTGCGTTGCTGCATCTCTTCCACTGTTCATCGACCATAGAGCTGTCATTAATTACTTCTTCATTAAGTTTCGTCTCCACAGCTTGTTGATACGAATATTGGTGGTCTGAGTCCTTAAGTTTAACCACATCAATCTTCTTCTTTGGTCGTTGGTAGTGGTTTTTAATCAGCGAAATTCGTGATCTGACCTCGGCAATGCTCAAATAGTGATCCGTGTCCATATTTGCACCTCTATAAGATCTTGCATTTATCATGTTGGACTTGTGACGGGCACTAATGAGTACATGGTCTATCTGTGATGCTGTTTGCCCATTTGGAGAGATCCATGTTGCTTTGTGGATATTCTTTCGAGGAAAAAGAGTTGTTCCAACAACCAGTCCGTGCAATGTAGCAAAGTTCACCATCCGTAGCCCATTATCATTACTGGTCTCATGCAAGCTGTGGGTTCCTATGGTCGGCATGAGTGCCACCTCCTTACCAACTTGTGCGTTAAAGTCACCAAGAATGATTTTAACATCATTTTTGGGGCAGCTTTCTGTCACGCGTCCAAGTTCTTCATAAAATGCTTCCTTATCCTCCTCAGGTGACACCTCTGTTGGGGCATGGCAGTTGATTAGAGAGAAATTAAAAAATTTTCCTCTAAGCCGAATGTAGCATAACCTTTGGTTAATGGGAGTAAATCGCATCACTAACTGTCGAGCTCTGCCTCTCACAACAAATCCGGTACCGAAGATGTGATGCTTTTCATGGCAGCTATAGTAGAGTGTATGGTACTTCTTCTCCATAATTCCCTGTCCTATCCATCGGACCTCTTGGATAGCTGCTATGTCGATTCTGTATGTGTCCACTTCTGCAAGGAGCGCACGAAGTGCTCCTAGTCTATGTAATGATAAAATGTTCCAAAATCCAATTCTTAGGTCATTTAGGCGTTTCCTGGGTCTGTTACCGTAATTCAGTCCGGCTTCTTCTCTTTGAGGTTTCGTAATAAGGTACTTTAGGGGGGGTGGGTTATCAGCCCACTGCCCCCGAGTCAGGTAGAGGGGCTGCCTCCTCCGAGCATCCTGACTAGCTCCCCCATCCGGGGCGGCTACCTAGGGAAGGTGACCCTAGGGTGTGTACTGTAGGTGACCTTTGTCTGTAGTGTTTAGGTGTTGTAGTGTGCTGTCTAAAGTGTTCTTGGTGTGTGTGTTCGTGTAAGTGTTCCCCCAACCTGGAGGGCCAGTGGCTGGTTGCGGTACAATGACCGGGCGATGGGACCTCCCTACGCCTATTGATTAAATAATATTTTATCATATTTATGATAATCAGTTATTTCGGCCTTAGTCTCATTAGATTGGAAAATCAGCCCACTGTGCTCTGGTCCAATATGATCTGGGCGTGTTTACATTTATTTTTTAGTGGACCCAGTCCACGCAGATCATGCTATTAGGATGGATTTTTTTTTCTGATTATCATATATTTTGTTTTATCTTCATTGACTAGTAATCTGATTTGTTCTGCTTCTCTTAACAGAATCCGAGCGAGTCTCTTAATGTCTTCTTGCATGCTTATGAGGACAGCTATATCCAGGGGTGACCATTCCTCCTTCCCCCTAAGTCGATGGCGTATGAATCCCTCCCCTTCTCCCAAAATATTTTATTGCTCACATCTTCTTAAAAACAGTACAAGCTAAAGTCCAATTTTAAAAATAATTGGTCAAATACAATGACATTTTTATTTCTGATCTAGCTCCTTCTTCCTCTCCTGAATACTGCTTCATGGTCATCTATTATCTTATCATAATATGTATATATCAGACTTAGCAAGATATTAGTCACTACCTTATAGGCAACCGGAAGAAGTGCTATGCCTCTGTAATTACAGAATTCTTAAATGGAATCCTTCTTAAGGATAGGAGATCAGCCCTGTGTCTCAGGCTTCTGGTATCCATTCCTCCTCCCATATGTTCTGTATTAGTTCTAACAGCTTGGCTCTAAGATGTCCTCCATTCTTGAACAATTCTGATGGTAGGTTGTCTATCCCTGGAGCTTTTTTTCTTTTAACTCTGCCGATAGCTATTTCAAATCCAGAATATCTGATTTTTCAAACTCAAGTGGATCGAGATCCTCATTGTGGTCGATGTCTTTTTCGTTTATGGGATGCCCTTGGTTGAAGAACTGCTCTGAAATGTTCCTTCGAGATGCTTGGGATCTTTTCTTCTGATGCCGTCAATTTGACATCTTTCCCTCGCATTTCTCACTTTATATCCTGCCCTTTCCTGATGTCTGCAAAGAATTCGCATATCTTTCCAGTCTACCAGTTTTCCTCAATAGTTTACAATCTTTCTTTGAGGAATCTTTCTTATCACTTTGTTTGTCTTTTTCATGGTGGCTGTGTTCTTATTCATATTCTGAACTATTGTTTGATCAGTTTTTGTTTGATTTGTTTTTGCCAGCTTTTCACACGCTTTTATGAGCCATTTTTTGGCTCTTCTTTTCTGAATCTCAATTACTTCCTTAGTTGTTTGTTTTAGCCCTGACTCTAGTGCCTCCCAATGTTGGTTCACCGTGAGGCCTTCCGCGTTCAATGGTTCAAATTTATTTTTCAGGTCAATTTGGAATTCAATCTGCATTCAGGGTTTTTCAAATTACCAATTTTATACGTCTTTCTTTCAACTTGGTGGATTAGCTTCAGACTCTGACAGAGTTTGATTATAATCAGAGTATGGTCCAAATCAGTCTGCTCCATGATAGCTCCTTATTTCTTTTATAGAGTTTGCTGCCTCTTGTCTATCAGCATGTAGTCGATTTGGCTTTTTGTACCTTTAGGGTTTACCCAAGTGTTCCTATGTATATTCTTATGCTGGAACATTGTACTGCTCACTACTTATCTGGCTGCTGTCAGACTGATACATCTCATTCCATTATCACTGCTGGTTTCGTGGAGGTTTTTGCCTCCGATAATGTGCTTACATTGGATTTCTTGACCTATTTTGGCATTAAAGTCTTCCATGACTAATTTTATGTCATATTTTGGAGCCTGGTCCACAACTTTTTCTAACTGATTGTAGAAATCGTCCTTCACCACATCCTCTTGTTCTTTGGTTGGTTCATTCAAGTATATAATCATGATAATAAACCAACAACCTCTTAGCCGCAGCATACTTAACCTTTCATTACCTGGAGTAAAGTTTATTACTGACTTCCTTTTGGCTGGATTAACTAAAAATCCAATGCCAGCTGTACCATTTTTGTCATTTCTCTCGGTGTAGAACAGTATGTGGCCATCTATGATGGTTTTCCCATTACCTCTTGTATGGCTGTTAACGATATGATGTAACTTTTTACTTCATTTACTACGGTTTGGAGCGCCCCTGGTCTGTATAAGCCCTGAACATTCCATGATCTGATATGGAGTCCATTATATAAAGCAGGGGTCGTTACCATTACCATGTTAAAACAGTCAGATTTTTCCGAGGTCGTGATGGCCAAATGTGCTGGAGCGTTGCCCGTCCTAGCATCCTCGTGCCTAGCGACGTCAGTTCGAATCCAGATTGGGAGGAGTTGACTATTACTTCATGGCAGAACCACAGAATGAAACTTGACCGTCCCACTTTGGTTAGAATAGGTTTAGTTGTACCTCTAAAACAACTCCCCCATTCCTCCCATGTATGCTAAAAATGGTGGATAGGGGGTTAACCAATAAAAAAAAGTCAGATTTTCCGAGGCTGATTTTTGGTTTCGTGATATAGTGTTTTTGGAGGTATATTTGCTATATTATAACTAAATGAGACACAAACATACCTAAAGTACATAATATCAGTTGCATACGACATTTCATTTTTGGGCTAGTCGGTTTATACAACACACACACCATTTCCTGGGACTTGGTTACTTGATTCAGGGGACTTCAAATAGTGTATTTCCGTTGAAAACTCATATTCAAAAATTTTCATGATTGCAATAGTTTCACTTACAATATATTACATATATGAATAAGTGAAAGTAGAAATAATCATTTTTATAATAGATTATCTAGACTTTATGTCCATGAAGAAGGCTTATAATGTGATACAAAACATGATTAATCATTTCATTATATAGTTAAAAACGATTTATTGTTTTCATTTTGATCCCCATCTAATATTCTTCTCTCATATTAATTTCAACAGTAAACTATTCAATACAAAGATTAGCATTTAGGTATTTTAAAATTTATCTAGTCAATTTATTTTCAATATTGTATGCATCAAGTAAAAAATTATTATTATTTTTATTAGAGATTAATTTGTTTCTTCATGTTAAAATAAATACAATACATATCTGCCAACTTAATATTATATGCCAAATGACATTATTTTCACTTTATTTTAATAAATGAATTATACATGTTTGATGTTTTTCTGTTGTATATAATGTTATTAAGTGTTTTTCTCATAAATCAAATTAAAAATAAATGACCAAAATGAAAGATGAAATTTCACCACTAATCTCGCAGACTAGTACAATTATGCTGTTTTCATACATACTTGCAAACAATAATAATTTAAATGGTAATAATGTCATAAAAGTAGAAGTTACATTTAGCATATATATACAGGAGAGAGATTCTATAATTTGATTATCTCTCTTTATGCTTTTTTTATCTCTGTTAATTGATCACTTGGAAAAGTAACCAATCAGTTTAAATTTTTAACATCCTCAGTTATCTAATTAAATGTTGTAGTTTTACAAAGGCAATTTTCAAATCTCAGCAACTTGAATGTCTTATCCTCAGGATCAGAGGATAAACTATTAGTCCTTATATTAGCTCATATCTGTTTTAGAGATTGGATCACTACCTCACAATACTTGTGAGAATATAAATACAATACAGAAGATAGAAAAGATATTCCAATGTAGGATTTGTGATCATAGTACCAAACGTTCATCAGACATGTCGCGACATATCAAGGAAGTTCACTTAAAATATAGACCATACCGTTGTGGAATATGTGGGTATCGAACATATAGGACTTACACTTTGAGAGTCCATATGCAAACAGTACACAGAGTAATAAAAAGCCATTGTCGTCACATTAAAAATAGCCCAACTGGTGTTTTGGAAGTGCCTCAGAAGTTGAATAATCAGCAAGCATCAAAACATGTTTTCACATATTCTAATGGGATGAATAATTTTTATAATTGTGTAATGAAGGTAAACAAGATAGATAAAACTTTCTTTTGCTCATTTTGTCACCTAAGAACCAAATGGGCAGGCAGCCTCCGCAATCACATATTTGCAGTTCACATGAAGGAGAAACCCCATAACTGTCCGATATGTAAATACAAATCCGCTGCACGTTACAGTATAATGAGACACATCAAGGCAGTACATATGAAGGACAAGCCTCACTTGTGTCCTGTATGTCCTTACAAGTCAACAAGGAGTGATACTTTGAAGGTCCATATGAAAAGGCTTCATCCGGAAAATAGTCTCACAAGAAGTAGCTAATAGCTTCATAAGCGAGACAAATGTTCTTGCAACTAAGGGACGACTCCTATTAGAAAAATCAGTTATTTTATACCTAACACAAAGTATGATGATTTTTTATGTCAGTGGAATAGCACAAACCTAGTATGAACAGTAGCAGAAACAAATATAGGGCTTTCTGGAATGAAAACAAAATGATAATAAATATATTTATTTATTATTGGTGATTTAATTTATGATTTAAAACATTTTTTCATATTTGTACAATTTTCATTAAAAAATTATAAGCTCTTAAGGTGAAACTTTGTTTTTTTAAAGCAATAATCGAAATATTTTATCATTATTTATTATTCAAGATAATTTAACAATCTGTTGGAACATCACTTAATCTAGGCTTAAATATATAGATAACCTGCCAATACTTTCAATGCAAAACTGTTTTTGTTTTATGTTTCATCCGTTTACACAGTTTCGGCAAAGTTACTTTTAGCTTACAAAAAATGTGGGCTAGAAACGTTTCGTTTTATTTCAAATGGAACCTGACCTAGCTTAGATTTATAGTAAGCTATTATTATTTTTTTTTTAAGTTACACACTTCTGACTATTTGGCCATTTGAAAGACCTTTTTCTTTAATTAATATTCCTCTATTAATATTTTATAATCAAAACCAGATTTCATCAATAGTGTGACATGTCTATTTTTCTTAAAATCTATTTTATGTCCATTTTTCCTTAACACAATTTTGACTGCAATCTAAAAATAATTTTTTGGAGTTCTTATTTTTTCTGTTTACATCTTATGAAATTTGATCTTTAGACTTTAGGATAAAATTCTTTTCTTCTTTTATGGCATTACGGACAGTCCACTGGAGCCGTCTAAACTCAATTATTCTTATAATATTAGGTTCTTGTACATTTCCCATAACTCTGCAATGGTTCAGACCATCTATGATCCATTATTAAGCAAGGCATTCAATATTTTCCTTTATGATATTCTATTTCTCCCTCCTTGTTGTCTTTCACATTGAGGGCATTTTATGCCAGTCACTTTCCTTTGCTAGCATTCTCATATCTCACTGCTCAACCCTTCTCTCTTCCTTTTTTGATATTTTTATTTCTCAATATTTATTGGTGCACCTCTTGGTCTCTCTTCTGTAAGTTTTGACTCAAGTAGTTTCATGGATTTTTTTTCTTGGTTCATAACACTACCAAACCATAAGAGCATTTACCTTTCTAAGGCTTCCAACATTTGTAGTTTCTTGACATCTTCCGGGACATAATCACCACGTTCTGTGAGTACAAGCCTTTAGGCCTTTAAAATTTTCACTTTCTCTCAATGGAAGTCAATTGCCACAAGGTTACACAATTTTTTATGACAATTGATCTATACTAAGACTGAAATAAATTTTTGAAGTGATAATAGATGTGGGAAATTCTCTATGGTTGAGTGGCGAAAAAAATAACATTTATAATTCTCCTTTTTTAATAATTATTTTGGTTTATACAGAACAACAGATTTTTTTTTAATCTAACACTCATTATTTCCATAAATTTGAAATTAAAAGTAGAGGCTTCCTGATTCTTGAAGTTCTCTTGTTGCATTTTTTATTTTTCACATGGTTTTGGTTATTTCAATGATTTAATTATCTATGACCTCTTTGCTTAAATTGAAATAGAAATTACTGAAGACAGAAAAAAAAACCTCAATGTAGCAAATAATTTAAATAATAATTAAAAAAAAAACAGTATTTTGTTTTATTTTTAAAACATTTGAATGTTTTTTATTTTATTTTAGAAATAGTGTACAAATTTATTTAAATTTGGTTTGCATAAAAAATTATATTTCAAACAATGCGGGTATTAAGATAAAGTATTAGATTCACCTTCTAAAATACCACCTCTTGATCTAATAAGTTCAGAAACATAAGTGTGTCCACATATTTTTGCCAATGTCAAAGGAGTTTGATTAAGTGCTGTCTTAGCATTAATAGATGCGTGATTTTCCAACAGAAACTTGACAACCTTTTTTCTCCCCCAAAAAGCAGCTTCATGAAGTGGAGTATATTTACTCTCATCAGCTATGCAGTCAACCTGACCACCATTACATGCAAGCAGTATTTTTACGATATCAACATGGCCTCCTGAACATGCCATATGGAGCGGCAGTTGACCAGAACTGTCTTTAGATAATGGATCTACTTTTTGTTTCTCTAACAGCTGTTGCAGAAACTTAGTCATGCCCTTGTGTGCTGCATGATGAAGGAGTGTTGCTCCTTCTGAGTCCAAAATGGAGAAGTCTGCTCCTTTGTATAACAAATGACAGGCGATTTCTTGATTTCCTCCTTTCACTGCCTTAACAGAATAATTTTTAATATAAATTTGATTATATTTATTGATTTTTATTTATTGTTAATGGATAAACAACTAGGTTAATCATGAGGAATTAATTGAAAAAAAATAATACTTATACCTATGTATTCTAAAACATCCCGAAGTTAGTTACATGTTTTATGATTTATTTAAATTGATACTAAGAAAATTCAACTAAGAAATCATAAAAATATATTAATTCGTCAAGAGATATTTTAAACAAATATCATCTTTTCACACAAAAACACACATACAGGTTGAATCTTTATCAAAACTATGGTTTTGTAAAAAAAAAAAAAAAAAAAAAAATTGTGATTCAAACTTAGAAATCACTGTATGCCACCATTCATTCTTAGAAATTCAGAAATAGCTGCAAGACCATTATAATGTGAGAAGTTCAAAGGGGTCTCTCCATATTTAGTAACAGGATTTATATCAACACCAGCCTCCAGTAAACAGTATATTACTGGTAAGTTATTCCAAAAGGCTGCTTCATGTAGAGGAGTCCAGTGGATTTCATCCTAGGAACTAGGATTGGCTCCGAATCTCAATAGTAACTTGACAACTGATAAATGACCTTCATGGCAGGCCAAGTGTAATGGTGTTTTACCACAGTCATCTTCCCAATCAATCATATTTAAATGTCCTAAATCTTTGTTAGTTAATATTTGATCAATAATACTGGTCATTCCGTTCTTAGCAGCCCAATGGAGAAGAGACATATTAGTGTCATCCCTTCCGACTGTGGCTGCTCCAAATGAGATAAGATAATCAGCTACAAGCCCTTCATTTCCTTGCACGGCCTTTAAATAGGAAAACAATGTTAATTTAATTTTAACTTTGTTAATAGGTAATGTTTGATAATAGATATTAGCTACAGTATCTTAAATATTTTTATATTTTACAAAAGCAATAAAATAAATTCACAAATAAGTGACTTAATTAATAATTGAAATTTTGGACAATAGAAACAAAAATTATACATCAATAACATTATATTTGCTGATAATCAAATTATCCTAAACCAAGACAGAGAGAACATTAATTACATGTTAGAAATACTTGTAAAATTAAATTAATAAAGGAGATTTAATGTAAACTACATAAAAACAGGAGCTCTTAAGGATTCCTACAGAAGAGGTTAAAATTGAACACGATATTTAAGCAGTGTAAAAGCTAAGTATATAGAGTCCTTCATCTTCATGAAGCTACTTCCACTACTGATTAGTAAAAAGAATAAGCGTTGTAGAAATGAGGAATGAATATAAATAAGAATGAAGAAGAAATCCTCATTTTTAATTCTAGGTTCATGATAATGGTTCTGCTATTGGTGGGGGGAACTAGTTCAGCGAGTGGGCCTCATGGTCCTTTTTGTCCCTGATGGCTGCCTCCATGAGGTTGTGGCCGCCTACGCATCAGATTGGGAGCGTTTAAGATTCAGTTTGTGAGCCCAGAGAGAAATAAATATTAACTGTTCGAGATGAGAATTGATCCAGGCACTTTCGGAACCAGGCACTCTAGGACCCACGCATCAACGTGCCTTGCTTCATACTAATAAATCACATACTTCCCAATACAAAAAAATTTGATCTATAAATCTTTGAAACTGTCAATAAATATATTTCTATTAATACTAGAAACTGTGAATGAGAGTTAGTAGCTAAAATGGAGTTATATAGAATTATAGCTATATTTTCAGATAGAAAATGATTCGAGAACCAATAGAGAAGAACAATAACATCCTCACAGGAGAAAAAAGGTTAGTGTGGTTTGATAATCTTAAAAAAAGTGTTGTCTGAAATCCTACCTAGGTTCATCATGGCATGGTCAACGGATGAAAGAAGTATATAAGGAAGATAAAGAAAAAGCTGAGAAAGTAAAGTGGTAAAAGTTTTGGTAGGAGGTAGCATCAGAATGAATACATTTTGAATAGAGAGAGATAGAGAAAAAATATGAAATATATTTAACGATATTAAATATCAAGGAAACCATTGACCAGTAAATATTAAACTAAAATATATATATATATCTTTTTCTCATATCATAATTGTAAATAAGTGCTTCAAAAATAAATAGATGCAAAGGGACTAAATTACACCTTATCCAGTCAGTAAACAGTCTCCCAAATAATATTTTCTTATTCTTCTACTTTTTTACAGCTCAGTATTCAGTAACTGACCAAGGTAATTTTCAAATGAAATTTTAGTTTAAAAAAATATTAATGAATTGGATCTAGTCACATGATACTTATTTATGATAAATTATAACAGATTAGGATTTTAAGTGGATGAAATCCATATTATCTGAAATAAAGAAGTTTTGCAATGTTTTACAAAAAAACTCATTTCAGAACTTTAAATTTTAAAATTATGTCTTAAAATTTCTTATTTGAAAAAATAAAGGGATCAAATTTTAATAAAGGGAAAATGAAAGGATATCAATAAATACATTTTAATATTCTAACATAGTTCAATATAATATTTCAACATTGAAATGTATGAAAGGAGATATCGAAGCTGTTGATGAAATTAGAAAAAAATCAATCCGGGAAACTAATATTCTAAAAAGTGTTAAATAGAGAAATAGATAATAGAAAGAGAAAGATTAAATATATGTGTAGCTCAAAACACTAAATTAAGAAAATTTAGTAATAAAATAATTTTGAATGTTCGTCAGCTGGCAGTAACAGCTAGTAGTTAAGGCACAAAGATATATTGGAAAGTGCATTTTCAACTGACTTATTTTCAAATTATGTAACAAGTTTTGTTTAAAACAAAATTTTAGTAATATTTCAAGGTAAGTAAGTATTTTATAAACTTAAAAAATGAACTAAAAAAAAAAAGAAGGATTTTACTTAAAATAAATAACAAATAATAATAAGTAAATTACTTTAAAGAGAGGAGTGAGTGAATCCTTATCAATGCAGTCTACCTTCACACCTCTATTCAACAATGCCTTAACTGCATTCAAGCATCCTCCTGATGCAGCTATATGAAGTGCTGTGTTTCCAAGAGGTGTTTCAGCATTAATATCTCCATCGTACATTGTAATAACTGTTTCATTATCATTCAACGCTGCCTTCCATAACTGTTCTTCTGGGCACTCCACCTTACAGAAAATATACAAATACGTAAGTCAAATAAAATAAATAAGGCACATATAATAAAATCAGGTATAATGCAGGTTTTAATACTTCAAATAATTATTTTACCACATAAATAATAACCACTTTTATCAGTTGATATGATAAAAACAGCAGAATAAAATATTTACATGGCAAATTTACATTTACAGTTGATCTAGTTGCATTTTCTAAATTCTAAAATTTATATATTGCTTGTACAGAGTGTATCATTAGACCAAAGGCCAGGGGGTTATTTCAAACCATATTAGTAACAAAAAAGATCGTATACACCATGGTTCAAATCAATGGCCTGGAATTTAATATTTGTGTTGTCTAAAGAGCCACATTTTTTGTTGAATAGGAAGCAATACTTAAAAAACTTTTCAATTAAACTATATACTAATAGAAGCGTAAAGAATTAAACACAATTTTCTTTAAAGGTAAATAGAAATTGACTTGTAAAAACTATTTTATGGAAATTGAGGTAAACTACAGTTTACTCGTGAACTACAGTTTATGTTCATTTTTTTATAAATTCATGAATTATTTCTATTTTTTGTTTTCTTAGCTTTCAACTGCTCTATAAATTCCCTACTTTTAAATAAACTTCCTTGTATCACAAGATTTTAAGTCCATCTTAATTAAGTTTCAGTTCGTAACAGAATAATCAGAAATTCCACTTGTTTTTTTTGTTCTGTGACTTAAATTATAGGAAGACCTTTAAGAAGCTGGAATAAAGTTCTCCCAAATTACCTGGACATCTTAATTTATTTCAGGGAATATCATTGCATGTCCTCCACTTACTTTCATGTAAATACATTTGTTCCCTGAGCAGTTTGGCTTGTAGTAAAAATCGTTATATCATGCTTAATTAGTGAAGTTATAATAAAATAGTACTTTCTTCTTATAAATATGTTCTTATATAAATAATTGCAATAACCTAAGCATAAAAAAAAAATATGCTACAAATGCCTATGCTAATTTTTCAGAAAGATGACAAAGAATATAACTATAAAAAAAAAATGAAATTGAAAAACTACTTTTTGAGAATTCATTATACAAATTCAGTCCCATGAACGATCAACGTTATTCTTTCCTCACACTATAATACTTGAATGGCCTACTATTTGAATCACCAGTCAATTACATGTTTGAGAGAGAGTACAACAATGACGCAATACATAGATAACAGATAACGGTTGGAGTTTCAAAGTTTTTCGATGTTTAGTTTTATTATTTTCTTGCCAGTTAAGATTAAGTTCTAGTCAGTAAAACAACAGATTTTATCTCAAAACATAAAATGTCCACTGTCCTGAAGATATTGATTTACAAGTAGCACCACCAAATAATTTTAGCTACGATGTCACTGATCAGAAATTGAAGGAGGAGGAAGAAATAGTTATTTTGCCATTTACGATACCAGTACATTGGACAAGTTATAAAAAGAAACTAATGTTTACTGTTTAGTTAAAAAACTAAACGTTTCTTAACTAACTAAACGTTTAGTTAAATTAACAATTACCAATTATAAACGTTTTTGTTTGAAGAATTTTTATTCAATATTTATCTGCCTACTAGCGACAAGATTAAAATCTTTCACAAACTTGTTCCTTTCCGATTTTTAAAGTTTTATTTAAATCTTTTTTTACTTTCACTTACGTATATATGTAATATATAGTAAGTGTAAGTATTGCGATCGAGAAAATTTTTGAATCTGAGTTTTCGACGGATTTATACTTTTTGAGGTACCCTGAGTCGAAATGACCAAGTCCCGACAAATGGTCAGTGTGTCTGTGTGTTTGTATGTTAGCAGTCTAGCTCAAAAACGAAAAGTCCTATGAAACTGATATCACGTATTTAAGATAGGTATATGCCTTAGTTGTGACGGCAACTTTTTCCTTAAAATCGGCTAACCGGAAGTGCCACTTTATATCAACGCTGAAACACATTTTCACAGTTTTCTCAAAAACGGCTCTAACGATTTTGATTAAACTCGGTGTATCATTGTATAATTAAGTGGTCTTTAATATAAATTAGGTCTTATCCCCATTGATGTCACTTTACAGGGCTTAAATGCCCAATGTTCATATACGTCTTCCTCTAAAGTACCTTTAATATGGTTTATTTTAAAAAGATAATTATTTCGCATTATTCAGAGTTACGAAAAAATGCTAAATATAACTTTTGAAAGAATTTGATAAGTTAATAAAGGAGAAAAAAAATAAAAATGCAGAAAAACGTAGCTATAGACTGTAGCGCCTAAACGAATGTACCGATTTCATTGAAACTTCGCTAAAGTCATTTTCTCGACACCCTTCAAATTTATCTATATAACATTCATCAGCGAAAAGAAGCTGAAAAAAAGTTACGAGGGATGGTAAAATTAAATTCCGAATAACTCAAAAAGTATACACTTTTTTGGGAATGTTGTATGGTTTTCTAAAAGTTTATGGAATAGCCTAAAAAACAAAAAAAAAATCGTTAAAATCGGATAATTAGGAGATAAGATATGGTCTCTAGTTTTTTTTTAATACGTTCTGCTGCAATGGTTATATCCTTTGTTTCGGTTTTTGAATTTTGAATGTGTTAATAAGGTAATGCTAATTTTTTTTAAATGTATTTAAAATCCACCTAAGCAACTTGATGGCATTGTTAAAAAAACTATTTCAGTGTACTTGTGTGAAAGAAGAAATAAAATATAAAATCATTTCATGGATGTATAAATCATGTGTTTATAATATTAAATACATTTACTGTAGTTTAGTAATTATTTATTAAATTTTAAATTGGTCCATAATCGTCTTATCTTTTTGGCTACATTCAAGGAATTGCTGTGTTATATATGTGTGCGATGTTATATTGCGTTCCTGGCGTTTGAGAATTTAAAGAGAAAAAAGGAATTTTTTTTTATTTTGGGAAAGTGTTTATTATGCTATGTCTATTGTTTAATATGGCTTATTGTTGATAATTTGTAAGAGTATTGTTATGAAGGGGGAGAAAAAAAAAAGAAAAATATAATATAAAATTAATGTCCGTATGGATTGATAAGTATGCTGTGTACGAAGCAACCCTATGTAGTAGGGCAGCATTACTTTTAATAAAGTATTTCTCTATAAATAATTAGGTATTAAAGTTAATTCCAAAATATTGTCATATAACTTTTTAGAAAACTAAATTAGTGAATAATTCGATAGATCTTCTCTTTGTGATATTCCTCTACCATTTCATTGTACTTGTGTGAAAAAAGAAGTGAAATACAAAAATATTTCATAGATACGTTTATAACCCTAAATATATTTACTGTAGTTTAATAACTCTAGATCTCATAATATATTTAAATATTTAGATATCTATCGTCCGTTTATTCCGAAAAATCATCATGTAACCTTTTAGAAAATTAAATTAGTGAATAGTTTGATAATTCTTCTTTTTGCGATATTCCAACAGAATCCACTTACAATTAGTGTGACAACTTTTGACCTGTCTATGACAGATACTGCAAATCTCTTAATTCCGTTTTAATAAACTTTGAAATGGAAAATAATAGTTTAATGACTTATAGTCGTACAATCCATAATCAATGGATCGAACAATCCATAATCAACGAATCGTACAATCCATAATCAACCGGTGATATAATAAATAGGACTTTTGTTATTTTAATAGCATTTGTGTTTTTTTAGCTTTAGCTCAGTTTAAAATGCAATTTAAAACATTTTATAATAGCCTAACATGGCCAGAAAATAATTTTTATTCAAAGTTCAAAGAGTAAGTGAAAGTTGTGTGTTGCGCGCACCAGATTTTTTACTTTCCTACCTATACTAGGTAAGGAAAGTATTGCAATCGGGTCAAATTTCCGACATACGGTTTTCGACGGATCTATACGTTTCACAGCCCCCTGAGTCCGAAAAACATTTTTAGCCATTGGTCTGTCTGTCTGTCTCTCGGATCTACTGAACCGATTTTGTTGCTTCTTTTTTTATTTTGTAGGGTTTTGGCTACTGATGCCTGTGACAGTCGTTGCTCAATGCGCAATAAATTAAAAACATGTTTTTCTATTGACTGTAGCGCGGAAACGGCATTAACGATTTTTATGAAACTTTTCTATGATGTTCTGATCATTGTCCTTTCAATTTTCGTGTATAAACTAAATTCCCGAAAAAATTCAGGAAAAAAAGTTATAAAGAAAAGAAAAAGGAGCCTAACTCCCTAAGTATATATTATACGGTAAAATTTATAATAAAACTTTTGAAAGGTAATTAAATTACCAACAAAACAAAAAAAAAATCATCGGAATCGAACCAGTATTAGCGATGATATAGATTATTCTATTATTTACACATTTTTTTAACTTATTACTTTCCTATCTATACTAGGTAAGGAAAGTATTGCAATCGGGTCAAATTTCCGACATTCGGTTTTCGACGGATCTATACGTTTGAGAGCCCCCTGAGTCCGAAAAACACATTTTTATCCATTGGTCTGTCTGTCTGTGCCAATATTTTCTCGGGAACTACTGGACCGATTTTGTTGCTGCTTTTTTTTATTTTGTAGGGTTTTGACTACTGATGCCTGTGACAGAAATTCGGTGCTCCATGCGCAATAGCTTGCGGGCAATAAATGAAAAACATGTTTTTCTATAGACTGCAGCGCAAAAACCGCTCTAACTATTTTGATGAAACTTTCCTATAATGTTCTAATTATTGTTCTTTCAATTTTCGTATATAGACTAAATTCCCGATAAAATTCAGTAAAAAAAGTTATAAAGAAAAGAAAAATGTTATGGGGCCTAACTCCCTAAGTATATATTATACGGTAAAATGTATAATAAACTTTTAAAGGTATGAAATTCCTACAAACCATATAAAATCGTTCATTTTGGACAACTATTAACGAAGTTACAGCTATTCAATTTCCAATGTAAGATTACGGTTTCATATCCTGGTGTCAGAAAGGGGTGAATGAGAGAATAAAGATGACTAAGTGAAAGTAAGAAAATCTGTTGCCCGCATCACACAATCTTCACTATTTCCTCTACTTTTAACAGAAATTATTGTTTGACAATACTAAGCTATGGCAAAAAGTTTTTGATCAGCAATATTAGGAGTATTGAAATTTTTACACTGATCTACCTTAAGCCGGTTTACATTGCTTTAGTTTATCAAATAAATCGTACTCAAATCTTTTGTTTGATCAATTTTCAGGAAAATAAATCTAGTTCAATTCTTTTTTGTTTCTTCATGAACATATGTAAAGATATAAAAACTTTTCTGAAATAGGTAGGAAAGTCGTGTGAGTGGACACACCACATATTTTCTTTTTAACAAATCCAGCTGATAACAATTATATTTTTATATCCAGAAGAGAACATGACATAGTTAAGTTATCAAATGAATGTACTCTGGAGGATAAGTTGGAATACCTTAAACAAGTAATCTCTGAACATGCAAACTCTCGCAAAAATAAATGATCAGAACTTTCACATAGATTATATATATTTTTTTCTCAAAAATTAAGAATGGGTGGGAGAAAAGTAATCGATTAGAGGGTAGGTTTCTTAAAAATAATTCGATGTGGTTAGATGTTTATGACAAAAAAAATCTGGTGCGCGCAACACACAACTTTCACTTCCGCTCAACTTTGAATTGAAATTATTTTCTGGCCATGACAGGCTATTAAAAATTTTAGTTCATTATTTTCAATAATCAACCATTGTGATCGACCAAAAAATTCAAAAACTTAACCCTCTCTCAAAATTTGAGGTTTCACTTTTCAGGATGCGTAGAATGTGAAAAATGAATAAAATTTTTTTTGTCCGTCCGCCGTCCGCGCATTTTCTCCGAAACTACTGGACCGATTGTTTTCGAATTTTGATATAAAATCAGAGGTCACCCGAAGATGATCCCCCTTCATCGACATTACCATCCGCCTTTTACTTTCAAAATAGCGGCCGAAAAACGTGCGTTGCTATAGACTATAGCGCCTAAACGAATGTACCGATTTCAATGAAACTTCGCTAAAGTCATTTTCTTGACGCCCTTTAAATTTATCTATATAACATACTTCAACGAAAAGAAGATGGAAAAAAAGTTACGCGGGATGGTAAAATTAAATTCCGAATAACTCAAAAAGTTTACACTTTTTTAAATTGCATTT